CTGGACTGAATTGGGCTTTGTTTCACCCATCCAACGCCAGCTTACGCTGGTTACCGTCTTGCTGACTTGGGCTTCTCTAAACGGCCCACTGGATCGATGTGGAGCTCGATTGAGAATTTGAAGCAAATTCTGAACAAGGATTGCGCTCGATCGCGGAATCGGTAATGGCAATGATTCATCCCCGTCGGTATCTGATCGCAGGAACTCCCAGTTTCCCCGTCTCCGGCGTTGACTCTCGGACGCCAGCGATGGCGCTAGTTTCTTAATTGCTTACTCTACCTATAGATGAAAATTTTCGAAAGTTCGATTGCTGTTACTTGGTAATGCTGTTTATGTGTTACGAATCAGAGACTGGTCCATCCATGATTTTCAACAGAAGCTTTGTGGTTGATTATGTCAGTTTCTCTACCAATCAAGACTTCCGATCTCTCTCGATAACTCACCTTTCCTCTGCATGCATGCTTCTGGCGGATACTTCAATTGTCTTAATCTACTTATCACTTTGATGTGAGAATTTTGTTTTTGTTTTCGTTAACGATTTTAATCACGATTTTGAAGTGGGATGCTAGTGAAGATAAAATTGGTGACTGCTAGAGAGGCAAGCTGATGCTTTGGGATCTCGATCCATTCTGTGGTGACTCGTGATATGAATTGTGTCTGTATTATTATTATTATGCTAATGCTCATCCATCCTTTGGCTATTATTTTTTTTTTCTCAAGAACATGGAAAGACATCGACACAATAAGTTGGTTTTGAGCCTTCCAAATCTTCTCCCAAAAACTACTGCTCGAGACGTTAGATGCAATGGAATGAATATCTTACGTGGGTGGATCGCGAGTTCAGGTCTGACAACCATGTGTACAACTGAGAAACGGATGCGCAATTTAATCGTCTGAAAGGTGATCAGCAAGGTCAAATTTTTGTGTTGTAATTTTCAACAAGATAAAAGCCTTTAGTGCGAGAGGCACAACTGATCTCTACAATGTTTGTCAATTGTCACGCACTGAGTGCTTTTCACATGGAATTTTCGCCACATATCTTGAAGGTTTTTTCAGCCTTTTTGTTATTCATGGTACATGTGGTGCTGCTAGCTCTGACGAGCAGTTTTAAGGCTATCTTTCCATAGTAAACTTCCGTATTATTATCAATCATTTTTCCAAAGTCAGGAAAGTTTTTCAAATATCCCTCCTACTTTCACGTAGATGCTGTGGCCTGTGGCGACTGTGGGTTTAATATATTTGATAAGGATAAAAAAGCGTGATTTATCTAACATATAAGTCAGGATGGCCGAGTGGTCTAAGGCGCCAGACTCAAGTTCTGGTCTTCGAGAGAGGGCGTGGGTTCAAATCCCACTTCTGACATTCATTTTTCATTCTCATCTATATTGGGCTGCAAATGTATTTTTGAAGGACGGCAGTAGGTTGAGTTAGGGGCTGCAAATTTAGGTTCCGTTATTCTACTCAAACTAATTAGAATTTTACCCATATTCACACTCATACAAGAAATGTGTAGAAAAAAATCATGCCCATATCTATTTGGGTATCCATGATAATCCCACATCTGACATTCATTTTTCATTCTCATCTATATTGGGCTGCAATTCCATTTCTTGTTCCAAATGTATTTTTGAAGGATGGGCTCCAAAGGAAGGCAATGAGTTGGGTTAGGGGCGGATAGTGCATATCCGTTACGCTTCGGGTTTTACTCATATTCACACCCATATAAGAAATGTGTAATATTTTTCTTCATGCCCATATCTGTTTGGGTATCCATGATAATCCATGAGTAAAAATTTTCTTTATAACTCTAACCAATATGTTAACATTCACACGTATTCTCAAATTACATAAGAGGAAAAGTACGACCGTAATTCACTAGAATGAAGAAATTTAATTAAAAACACAATTTCATGAAAATATTATATTTATATGCTAAATAGAAAATATTTTACAGAAAAATAATGAGTATTTCTAGACAAAACATATGTGTGTTTATAATCGGACGGGTTTAGGTTGGATAGTGAGAAACTCATGTCCACCCTTTACCCGCAATATTCGGGTTCAGGTTTTACATCCACTAAAAGTCATTCGCGTTCGGATTTTACCATGCCTGATTAGGTCGGATTCGGACGGATATCCACGGTTACAGATACTTTTGTCATCCCTAGGCAGCTCCGGGCTGTTCCGTTTCTTATTCCTAATATATTTTTGCTATGGTTGTCGCGCCGGTGATATGCAGGCCAAAAATTATTATTTATTTATTTTATGAATGTAAAAATTTAAATGTTGATATTATTTGTTTGATTCAAGTATAAATGTTTAGGTATTGATGTTAAATGTTATATTTAAATATAAATTTTAAAATTCTATATTTTATTTAAATATGAGTATGATTTGTAAGTAAATTGTCTTAAAATATGTTGTATATATAATTGAATTCATTTGATGGTAATGGTTTTTCACTCCAGCTGCGTAAATCTTGCAAACGGGTTGGCTTAAGCTAATAGTACTAATACTTGCTCATGTTGGCGACTGGCAAGTGTAATTATTGTTGTTGTATTAGGTGTGAAATGTTAGGGCGTAGACGTATATTATACTCAAGGCATTAGGTTAATGACACCGTCGAAGTAATAAGGTGGTCTTTATATCGCAAGGCATTGTTACTTGTAGTAATACTGGATTGGGGGAGGGGTTATGTTACTAAGGGTAAATTGGGTATGGAAAAATAAATTGTATTAATTAATTTTTAATAAATTACATTTGGGTAGTTACAAAAATTTATGAATTACAATTCTTTGTCTTTCTCTCACTTCCGTAATTTCCGGTCCAATCTCCTTTACTTATATTTCTCAATCTTTCTGCAAAAAAAAAAAAAAAAAAAAACTATAAATTCAATTGGCAACCACTACCTCTTCGAAAAACACCAATATCAGTATAATAAAAAACAAGAAATCAATACAAATCCATTAGACAATCACTACCACTTCGTAAAACACTACCATTGCACAAAACACTAATACCATTCGAAAAATTAAACACTAACATTTCACAAAACACTAATAGCATTGCAGATTTTATCAATACCAATACATGCAAATTAATACCATTATTACATGATAAATTGATAATCAATACCAAACCATTAGACAATCACTATCACTTTGAAAAACACAATATCATTGATGAAATAAATCAATACCATTATGAAAACAATGTATTTACACTAAAACTAATTGGAATTAAGGGAACCGACAGACCTTTGGTGGCGGTATGGAAAAGGAGGGATATGAATAAATGAATTTGAGAAGGAGTGATTGGGGACACGGAGATAGAAAGGAAAAAGCAGTAGGGTGGAGGCAGGAGGAGGAGGGATTGGGATATTAAAATAAGAGGGGATTACCGGAGGCAGGCCGAGTACAGCCACGTCGGCCATGGGGTGAAATCTCCAGCGATAGAGGGGGTGCTGAGGTGGACTCGACGGTGAGTGTTGAGGTGGTGGATGGAACGACGATGAGAGCTTGCGGCTGCGGCAGGTTTGGCTGGAGGAAGGTTAGGGTAGGGTTTGATTTGAATATAAAAAATAATCAGGTGTGGTTACATTTTTTTCTTTCAAAATTATTCTTGAGCAATCTTAACCGTGAGATTAAAAAAATGGATGGAGAATACTAAAGTAGCCACGGTGGCTACCGGAATTTTGATAGCCACCCTAACGCATTCCCTGGATTCGGCCTATGGTTAATTTCCCCGGAAGGAATACTGGAGTTCAGGAAGGTGTGCTTGGTTGTGAACACAGAATCGTTCAATGGTCCTAGCGGGGCTTGATGTCATTATCAATTACTATTAGGGGTGGGTAACGGGAAACAGATATTTGGGTATACCCATATCCGTCCCGTTTTTTAGGGTTACGGGTACCCAAATACCCGTAATATTTTTTACAGGATGGGATTTGAGATTAATAAGTTCTACAACAGGTACCTACAAGTTACTCAGTAATACCCGTTTGGGTATCACGGGTACTACCCGTCCACCCAAGCGATTATTTGATTTGGAAGAATTTTTGTATATTGATAAACATAAGTCGGGAAGCCGCAATTGGTAAAAAGCAAACAGGCTTCATCTCCAGACAACATATTAAGGGGTCGTTTGGTAGTTGCGATTGTTTTGTTGAGATTGTTACTATACATGTATTGTTCAGAATGCATCGTTTTTTTGTTTTTTTTTTTTTTTCAGAAACAATGCATGGATTGTTTCTGTGATGTGACAGAAACTATCACTCAAAATGAGTGATTGTTATATCTCAACTTTTCGTTGTGATTGTTGAGATAGTTGAGTTGAGATTGTTTTGTCTAAACTTTTAGCTTATGTGACATAAACAATCAGACATACCAAACGTTGTATTCTACAATGCATCAACTTCGACAATACATGTATAATATTATACATGTATTCACAACAATACATCCATTTAACAATCACAACTTCTAAACTAACTTTTTCGACGGTGTTGGTATTAAGGCTTGGAGATTAACCTTGGGCTTTAATTATTCTATGATTAGTTTAAATGATCTAACAATAATTTTCCCCACAGAGATATGTTAGGGAATAAAACAGCTTAAAATTTAATTTTTTAATTTTTTAATTTTTGAAAATGAAGTGGAAATTATAGAAAAGATTAAAATTTATTTTTTTAATAATTTTTTTAATGCCACGTCACACATTTAACGGTCAACTATTAGAGTTGACTGCCACATCAGCGAAAGTTAACGGAGACTAACGCAGAGTGACCAAACTTGAACTGTTGAACTAATTTTAGTGACTGTGAATGGAATAAACTAATTTGAGTGGCAAACGTAGATTTGTTTAGTAATTAGAGTGACCAAACTTGCAATTTACCCTTTTTCGAGCCAATCTATTTATTTTGGTTAAGGATAAACATGTCATTCAATAAAAAATAGAATTTCTTTCTTATTGGAATTAACAATCGTAGTTACCAAACAATCAACATTTTCAAATCTTTTTTCAACAATCCAAAGAGTTGAAATCTTTGGATATATACTGTGCGCACATATATAATATAGAAAAAATAGAAGATAAAAGAAAAAATCAAATTTGTTGAAAAAATATTAAAAGTATAGAGATAGCTCAATAAATAGATTTTTAGCTCAATTTTTTGTTTGTACTAAAAGTGTCAACATTGGCAACTTGTGAAGTCTTCAAGTGACTATGTGGCAATAAGTTACTTTTGTTTTGCTATAATATATAGTATAGTATAGTATAAATAGATAGATAAACATAAATAGATAAATATATATTCACAGTGCAATGCATGAATGTAAATACTAATTGTCGACTAATTACACAATATGTTGTAAGCTTCCTTTTGTTACTCTAAAGCTATCTATGAAAAGAAAGTGCCTTTATTTTTTCAGAGCTCCCATCGAAAATTGAATTCGCTACCTTTTGCTTACGAAGTGAATGCACGACTACCATGCTATGGAAGTAAGACATACTTCTTGCGTACTTATTATTTTTTCGCTATTTAATCAAACTTGATTAAAATATTAGTTTAGTCACTCCACTTCAAATTTTAAAATTCTAAGTGTTTTCATTTAACTCCTGTCATATGAGTATTTGTATTTTCTAAGAATTGTTTTGGAATAAATAATTATGTTTTTGTCCGTAAATATCCAAAGATTCAAATTAACTCCTATAGCATAGAAATTATGTCTCATAAGACAACTTCAAATTGGATAATGTCACAATGATATATTACATTAAGAAAAATTGGGCTACATCGTATTTATAAACAAGATCTCTAACTATTATAATAACTACTAGAATGAAATAGTAATCATAGAGTCATAATTAATTGGAGAATACTTTTTTATAAACCATAATATAAATAGTATAGTCAATAATTTCCTCCTCTTCAACATTTTTCCATAATATCGAATTTATAAAGGGTCTAAGAGAATATGTGAGAATCTCTTAAAAAAAAGTATTATAAGATTAAAAACACTTTACTAAAACAAATCAACATATCCTTCTTCCTTGTTTTATGAAAGATTTGTGTTTTCTTTTTCATGATTTGTGCAGATTATATCAAATAAGTTAGTGAAATAATATTTATGACACAATTTTAACTGAATCGATATGATATCTTTATTAACTTAATATTAAAAGAATATTCAAATGACAATACCAACTAATATACCACTGTTAGATAGTTTAACTGCAACAAAATTTCTCTATATATGTGCATATTGTACCAATATTGACTAACAATAGACGATGATATTATCAAATCACCAATATAATATGGTACACAAACCGGTTTATTTGGGTTGGTGCCTACCAATCCAATGCCGAGTTGTCGACAATGCTGCACATTTGTTACAGGGCTTGCTGATTTGGGCATCACTAAATTAGGTCAGTAAAATGGGTTGTGAAATATGCAATTTGGAAGATAGAACACAGAAGGTGGTTGACCTCCAAAACTAGAAAAAAAAACTTCATCCAATTTTCTATATATATATGGTTTTCCAGATCCCATCATCATCATCTTACAAGCATTTATCTCGAGACACCTCAACAAGGTAGAGAGAAAAAAATGCATACAGATATCACCCATGCCCGCCAGCTCTTTGTGCTGAAATTACACAATGACAATGAGGCAAGCAGTCTGCTGTGGCCTTCTGCAATCCATAATCGTATTAGGCAACGACAACCAATCCCCCGTTGGACAACATTTCTTAAGATTACTACATACATGCAAAAGCAGGAGCAGCAGTACTCCATGAATGGAGAAAAAGCTACACACAGAGTGAAGAAGAACGTGCACAAAGGCTTCTACTTGCCCGAAAATGGAAATCTCATTCGTTCTGATCTTTGTCGATTAAGAACACGGTCCTTTGGAGAAGATGTCTTCGGGCTCACACCAGCTTGACGCAGCATCTCTGCTATCAACATGTGTAAAGAGTTAGCTAGAAATGCTCTAGTGAAGCTTTCCCCTATATTGTGTGAAAGTTAAGGAGTAGAAAACTTGCCTCGCTGCCTTTCGAGCTCTTCATCAAGCTCTTCCTTCCACTTTCTTTGCCTCTCAGAGAAGCTTGCGCTGCAAGTCAAGACCAATGTGACTTTTCAAGTTTCGCAAAGTGAGGGTGTAAAGACAAGCATTTGAATGACTAGAACGGACTAACCAACCTGGGAGTGATTGGTTCCTGCTGCTCCCCATTAAGGATGCCATTTTTCCACTCGCTAATTTGAGGGGGTTGGATTTCCTGCAGAGCTCGAGAGTGGATGGTGCCATTCTCATTGGCCCTGTAACTTGCACGCATACCAGGACTACTGCTAGTAGGAGCATCAACAACAACTGAAGAAAGCCTTCTGCTCGGTGGCAGCTGTTTGGGAGACTTGCTTTTAGGGGGTAATAAGGAGATTGAAGAACTCCTCACATTTTCGTTATTTGTCTTTCCGGCTACTTTTGGTGTTGGACCAGTAGCATTCAATGTGTTGTAGAACTCCTTGTACAGAGGCGTTTGCAGCTTTTTCAGATCTAAAGCCTGGTTCAAATTGCAAGACAAGGAAGAGAGCTTGTAAAAAACTATCGGCAGAACATATGCAATAAACAACTGTGATGACACTTAAGAGACATGAATTCTACCTTTTCGTCCAAGAAGGCCCTGATTTTCGACTCTGTAACTTCTTCATCATCCTCAGTCCCCGATGGGCCACAAGGAAATGCAAACTCGTTTTCTTCCTTGCTGAATAGTGCAAGGCTGGCACTGGCAACTTCATTGATAAATTGGCTAGAATGCAGTTCGCTTCCCCTCATATCTGAACTCCCATGCGACATTGTTTGCCAATCATCAGTGGGCTCACACATTGGATTGAAACTCTGGTTCGAAAAAGGAATTGTTCTGCTTACTTATCTTGAACCTAAACTATACAAAGTTCATCAACTAAATGTTCAAATAAAAAAAATGTTGTTACCTTATTTAAGTCAGTAGACGAAAAGACAGACTTGAACTTCGATGATTTCCTAACAACCATGAAATCGTCTTTATCATCTATCTGGCACATATCATCATCTATATTAGAAGTGCCATGCCAATAGGACCCTGATCCTGATGTGCTCTCAGGATATATTATTGAGGATCTCATACTGCCACCCATGTCACCAATATCCTTTAATCCTCCACAGGTCGATCTTCTGATTGAAGGGTTCATGCTGCATCATTAATACATTTGTTAAATGTCATATAAGCAAAACCAGAAAAAGAATTTCGTAAGAAATGGCGGAGTTAAGTTACTGCTTACGAGTTCCTAAGGTTCATGGTGCTCGACATCAAATTTCTTGATTCCTGGAGTCAATAGATGAATGAATGTAGAATAAAACAGTGAGGAAGAGAGAATTAGGGAAGACAAAAAGAGAGAAGGAAGTCTTCTATTACATACCCTGAGTGAACTACGGAGTTGCGAAGTAGATTCATTATAATCCTCAGTGACAAATGGATGCTGCATATATAATAAGGATGAAAAGTTAAAAGTCTGACTCGCCTATGTTTCTCTAATCACCCAACTCCATGACTGCACTAGTACTCAAACAGAATTACTTCTTCTATTCATTGAGGTAATTCAAAGTTAAAGGTTCAACCACAGTAATCTTGCATATATCCAAAATATAAACACTTACCAGCAGCAACTCTGATGCAGTGGCCCTAAAGTCTGGTTCCCTGAGAGCACAAGCAGGTGAATATGAGACTCATGAAAATGAGAATGTAATCAAGAACTAAGCAGAGGTAGTATCCTAATGGTTACTCGAGGCTAATTTTAAAGAGACTTTCTTCCTGGGGAGCTCTAGAGCAACTTCCAGTTAAGACCTTCAATGTCAACTGAAATATACGAAAAGAAGGGACATCTGAAAATTAGGAGGAAAAGGACAGAAGAACGTACTTCTGTAAACATTTTAATAGAAAATCTTTAGCCTGAGCAGAGAGATGTTCAGGAATTGGGGGGTGCGATTTGGTCGTCCCAATATGAAAGAGAGCAGCAACCTGAAATAAAAACATGTGAACCAACTATTGTTAATATCAATGTTACATTTACATCAGATTGTAGAAAAATGTCAAGTTAATACAAATCTCTATTTACCTCTTGATATTGCTGGCTCCATGGGGGCTTTCCTGTAGCCATCTCGATGACCGTACATCCAACACTCCATATATCAGCAGAGCTAGAAAACAGATGGCAAGTAAATGAGCTATTCAGTGAGTCAGCTGACTTGGAGAACCAATTTACTAAATAGAAGTCGAAAGACTCAAGCACACAGAAGCTTAAAGTGAAATTGTCTCTCTTTGCAAGGAGCAATCTATAAAGACAAAGGGTTTTGATACCATTATTATCTATGACATATTGAGATCAGGAGTACCATAACTTGACACAACAGATTAAAAACTTTCTGCTAAGTTATTAACCGTCTTTTGTCCAAGCCGCTGCGGTGAAAAGCTATCTCTAATTTTTTTTTTCAGTCACCATGTCAATAGCCATTAACAAAATCATCCGGAAAAACATAATCAATTCGTCTTACAAGCTGTGTCCTGTCTGGAGGATAACTTCCGGTGCCATCCAATATGGAGTTCCCTTCATCGACTTGGCACAATTAATAGTAGCCTGGTACACAAATGTAAGACTTGAGCAACCGAACTTCAAGGACTACAGTCTGTTTAGAGAATTCAATAGGATAAAAAATATATATACCAGTTCAACAACTTTCTTGGAAGCTCCGAAGTCGGCAAGTTTAATGCAACCCTTGTTATCTACAAGAATGTTCGCCCCCTGCACCACAGCTCTTCAAATATTAGAATAACAGTAACTAACAAAGAGAATATAACCGGGACAACGATCATGTATGCTAAAATTTCATATCAAAAGTACCTTGATGTCCCTATGCATAATACCATTGCTATGAAGGTATGCCAGTCCCAGTAATAGCTGTTTAGTGTACATTCTGATCACCTGCTCGAAAGTAAGAATCTAAGAATATCCTTTCTGCAAAAGCTGAGAAGTGAATCTTGCAACAATGGCAGGAAGCAATTACTCACCGACTCGGGAAAGGAACCAAATTTCCCCAAAAGGGAAGAGATGGACCCGCCGGGAACAAATTCTAAGAGGATATTCAGGGAGTCGTCTTCTCTAACAGTTCCCAAATATCTCTGATCAACAAAAACAAGCAAGAGGTTTAAGCCATTAACTTGGCAAAACATCACTTTGGGAGGGCTAATAAAAGGTAGGTAAGCACACTCACCACAATGTTGGGATGGGAAAGGTTCTTCAGTAGCTTGACTTCCTCTTCCAGCTCTCTAACGTGAGCCTACACCAAATCCAATAAACAGAAGCTTTCTCAATAAACAAATACATACCCCAGCAACTCCAGTTTCCATTCGAGCTACACAAAACAATAAAGAATTCAACAATCAGCCCTCTACCTGGGCTTTCTCCTTGGAAGCACTGTTGGCAGCAATCAAAACCTACACAAAAACCCCCCCAAAACGCCACAAAAGGAGAAAGTCATGAACTTTGGACTGAATTAAGCCAACTGAAATGGAATCCCAGAAAAGATAGAAGGGGAATCAGCAATTTGTTTTACCTGCTTAACAGCGAGGAGCTCACCGGAATCGAGATTCATCCCCATGTAAACCCTACCAAACGCACCACAACCAATCAATTCCCCCTTTCTCCATCGGATCGAAGGTGCATCTGCATCGCCCTTTCTACCACTAGGCGAAGGAAGCGCCGGAGGGAAGGAGGGTTTAGTGAAAAGGCCGATTCGGGATTTTCGAATACTGGACCCAATCTTCTCCACGAATCCACTGAACCCACCTCCGCCGTCGTCCACTGATGTCGTGGTCGTGGATTTGAACACCAGCGACCGCCGCACTGATCCGAAAATGTCCTGCATATTCACAACTGCTCGAAATACTCCGTTGTGGCGATGGGAGAGGGGAAGAGAGAAACGGAGGCCGCGGAATGGGGTGGAATGTAGCCGTTAGAGGAGGTGAGTCCGGAAATGTCAAAGTGAAGTTTTCAATTGCGGGGAGCGAGAAATGGAAATTTGAACGGAGAGGGAAAGAAAACAAACACAGGAAAGTGAGAGAAGAGAACAGCGAAGGCGACTCTCTGTTTTTCCTTTTTTCTAAAAGATAAATTAATAAATTGGTAAATTGTAAAGTTGGTTAATGGAATTATTAAAAAGTTTGTTCATAAGAAATATTTTATTTTATTTGTAATCACCAAAATTAGTTCATTATCTCAAATTTGATCACTCTTCGTTTGGTCAAATTTCATCTAGTTGAGCATGTTTGCTTTCTCATTGATAAAAATGGTTCTAAGCAACAAAAATATTATATTATGTCACCCTATCTCTTCCAAGAATGCATTCCAAACCGAGCTTTCGCCACATGCAAGTAAAACTACCTAGACACAACATGAAAAACAAGAGTCAAACCCCATGAGTTCTATCCCTTGCTCGTAAATTATTTTGAGTTACGCGTTAAATAAACAATTATAATGATGATTTTGGGTCATTAATATTGAGAATTATCATTTTAAAGGTTATGTGTATGTGTTATTAATAATTTACCTTATTAATATTATTATATGTTAGTTTCTGTATAATACTTAAAATCCTATCATTTTATGATTGATTTTATGATTCCGATTTTACCCCAATTTTCGATTTTAAGTAAAATCCCGATTTTAAATGCATCGGATATAATACAAACTTTCATAGCAGTTTGTAGGTGATTCTTTTTGAAGCCTTGTATGATATCCTCCCTCTCAATTTTCAATATAGAACCCACTATTCACTCTAGTAGCAACAATAATTAGATATTATAACCACAATGTACAACGGTTGGGTGGGTTTCTCAATCATAACTCGTCCCTTACAGGCATTCTAAAGTGGAGCAACGAAGTCATTCTCTTAACCAATGCAGTTAAAAGCGTGATTCTATTCTGTAGCGGAAAAGGGGTAAAATCGTAAAGCGTAGAATTAAAGTGTAAAATCGTAAGTTTTTTACGCGCGCTGTAGAATAACTAAAAAACTGTTAAGTACGACATATACTATGTAAAAATATGAGTGCTAAGAATTTAGATAAGTTAATAAATACCTTCAATTCATGTATAAAGTAAAGCAACTTATAGCATCATAACAATAAGTTCATAAACATAAATAATCTTAATAATAAGCCACATTCCCCTCTATACTGGAATTTCAGAATGGCCTAGCAGGTGAATTAGATTATGTATTGAAGATGAGAATGTATCATAGTACCTGGTATGTATCTTTTAATCTCAAATGTATCATATAGTTGGTGATTTACCTTTAAAATATATTTTTTGTAATTAATTTCTTGAAAAGAATATCCATTTAGTGAACTAAAAACATGAAAGCGTAAAGCGCTTTGGTGAACTAGAAGCGTAAAAGCGCAAGATTTTAAGCTTTAAAACGTAACTTTGTCCAATTTCATACACTAACGATTTTATATAGAAATGAAAGCGTTTTGGTGACCTAAAAGCGTAAAACCGTAAGCTTTAAGTTTTAAAGCGCGATTTTAACTGCATTGATCTTAGCTCAACTGAGGCTAGTGATTGAATACCGACAATCATCATTTATCAAATTATCCTTCTAATCACTGATCAAACATCCAACAAAAAGCTTGAATGTAAACCTAGTATCGAAATCATGATTTTATTTATGATGCAAATCGATCTATAGATAGCAGTTAACAACCCAACCGCATTCCATTACAGATTATTTATCATACACAGTTGTCATTATGACAACAAACGTTTTTGCATATACTTTCGCGGTATATGCATTCAACATTTGAAATTATTTATTTAGTATAGTTCATTGTATCAAGGAGCAGTCGCGTATATTTGGCCCATCAATGCTCTAGTCTTCAGCACAATGCACAACTTGATAATCCACAGTAAGGTGGCCCTTCTGATCACTTCCCTCTCCATTGCTGTGAAGTTCCTCAAAAACCCTTTTCCCCAAGTTCAAATCCTTGTTGTTGCACTGGTTGCCCGTTGGAAGTCTCACCGTTGTTTGAGTTCCAGTTTTGCGGCTTGTAACCTACATATAAATCACATCGTTAGCATCCTTTTATCTCCTCTGATCCCCCCTATTTCATGTTTGCAACCATAAAAAAAGTGGTTTCAAAAACTACAGCGCATTAGTGACCAAAAGGTTGCAAAGAGAACATTTTTACCTTCAAGCATTGTCCGCAAGATGCACGAACACGGTTATTGGTGTTAGATTCACCTTGCTTGAGGCAAAATGGCGTCTCGACACCTTTTAGTTCCATTCCATGATGCGAGATATTGGCCGTGTGCGAAGAACAGGAAAGGCTCGCAGCTTTCAAATCCCATCGGTATCCATTAATATTGTCGTAGACTCCAGTACACTTCTCTCTAGGAAGGCAGGGATAACCTGGCCTGCTATAGATGCCAATACAGTAGTCTGAGGTATTCCCACAGTATGACGCATCGCTACAACAACGACCTTTGTCACATCTTGCACAATCGAAGCAAGGGCCACAACGATGGTCAGGCCTTTCACCACGAATTTGAGTAGCTGCCGCTAAGACAACTGCAAGTAGTGAAACTGCCACTATCGTGATCTTCATTCTTCTTCTTTCTTATTTTTCTTGTTTTTTATTTCTTGCTTGCTTGCTTGTGTGGAGATTTCAATCTCTTTATATAGGGGGTGTTAGATTTGGATTCATTTGGAGCATTGATGTAGTGATGGCGATTTGAACCCGCACTGCGGACCCACAGTAGCGTGGGGCGGAGCGTGGCTCATCTACTTTATATTCGCTCTGCCCTGTCCCGTCTCGCCCCGTTCTGTACCCATTTTATCTCAATATCTTAAGTATCTATATATATTTCTCCAATTTGGATTTTTTTTTCCAATTAGTTAGAGTCGATTTTTCAACTTGTTAGACTCAATTACCAATTCTATTTTCACTATTTTTCATTCATGGGCTCGTTTGCTTGTTGGATTTGAAAATGAGGGCTTTGAGTATTAAAAACCTTTGGATTTATGATTGATTTGTTGTATTATGGATTTGGAAGAGTTCATTGTTTGTTTGATTAATTTTTATCATGGATTTATCATTGATTTTCTCACAACTTTGCCTTTCATGATCAAATCCCAAATGAAATGTGGGATTTGCAAATTCGTGGGGTCCACAAATTTGGATCTAAAAAAAGGGGTCCAATTCCGTGGCACCCACATATTTGTGTCCCTTAGCAAACAATGGAGTTGTCTAAAATCCATGATGCTTGGGATTTGGGTTCCAAATCCATCACCCAAATTCCACAAGCAAACGATACCGAAGTGTTTTTTCCTTCGTTTAATCGTAAAAAGTACAATTTGTGTGTGTTTTTTTAAATAACATATAAGTGTGAGTCACCTCGCCACTTCCCGTACCCGCGCGGATTTTACCCACCCCAACTCGTAGTAGAATAGGGCCGGGCATAGGAATTGAGATACCCGCCCCGTCCCGCCCCATTGTCGTTACAACATTGATGGACTCTAGATCCAGTGGTGAACCTGCCCCGTGCCCACCTGCTAGCATGGCCCCTGCCTTCCCCTTTTAATTGTAGCATTAAATGAAGGAATATGTTATACTACACAATCCATTATATATGTAGTGCAAAATCATATCTAATGATGGTCGTAATTTTAAAAAAAGAAATTCAATGGTACCTATCATAAAAAATAAGGTGGGAAATAAAAAAAATTAGAGAGGAGCTGACCAAATTTTTAGTAGAAAACAAGGGGAAATGTATAATTTATATGAAAAATATAGGTATAAAATGAACTTGTATTATCCCTCTATAATATATACAAGTACTTTAGAAGTTAAATATATTTTTACGAGAAAAAAATGTCATTACAAAGACTTGAACTCAAGTCCTTTAGATTGATAGTCAATATCCCTAGCCAAATGGACTACAACAATGTTTATGTATTTTTTGAATTAAAGAGAGAAAATACTAAAATATCTCAAAATCATAGGACTATCCACCGCAACAATCAATCATCGAATTAATTAATAACTGTAATTATTTACAAAGTGAATCATCATGATATACCTAGCTTTATGAATCAACTAAGTGAGTTTCTCTAATCACACAATTCTTCAACAAGAATCAAATAGTACATTTTGAGTTTATGTATGTTTTACAACTTTTACATTTATTAGGTTACATGACTTTGTAGTTTGTAGGAATACAAGGATTGTTTAGTGTTTACAAAAGTGCTATACAAAATTTTATTTCAAAACATAAAATTTGACATTTGTGATCTATGGTATTGTAACGAGACATTTTCAATGCTATAAGTGAATGACCAAAAATCATTGGCTAACAATTTCTCTAATGGTTGACAGTTATAAGCATAAAATTGAAAGACTAAATACCAATGACAAATGAGCCAATTATCATTGGCTAAATTTAACAAACAATGGTATGTATATACATTGGAAATTATATGGTACGCTCGATGGATTGAGGGTTATTGCATCTCCTTAGTTAAATAACATTATCTAGACCATAGATTAATCACGTAACTAAACCCTATATCATAATTCTCTAAATCCTAATATACTGCATATGGTATGTTGTATACATCTTGACGAATCATTGATTATGTTCTTAGTATATGTGATATTAGGGTTTAAGTTCTATAGATTTAGGGTATATGATTTAATTATTTGAAACTGAATCTCCCTTTTCAAATTTCCTGCAATGAAAGGAAAATTAGGAAGGACATTTTTTTCTTCACAATTATATGTATTTTTTTATTTATTTACAAGAAAAGATAGACATATTGAGATTTGAACCATGGTCACTTCAAACTAAGTGAAGGTTTAAAATCAATCAGACTATGTAGTTTTGTTGTATTTTTTTTTAAATTTAAAATATATACGAAGCTAAAATATGAAATCACAGAACTTTTCAACAGTTAGCTACCCCAATAAATAGTCCGTAAGTACTTATTTGGTGTTTTGATACTTCGATTTTGATATTTTTATTTAATTATAGTTTAATATTTAATTTAAAATTTTATCTATCTTATAAATAGACGATAACCATAAATTTGCAACCAAAATATTGTTGGTTCGAATATTTCATATCGAATTATAGTAATGAATATGTAGAAGCGATATAGAATTCTTAAATTACCATTAATTCCATAACTATAGTGAAACAATCATATCTTTGTGCAAATTATAGGGGACTGGTTCTCTGAACATTTTTCTCCGGTTAAATACTAAGTTTTGAAACTCTTCCTAGGGGTGTACGTGGGTCGGTTCGTTTGGGTTTAGATATTTTAATCACCTAACTCATATACCACGATTTTGAAAACACTAAATACAAACTCACCCAAATAAATTAGAATTTTAACGGTTTGTGTCCTCCATACCAAATGAACCAATTTACATGTCGCTTAACTAAGGACGATCTCATTGTCCAATCCCATCATTCTAATGTCAATCCATAAAAGTAACTCATATTCGCGTTTGTTAACACATGTTTCACATTGTCATTACTGTGACTGGTAACTTCGCTGCAACTGATTCGGTATTGCTCATCATATGGCCTCCAAACTGATAAACATATCGTGCCAGCAATTTTATGACAAAACTCAAAGTGAAGACAACTCATCGTTTGGTGAAATTTTGGCGCTTGCTGGTGTCCATTAATCTAATTGCAACACACATGGGAGTTGAGGGTGTGAACTTGGAGTAAAAGTTGATATTAGGTTTAGGAAGGGAAGTGGTGAGAGGAAGAAATTGTGTTTGGATTTAGTAGCAGGTAAAGTTCATGGTTCAGTTTATTTTCATAAAATGTTTTGATTTATTTTAGTTAGAGGTATAATATCATGGTTATGTGGGATCAAATGAAAAAAATGAGTTTGGGGCATGAGAATTCCAACTTAGAAGAAGTGGATTAGATTTTGATATACTCAAGTTCATGATTAACTGAAAGAATATTTATATTTAGACTTTGTGGCATTGAGATGTTCATAGAGAGTTTAAAACTGATCCAAAGCCATGGATTAATATTGGTTAGTTGATTGTGATTTTGAGGAAGGTGTATAAAAAGTCATGGAAGTAGTTTATAGGAAGTGAAGGCAGTGAAGAGGCAGTTGGTCAAGGTAGTGATTGAACTAAGGAGGGTATTGAAAGACATAGAAGCAAAATCGGAGCAGTTGGAGAGAGAAAAATAGTAGATGATCAGGATATTAATGAAAATGGAGAGGATATTGAAGGACATGGAAGTGAACTGGATCAGGTGAAGGCAGAGAAGGAGGAGAAGAGCATATTGATGGAATTGAAGATGAGTGTTGGTTTTACGAGCTTATTAAAACTGCCTCGAGAAAGATGAGTTGGCCAAATACAAGAAAGAGGATTGAGGAGTTAGAGATCAAGCTGACAATAAACTCAATTGAAAGAGAAATTAAGGTTCATGGAGAGAAGGTCCATCAAAGTAGCATAAATGGAGTTGCAGAAGGAGGATTAGAAATTGAATTTTGGTTTAAAACATATACTTCGAGAGATTGAAGATGGAGGGGATAAAAAGTTGGTTGTACAACGGAGAGTGGAAATTATTGGATCTTTAGGTGTTATGGTTGTTGCAACTACCACAACCTATGTTTTTGTTAAAATGAGGAATCATTAATTGATTTACTAAAGTTAAAGTCGATTCACTATTCAAACTACTGGAACCTGTAGATAAGGAGTGTCTAATTTTGTGCCTCGTTACTTTGATCGAGTTTATTAGTATATTGGACGTAACTCTAATTTTTTCATTTGCTCTCAAGTTTTGATGGTCTCCTTTTAGTTGAGTTGTTAGCATATGATTTACTTGAATCAACAACTTTTTATTTCTGTTTTTTTTTTATAAATCCATTTCTTTTTTATTAGTGACATGTTATTCATAGAGGAGAGCTTTGAACCATTTATGTGGGATTGTGAGGTTTCATTTCAGTTTCAAACTATTTATGGATCGTGTAGGAATTCCAATGAGCTTTTATATTATATATTTCTGAACAATCTATTAACCAATATCATTTTAATGGGGCTCAATCATCATTATGAAAATGGGATTAATGATACATTTTTATATTCTTAAATGAGGAGGGTATTTCCCTGAATGTTCGACCTATATATTCATTCTTTATGTAGCATTTCGATTGAATGATTTTCAATAAACTTAAACGAATTAATAGACTTAAACATAACATTAAAATATAAACATTCCGGCCAACAGGCCGGATTATAAGCTAGTTAAAAATATTTCTTAAAACGATAATACCATTGCTTATAAACATAATAGTGGAACTCTTTATTTGGTTAATTCGGTACTAGATTATGGCCCGGCCTCTTGGCCGGGAGAGTTTGATTCTCATGTTGTCATGTATAAGTAAAGGTATATATTTTTGTTATGGTTCATGTTGTTGGGGGTTGAAGTAACTATTTAGTTTGGTAAGTTCATCATTAATAATATAGGAAAGTATTTAATGTATTTGACTAACGAAGTTTTAAAAATGACGAACAACGTCCAATGTAAAAGTAAGCCATGTTTCTATCTAAACGAAAAAATATACTAAATTGAATCCAATGTAAAAGTAACGATGAAGATATATATTATATCTACCTAATGAATAATAAAGTAAGCCATGTTTCTTAGAGACCTCTCTCGATAGAATCACTCAATGATAAAAACAATTTCGTCAAACAATTGTATCATATGAGTTTTAACTTAAAAATTTAAGTGCTTATAATTAGCTATTTCAGCTCATAAATGAATTAATTATACCATTTGGTATAAAAAATTATAAACTTGGGAGTTATTTTCCTTGTTGTTAAATCATTTGAATTGAAGTATGAAAGTGCTTTAGAACTGTTACTTCATTCATCATTATTACAATTTTATTACAACGTCTAAGCTTGTCTATGCGAGCTAGGAGATAGACAAATGCACAATGACCACCTTACGATTAACGTGTTGTTGAACCTCAATAATTATAGCAAACTTTGAAAGCATCTTATAAATTTGATCACTTCTATTTGGTATAATTGATTACATCCTGAAACTGATCATTCAAGGAGTCTTTCTATACGATTTTGATAAGATGTCCCCTAATGCACAATTAGTATGACTAAATTGTAATAAGATAATCATGTATTGAATTTTAATTGATAGCGCAAAAGATCGTACTAACTCAAGTAGAGTTTTAGCTACTCAGTACTTCAGATCCACATATAGATAGCTACTTCAAAGAGTTCAAATATTGATTGAGTTTGTTGAACTTTACCTAACAAAACTATGATATCACTCGCAAGATATGATGCTTTTTCGAGAAATTGTGAGAATATGTTGGAGACAAATAAGCAACATTTATAGTCAATAGATTATACATAAAAAATATTCATCATTCTCATAAGTTGGTAGGAAGCAGTGAATAATTAGGAATGTAAATCTAGAAACATAGTTGATTGAACAAATAACTGCAAAAAATATTGGAAAAAAGAAAAAAAATGCTTAGAGTGTAGACATGAGAGTGTTACATTAAACCCTCAAACAGAAAGCAAGTAACCATTAATAGTTAGTTGTGGATATTGAAATAGTTTACTAAGTTGAATACTATATACTAGTGATTAATAATTGGACCTTAGCTTGAACATTGCATCATGTTGATAAAAATTGTTTCATTTAATTACAATGTTGAAATAAGGGGTTGTATATGGAAGTCTTGATTGTTTTTTAAAATTTTTAAAATAAATATATATTTCATAATACAATACATATTTTTTTTATTTTTGTTCATACACAATCGTGAATTATTTACTTGATTTGACTAAACTATCACTCAAATTGAATGATTAAACAAATTCGAATTTTAGCATAGACTGTCGAGATAATTGGTATCGGTGTTGTCATGTTTATTTTTCTTGAAATGTATGGTACCAGTGTTCTTATTTCATCATTGAACACTTCAATTCAATGTGCAATATTCCAACCAATGATATTTGTGTTGAGATTTTAAGATTATCCTTCATTTATAAGTTAGAAAAAATTCTAAATTAATTATTAAAATATAAAAATAGAATTATCAAACACCACAAAATACTTATAGGAGACTTAGCGGGCTAACTAACCGTGATAGAAAAGTACTATGTTTTTCATAATTTTAACTTCCTCTATGTTTTGTTTTAATAAAGTACAACAAATGTGCCTAGTCTAATTGGTTTCAATTTTTGTCTTTGATGGAAAAGACCATCGTTCAAATCCTAGCATTGATATATTTTTATATGAAATAAACAATTGATTGTGTAGACGAAAATACCCTTCCTACTTTCACTCTTGTTTGCAGGAAATTTGAAATGGAGTAAATCAAACTCTTTAAAATGTATTATAAGTAGTGTAGAGATGTAGAGATGTTTTGGTCTAATGGTGCACTCAAGATTATCGACCCCAAGGCCCAAACCCTACTCGGCAGCCCTAATAATAAAATTAATTACAATAATTCAAAACAAACCTAACTTAATCGGCCGCACCACATTACCACACCAAACGAGTCCCAATAATAATAAAAACCCAAAACAAACTCCCCTATCAATTCTATTCTGCCAAACTCTAAGTCTAGAGTTTGGTTATGGTAGCAAAATTAACCCACAACCATTGAATTTAAGTGAGAGAAATGGAAAATTAGGAAAAGATAATTAAATATATCTTATGGATATTAATCAAGGTTTAGATCGTATTTGAGTTACACCAGAAAAGTCACTTGTAGAGTATTTTTGTACTAATATCAAGATTTAATTATGATTCAACAGTCTCGTACAATAAAGTTGCCTACCATTTAGGGTCCACTATCCGGTATTTTTGGTCTTATCAAATTGTATGTTCCAATTTCTAAAATATCGCTAATAATGGATGAGAGATGTTTATGAAATTACGAAAAAATGCACTAAATCAGACCCCTTCATTCTATCTCTTTTATCTAAGATTTACTTTTTACCATTTAACTTTGAATGGATCATATCATTACACTACAACAATCTACACATGTAGCTGGGAAAGTTTTCGTGGCTAAAGGATAAATATTTTGTGGCTAAATTATGTAGCTACAAAAAATTCATTTTGTAGCTCTCGTAGCTAAATGTGGCGCAGCTAAAAGTTAGCTACACATTTTCTTATTTGCATATTTAATAACCAACACTTGTAGCTTTAAGCAAAATATATTATAGCAAAAACATAAACTGGTTTTTGCCATACAAATAAATTTGATATAGCAAAATCATTAAAATATTTAGCTTCACAACACATGATGTATGGCTCTATCTACTATTTTTCCATGCACTCCCTTGCTTTGAAACTGAATAATCATAATTTTTGCTATGACATATTCTGTATCTAATAAAATATTCATGGATAAATCAACAATAAATTTGCCATGATTCATTTTGTAGCTAAAGCAATTCAGTTCTTGCTACCAAAAGAATTGTGGCGGTTAGTTTGCCATACAGCTTTCAATAAACTATTCATGGCTAGATTTATATATTTTTTGTTATAAAATTCATTATAGCTATATCTTTTGAGCCTTTGCTACCACACAAATAAACATGGCATAAAAAATTATTTAGCTTTAAATAAGATTTTCGTGGCAAGAAGTTATATGCTTCTGCTATAGAATTCTTCATAGCTAAACAATAAAACTTATTGATACCTCATAAAATTTAGCTTCGTTCTATTATTTTCTACGGAACTATTGGTAGCAAATGTTATACTTCTAGCTTCAAATCTATACATTTATAATTACGATGAAACGTAGATGTGGCTATAGTATAATTTATCTAACATAATAAGTACATATCCTACTATTAATGTAGCTACTCACATAATTTATTATTAGAATAATAATATTATTATTATTATTATTATTATTATTATTAGGGTGTGCCTACGGTGACATGCATGTCACGGTGACTTGCACTTTTCAGTCGACCTCAATTAGGATTAGGTCGACCTCATGTAAGATTAGGTCGACCTCATTTAGGATTAGGTCGACCTCATATAGGATTGGGTCGACCTCATTTAGGATTAGGTCGACCTAATCGGTTGTTTCAGTGTAAAAACAGTTTCATGGTACCTACTTTGGAGATTCATATCTTACAATTGGCTCGATGGAAATGGGAGATTAATGGCTTGTATTGAAGCTGGAGTGTCCCTCTACACATTGAAGTTCTTGGGAGCTCGATAGGAAGTCCAGAAGAACATTTTTGAACTTGATCAAAAGGCTATGCCAAAACTGGGAAACTGGCTGAAAATGGCCAACTCTAGGAACGTGTTTGTGAAGCTTACTTTGGAGCTCAATTCGAGAAGCATGAATGCGAGTCGAGACTAGGGGCCTCTACCATGTTAAATCAGGTATGTTTTTATACAAAGTCAAGTCATTGGATCAAACATTGGATACCTGTAAGGCTTCAAACAAAAGGGTCGAAGTTGCTACGAAGACTTTTTCTGGCAGACTTCGAGCACAAGCTGGCTGCCAGAAAAACAGCTTTTGTAGCAACTTCGACCCTTTTGTTTGAAGGCTTACAGATATCCAATCTTTCATCCAATGCCTTGACTTTGTATAAAAACATACCTAATTTAACGTGGTCGAGACCCCTTGACTCGATTAGCATCCATGCTTCTCGAATTGAGTTCCAAAGTAGGCTTCACAAACACGTTCCCAGACTTAGCCATTTTCAGGCAGTTTCCAAGTTTTGGCATAGCCTTTTGATATGGTTCAAAAATGGTGTTTTGGACTTTTTATTGAGCTCCCAAGTACTTTAATATGTAGAGGGACACTTCAGATTCAAAACAAGCCATTGATCTCCAATTTCCATCTAGCCAATTGTAAGATATGAATCTCCAAAGTAGGCACCATGAAACTGTTTTTACACTGAAACAACAGATTAGGTCGACCTAATCCTATATGAGATCGACCGAAAAGTGCATGTCACCATGACATGCATATCACCGTAGCGAAGTCCTAAAAATTAGAGTGAACATAATATATAAAAATGAAATTCCATTTCAGCCGAACAGTAGCAGTTGTTACAAAGAAAATGAAACAGTGCAAAAAAAAAAATGAAACAAAAGATGTCACAATATTGAAAAAGTAAATAACTCTTTAAATCCTTGATCAATGGCTAATTGTTTGCTCCCAGTAACCTGAAAAAGCATATTAAACATGAACATGAGAAACATATCAAAAGTAGAGTGATTTTATATGAATATCGATCATATAAATCAAACATTAAAATTATTTTTGAATAACATACCTCATCATTTTAAATATCAGACTCCTCCCTTAAAGGTACTCTTCTATTTGCTAGCAACATCTGAAATTTTTCTTCCCATTTTTTGTTCATTTCTGCCATTTGCTCTTGAAAATCTTTTGTAATTTGATCAACTCTTTGATTAGTTTCCCTTTTAACTTCTTCCACTTGTGCAACGAAGATGCATTACATTGCTTGAAGTGTTCTGGACCTAGATATAAGGATGTTTCTGAGCAAGACAAGTGCAATAAATCAGAAAAGAAAAAAGGAGTTGCTCATAAAGTTTTGCGTTACTTTCCTTTGAAACCAAGGTTGCAAAGATTATTTATGTCACCAGAAGTAGCTGCAAACATGCGATGGCATCATGATGAGCGTTTGAAAGATGAGATTCTTAGACATCCAGCAGTGTGGAAGTCTTTTGATAAACTAGATCCAGGGTTTGTCATAGAACCTCGTAATGTCAAGTTAGGATTATCAGCAGACGGAGTCAATCCTTTTGGAAACATGAATAATTCTCACAGTACTTGGTCGGTTGTTGTTACCGCTTATAATTTGCCACCTTGGATGTGTATGAAGCAACCATATTATATGTTGTCATTATTAATTCCTGGTTCTAAAGCTCCTGGAAATGATATTGATCTGTATTTACAGCCTTTGGTAGAGGAGTTGAAAGAACTGTGGTATTATGGTGTTGATACTTATGATGCTTCAAGGAAAGAAACTTTTCGTATGCGTGCTGCACTTTTGTGGACCATTAATGACTTTCCATCCTATGCAAATTTATCAGGATGGAGCACAAAGGGAGCATTAGCATGCCCTTCATGTCATAAGGAGACTCATGCTATCAGGCTGAAACATGGGAAAAAGTTTTCTTACATGGGTACTCATCGGTTTTTATCTTCTGAACACAGGTGGCGTGGTGATAAGCGGTCCTTTGATGGAACGGTCGACCATAGGTCTGCTCCAACACCCTTATCAAATGACCAAGTATTCAAACAAGTGAACAATCTTGAATTTCAAGAGTTTGGCAAAGATGAGCAAAAGAACAAGAAATATGTTCGCAAAAAGTATTTGAATTGGAGAAAAAAAAAGTATTTTTTTTCCAGCTACCTTATTGGAAGAGGAATTTACTACGTCATAACCTTGATGTTATGCACATTGAAAAGAATATACGTGATAACATTATTGACAGTTGACACTTCGCTGAATATTGAGGGAAAAACTAAAGATGGGTTGAATGCCCGACGAGATGTGATGCAATGCATATGAGGATAAGGAAAAAGTTACATCCCAAAGAGAAAGATGGAAAGATTTATATACCACCGGCATGTTACAATCTTTCTTCAGCACAAAATAAGAAGTTATGCAGGTTTTTGAAGGTTGTGAAAGTTCCTGATGGCTTTTCTTCGAATGTGTCTAGATGTGTGAGTGTGAGAGATCACAAAATAGTTGGGCTTAAAAGTCAAGATTCTCATATTATGCTAGAGCGTCTTCTATCTCCTACTCTACGTGGTATTGCCCTTCCAAGTGTTTACGATGCCATTACTGAATTGTGCATATATTTTAGAGAGTTCTAGAGAATTGAGTGTGGATGTTTTAGAGCATCTTAACTTTACAATTCCTACAACACTGTGCAAGCTCAAGAGATTGTTTCCACCAACATTCTTTGATGTTATGGTGCATTTAGCTGTTCATCTTGCTACTGAAGCAAAACTTGCCTGACCAGTTCAATTTCGATGGATGTACCCAGTAGAGAGGTAATATTTCATTATATATAAGATATATGAACTAAGTTATGTTTGAGTTTGTGTTACTCTAATTTGTGTAATGGGTTCTTGTGTTGGTGCAGGTTTCTTCGTAAATTGAAATATTATGTTCGAAATAAAAATCGCCCAAAAGGTTCTATGGAAGAAGGATATATTGTGGAAGAGAGTATTATATTTTGTTCAAGGTACTTACAGGGAATGGAAACTCCATTCAATAAATTGGAGAGAAATGCTGATGGATGCCATATTAATTCAAGTAAAAAACTATCAGTTTTTGGTCAAGCTGGATATCCATTAACAACAATTAAATCAAGATCATTGGAATTCTCAGAAAGAGAGCAAGCTCTTCCTTATGTCTTAAATAATTGTGAAGAAGTTGAACCTTTTCTAAGGTATGTTTTCATAATTATTCTTATCGGATTTTCTTAAACAATGTATGAGATGTATTAAATATTGCTTTCTCTTCTATTTTGATCTGGGTGTAGGGAATATGAGAAAGATGCACATGATGTAGCATTCCATCAATGGTTCTATAACAAGGTAGTCCCTTATGCATTGTAAATTCTATGATGAATGCGCAATCATGATTGTTATACATGGTTTATTGTATAATTAACATACATCTTTTAATTAAATATAGGCATCAGAATTATGTAAAGACAATGATGAGTTGACAAGAGAAGAATTAATTTCTCTAGCTCAGGGTCCTCTCTATGGTGTTGAAAGGTTCAGTGGATATGTCATAAATGGTTTCAGGTTTCATAATGAAGAGCTAGGGGAAAAAAGAGTCAAACAGAATACTGGTGTTATGCTTAAAGGAGTTTCAGAATCAACAACCATGGATTATTATGGAGTTATTACATAAATGATTGAGCTTCAATATTTAGGCGGGAACAGGATTCTATTGTTCAAATGTGATTGGTGGGATGTTGTCAACATTGGAAGGAGAGTCAAGATGGACAAGCATGGGTTTATTAGTGTGAATTCATCACGCAAACTATCGACTAATGAGTCATTTGTACTTGCATCTTAAGTAGAGCAGTTTTTATGTTGAAGATGGGTTGAATCCTAACTGGCTTCTTATTCTGAAAGGTCAATTTTGTAGCTCTTTTGATTGTATTTCAGCAGATCAGTATGTCAATGAATTGTCATATGATCAAGAAGATGCTTTTCAACAGGGGATGTCTGAACTCCATCATATTCAAGGTTCTAAAGATGATGAACTGATTAGTTGGGAGAAAGAATCTCCCCAATATGATTTTATGGTTCATAACGAATCTGATGGTATTGGTAGCAATCATGATAGTGACAATGGTGAAGATGAAGATAATAGTTCTTATGAGGAAGAAGATGATGAAGACCTCTTGTTATAAGGTATAACATATATTATATTTGACAACTTTTGTTTGTTTTAATGATTTCCTCAAAATTAGAATTTAATTTTGTAATTTTCTTGTTGTACAGCTACATGTGATATCATGTTCAAATCCTTTATCAGAGCTTGCCATTTTTGGAGATATTTGGCAGTCACACTCACCTCATATTTTGTTGGTTTCTCCTCAGTATTGGTACATGAGAATGCATTCTCATTATTTCTGGAATACAAAAACTTCCTTTAAGTTTAGCTGATTATTATGAACCTAGAGAATGTGTAGACTGATTTAGTGGTAGTTTGTATGGATTATTGTGTTCTTGAACCTCGTGCTTTTCTTGTTTGGACTAATTATCTTCTATGTCAAAATTTGTTAAGAAACCTCTTTTTATTTGGTTCCTTTGTAAGCTATTAATTTTTTCTCAACAAAGTTATTTATTTATTGTTTCATAAAGAATGATTTGGTCCTCAGCTATCCCAAATTACATTAAATTCACATCTTCGAATATTAGAAACCTAGCTTTGCACCATGCCCATCCATTACAAACCATTATCCTACATACTAGCAAAGCTAGAAACTAACAGGAACATCGGTCTTCTAAACTCCATTACAATGAACGAAAAGTTCAATTGAAAATAGCCATAAACTATATGATTTGGGATTAATATTGAAGTAAATTAGCCAAGTTCCTCATCTATCAACTCCCCATCCAAATCCCATTGATATCAAACTCGCATTCATATAAAACCAAACAATGAAAGTAATAAGAGAAGGATACAAACAAAAAATAAAGAGGGCAGAGAACTCAGAGCCACTTTTACAAGTTGGCTTCCGCAGACTGGCAATGACGATGACACAAAAGGTCTCAACACTATAAAAAGTGTCCAGTTTAATGTATGGCTACAGTGTGCATGGCCTTGGCAAGTGGTGATAGGTTGCTACCATTAGCTACCATTTATATATCCATAGCAAACGTAGTTTTTTTCTAGGTTGTTTTAAGGAAATTAAAGATAATATAATTTACTTATTGCTACAAATTATTATATATAAAACTATCATTTCATGTTGGTCACCTACAATTTAGAATTTTCGTAACTGAATATTATTAGTAGTTGCGAGATCATATTTTGTGGCTAAAAGTAATAAAATTGTCATGCATAAAAAAGTTTAACACTAAAATGCAATAAGTTGGCTACGACTCATGTTGTGGCAAACAATGTAGTAGCTAAAACATTAGTTATGGCTACAATTCTTGTAGAGCAAAACTAAAAATCACCATTGGCTACAAAAAATGACTTCTGTAGATATATATTCATTTTGAAATATGATTAGCTATGAAGTAATAAAATATATAGCTATTGTTGTACACTAGCCACAATTACTTGACCTGTAACTAAGAATTCGTGTCTATATGTATGGTTTGTTGTAGTGTTTTCACTTAACTGCACAAAAAAACGGAGTCTGAACACCTTCTAGTTTCATTCCATGCAACGAGATATTGGCTGTGTGCGATGAACAAGTAATGCTCACAGCTTTCAAATCCATCCGTATTCGTTAAGATATGTACATGGCTTTCTTTTAGGCTCGCAAAGAATCTACGTTGGCTTATTGTATATGCTGGTACAATAATATGAGATATTCCAGCAATATGAAAAATTGCTATGAGATAATAATAAAAAACACAATAATGCATATCAGAAATAAAAAAATACATACATGAACACAAAAATACATACTCGATTATAATTTGGATCTAAGGGAAGGAGGAGAGGACCATGGTCACTTGAATGTATTTTCAAGTGTCGTGTTGGGTCGTTCACATCCACTTATAGTATCCTTTCTCTCCAAGTGAAGCCCAATTGTTTGGCCTTGTGGGAGTTGGTCATTGAGTGCAAGCAGTAGAGCCTTCGTACTTAAAAGGTTGCTCATTGAATAAGAGTGTGTTGTATTGTTGTTTAGTAGTGTTAACAAAGTCATTGTCTAAACTCAATTGGGGCAAGTGATTGAATAGTGACATGCATGATTTATCAAATTATCCTTTTAATCGATGCTCAAATGTCCAAACAAAAGATGAACATAAACCTAGAATTGAAAACAGGATTTATCCATAATGCATATTGATAAATAACATTAACAATCTAACAAATCCGCCACAAACTATTTATCACATTATCGTTGTCATTTGACAACAAAATGTTGGTTGCGTCGAGCGCGAGACTTTATACCTGTCTTTTGATCACTTTTGGATATAACTAACAAATATTGGTTAATCAAATTCTAACACCCTGATAATGTATAAATAATATCACCTTGACTGAAGATGCACGGAATACACCTAGTGTTTGCTAAGAAGAATTAAGACTCAATCAAAATAAATAACTAAACAACCCAAATCCCAAGCCTAGCACGTTACCTTCGGCTACTTTGATTGGGTTTCAAATCACCTTAATAGTCTACTCAAGTGGGTCACACTCGACAGACCAAGCAGAGAAATTGAAGCCCAATTGTTTAATCTATCAACCCGGCCCAACTGCTCAACTAACTAAAACGATCGAGTTTTAACTTCAAACTCTAAAGACTTCCCCTTTCCCTTGTATTCGATCAACAACAGCACTGTAACTGAATTTAAACACACAAAATAATGAACACCAAGAACAAATAACAGAACCCAGTTGTTCTGCCCAGAACCTTGGAATCGAACTGTACCAAACCAGGAAAGGTAAGCTGACGATTAGTACTACGGTCAGGACTTACTTTCCCTTCAGTTCTAATTGAGATCCCTGCAATCACAGACTGTACAGAAATAAACACAGAAGCATTCACAGAACAAAAGCAGAAAAAACAGAGCAAGAACACAGCCCACGATTTTTACGTGGTTTCCAGTATTGGGAGAATGAGGATCCCAATACTGACTACTCCACGGTCAGAGAATCACGATTGTGTGATCTCCGACGATTCACTATGATTTTGCGTTGAAGTTCTTCGTTACAAGCTATCTACCCAAGAGCCCTTTGATCAATCTCTACCCGATTGATCTAACACTCTTTTCTCAAACCCGAATTGCTTCCCCAGCAACTCGAAACCAGTGTTTCCCCAACACTAACCCTCAAAGCAATTCTCCCCGAACTCTTTGAGAAAACCCCCTTTCCCTATCAACCTTGCTACTCTCACAAAATCCCCTTTTGTCTTAGCTAGCTATGTTGATCTCTTGAAAGGTTGATTTTGCTCTTCTTTCTAATCGCCTTTTATAGGCCACAATGTAGCTGTTGAGAATTTGAATTCCCTTGGAATCATCAACTATGGCAAGTTCTTATTCTTTCTTCTTTTGACCCGAAAACTTGCCTCAATTGATTTTGGACAGCTCCCTCAATTCCAGCTGTGATTTGATTCTTTGTCTTGGCCTTCAAGCTGCTCTTGTCAACATTCTCCCCCTCAGCTTGTTAATGGCCAAGCTTCTCCCCCTAAGCTTGTCAAGGTTCACTCCTAACCTGCTTACATTCAGAATCTGCACACTGAACAAACTGTTGGTGCAGCCTGTCCAATTTTCTAATCAAGGCAGCAAGAGTTCCGAATTTAAATCATAAAAATGGGAGCTCATTTTATTCAGTGACTAACAAACACATACTGACTTTAACAGAACTTAATTGACTCAGGACACTGGACTTCAAAAAGTCTTATTTAAGACACTTAACCAGCCTTGCTACTAGCATCAAGACTCGACTCAAACATCTTGACAACCAGACCAGACTTCATGGACCGACAACGACGGCACTCATGGATCTCCCCCTACGATAGTTAGACGAAAGACTCCCTAGTAGGTGTACTCCGGAGAGGACACGAACTCAGATGGATCGCTTTCCTCTTCTTCTGAGGATACGAACAAGACCTTGTTGACCTTCTTGATCTTCTTGCTCGGAGAGCCAGCCTCTTTCCCTTTCAAAGACAGCTTCAGATCCTGAAGTAGCCTTTTCCCTTCCTTCTCCAGTCTACTTCCTTCCTGGAGGTGTCCCAAGTCCAAAGCTCTCTTGCGTGTCCCAGATGATTCAGCCTTTTCCTTTTCTTTGTCGAGCCTCACAGTAATCATTGCAGCCCTGTGGTTTGCCTCGGAATCTGATGCAGTCTGATCAGCAGCAGCAGGTTGCTCTCCCCCTTGAACATTGACAAGCCGTTGAGGTCCTAGCGCCGAGAATGTGCGACGCATAATGTGCTGAGCTTGGAGATCAGAGTGAACTTCGCGGGTGAAGAGTTTTCCACGCAGATCAACACCTAGGATAGACAGCAGTGAGGTAATCTGCGGCCCAAAGGGCAACTTCCCGCTGCATTCTTCCTCTCTATATTTAATCATATGATTAAACATGAGAGCTGCATAACTGATCGGGCAGCTGGTTTTGGCATTAAACATAATCCATAAGTCGGATTCGTCGAGAGTTGAGGCCGTGGCAGCGTCACGGGGAAGGAACAGACGAGTGATGTAGAAATGTAGGGCTTTCAGCTCATCGGGAATGCGCTCAACTGAGAACATGGAGAATGGGTGCTTCCCATAATCACGAGCTAGATACGACATTGTATCTATGGGATGAAACCCATAGCTATCAAAGTCTTCTGTCGTTCCAGCAATGTAGCCGTCGTGAGGAAGATGCAGGAGGGTGGCCAGCACATCAGCCGTGATTGTCACGCTGAAGTTGTAGACGGTAGTGGTGAAAAACGACGGGTAGCGTCCCGGACCGCACTGCATACTTGCGTAGAACATTCTCACAGCCTCAGGACACTGGTCAAGAATCCGATTCTGAAGAAGAGAGCTCCACCCAAGGTCATTGATGTAGCCATTGACTCTCAGTCCATACCGATTGAATGTGGTAGGAGGGATGATAAATGCGGGTTGGAGGGGACGATCACAAAAGCTTCGCAGATACCTGGAGTAGGCTTCTGAGTTGCGGAATCCCCGATTAGTGAAGATTGCAGCAGGTGCAAGGTTCACATTGAGCTGGGGATTGCTAGGCGCCATAGTGAAAGCAGAGAGCTGTGGCTGCTATTTTTGGTGAAGGTGCTGGAAGTAATATGGGATTGCGAGGATAGGCATTCCGAAGGTAGATGAGGGCTTCTTTAAATTGGCTGGTCGATAGCGAGTTTGGGAAGGTGGATGGTAGGAGGAGATTCGAATCATCTTGATTCAGAGAATCAATTAGGAGGATGTGAACCTCAGTCACGGGATTCTCTCTTCCCATTTTTGAAGTTGAGAAGAGGGTGCAGCGGGAAGGAATGGATCGAGCAGAGATATTGGGGATATGAGCAGAATGGAAGGAATGGATCGAACAGAAGGGCGACAACTGCGAAAAATTAGGGGATGGTGGACAGAGGAGCGACAGAAGGGCGACAGCAGCGAAGATGGTACTAGATCGATTCTTTCCTAAGAATACCGCACAGGAGGGCACCCGGAAACGACGGCTGTTCGGCTGGGAACGACGACTAAACCGGCCGGAGTTGCAGGTGGAAAATTTTGGGCTTTAGCCCGCCAGTCAATGCAGAAAGCCCACCCGGTCAAGTGTTGGCTCAAGTCAAGTTAGTGGAAGGAATGAGCTTACAGGCTCTGGGCTTCGGCCCACTAGGTCTTGTTAGAGGTTTGCAACATTTCATCCGGGCCAAGAGATCAAATGGAGTCATTTTCTCTTAAAATTCTAAGTTTGACTATTAGCTCCAACTAATGTGAGTTTTGACACTTTTACTTTAAGTAATTAATTTCACTGGAGAGCATAAGACCGAGTTCTCGCCGAATAGTGAGAAATTGATCCACACTAAGAGGTTTGGTAAAGATATGGGCCCATTGATTTGTCGTTGGCACAAATTCAAGCTGAATTTGACCTTCTTCAATCAAATCTCGAATAAAATGATACCTAATTTCTATGTGCTTGGTTCGAGAATGTTGTACGGGATTTCTTGCCATGTTGATGGCACTCGTATTGTCACACAATACGGGCATGGACTTAATTACTATCCCGTAGTCACAAAGTTGATGCTTCATCCAAAGGAGTTGAGTAAAGCACAGCCCAGCGGCCACGTATTCAGCCTCGGCGGTGGATAGAGCAACAGAGCTTTTTTTTTGCTAAACCACGACACAAGGGAATTTCCGAGAAATTGACAAGTCCCGGAAGTGCTTTTACGATCAACTATGCATCCAGCATAGTCTGAGTCACTGTAGCCAATTAAGTCAAGACTTGACTCACTATCATACCAAAGGCCTAGATCCATTGTGCCAGCCAAGTAACGAAAGATTCTCTTGACTGCAGTCAGATGACTTTCCTTAGGGGCACTTTGAAATCTAGCACATAGGCACACACTGAATTGAATATCGGGTCTACTAGCAGTGAGATACATTAGCGACCCAATCATTCCTCTATAGAACTTCTCGTCAATTGACTTGCCTGACTCATCCTTGTCTAACTTAATAGCAGAGGCCATAGGTGTATTTGCGGATTTTAAATTCCCAAAATCAAAACGTTTTAACATATTTTGAATGTACTTAGTTTGACTTATGAAAATACCTCGAGTTGTTTGTTTAATTTGCAATCCTAAAAAATAAGTTAATTCTCCCATGGCACTCATTTCAAAAGTTTTCTTCATGACCCTTTCAAAATACTCTCACAACTCTTTGCTAGAAGATCCAAATATAATGTCATCAACATATATTTGAACTAGAAGCATATGTTGTCCTTTATTTTTTATAAAGAGGGTTTTATCCACTAAGCCTCTTTTAAAGCCTTCTCCTAGAAGAAAAGAGCTAAGTTTTTCATACCAAGCTCGAGGAGCTTGTTTAAGACCATATAGTGCCTTCTTTAGTTTATAGACATGGTTTGGGTATCTAAAGTCTTCAAAACCGGGGGGTTGTTCAACATACACTTCCTCTTTTAAATCTCCATTTAAAAAGGCACTCTTGACGTCCATTTGAAAAAGTTTGAAACCCTTAGAGCTAGCAAACGCACATAACATTCTAATGGCCTCTAATCTAGCTACTGGAGCAAAGGTTTCATCGAAATCAATTCCCTCTTCTTGATTATAACCTTTAGCTACCAACCTAGCCCTGTTTCTAGTAGCTACCCCATTTTCATTCGACTTGATCTTGTAGATCCACTTAGTCCCGATAATAACTCTATTTGGGGGTCTAGGTACTAACTCCCACACATTAGCTCGTTCAAACTGACTCATTTCATCATTCATAGCAGCATTCCAATTTTCATCATTCAAGGCATCTTGCACGTTTTTAGGTTCAATCAATGACACAAAAGCATTATGCACAATTGAATTTCTAGAGCGAGTAACCATACCTTCATTAAGCCCTCCTATCATAAGTGAAGAAGGATGACGTTTGGCTATATGAGGAGGAGGTTGTCTTGCATCATGGTCTTGCTCGATCGGAGAGTTTGAGGTACTTACTGCTTTATCTTGATCTTCAGATATGGTCGTTCTGGGTTCAGATTTCTCCGTGATTGATGTCCTTGGTAGATCATAGCTCCCACCAAGTCCAAAATCATCTTCATCTTCTATCTCATCTGAACACTCATTAGCAGACTCATCAAATATCACATTTATGGACTCTTCCACTTTGAGAGTCCGTTTATTGAATATTCTATATGCTCTGCTAGTCATGGAATAGCCCAAAAACACACATTCATCGGATTTAGCATCAAACTTCCCAAGATTATCTTTGGTATTTAGTGCAAAGCACTTGCAACCAAAGGGATGGAAGTAACTCAGATTGGGTTTTCTTCCTCTCCAAATCTCATAAGGAGTCTTTTTAAATCCAGATCTGATCAAAGCTCGATTAGTAATATAGCATGCAGTATTTATGGCTTCAGCCCAGAAGTACTTCGGCACACCATAATCATGTAACATTGTTCGAGCTATGTCAATCAATGTCCGATTTTTCCTTTCCACCACTCCATTTTGTTGCGGAGTTCGAGGAGCAGAAAAATTATGACTTATTCCTTGCTTATTACAGAAGAGTTCAAACTCTTCTGAGATAAATTCTCCACCATGATCACTTCTAATGCTAGCAACCTTAGATTGCTTTTCATTTTCCAATTTCTTAGTTAAAGACTCAAAGTTTTGAAAAGCTTCACTTTTGCTGGCTAGAAACAATACCCAAGTGAAACGAGAGTAGTCATCTACAATTACAAAAGCATAGGACTTACCTCCATAGCTTACCACATTGGTTGGTCCGAAGAGATCAAGATGAAGTAGTTCAAGTGGTCTCGTTGTAGATATTACCGACTTACTCTTGAAGCTTGACCTTGTATGCTTCCCTTTAGCACAAGCATCACAAAAGAATTCCTTTTTGCCTTTTAACTTAGGCAGACCTCTGACTAGCTCAAGATCACTAAGTTTTGACAGAATTCCTATACTCACATGTCCAAGCTTCCTATGCCAATCTATTTGATCATTCTTTTCTAATGACATAAGACAAGTTACCTTGAAACTTTCTTTATCATCTAGATCTATGACATATAACTTATTTTTACGTCTACCGGTGAAAAGTACTTTCTTATCCACCACAGACTCGATGTAGCAACAATCATGTTCAAAAATTATCCTCTTATCTTTGCCACACATTTGACTAATAGAAAACAGATTATGCTTAAGACCTTTTACTAACATCACATTTTCAATGCATGGATCTGAACCAACTATTCCTCTTCCTATTATGTCGGCAGAATTATTGTCACCAAAAAATACCTTACCACCTTTACCTTCTTTGAGAGTGGTGAATAGGTTTCGATTTCCTGTCATGTGGTGTGAGCATCCACTGTCTAGTATCCATTCAGTTGCCTCCATGCTCACTTGGAAGCAAACCTGCGCCATTAGCAGTCATGCAGTTTTGGGTTTTTGTATCCAGACTTTCTTGGATACAGTTTGTTTGTGATCTTTAAGAGAACAAAATCTACTAATGTGACCGATCTGATGACAAGTAAAACAAGTTCTATATTTTTCATTTTGTATTCTCTTTCTGCATACTCGCCTAATGTGCCCAACTTTATGACAATAAAAACATTCTATGTTTTTATATCTTGGAGTTAATGTTCCATTCCTCTCATGCTTAATTGATTCTCCAAAAATCTTCGACTTACCTTTACTACATAAATTTGATCCTAATTTTTCACAACATCCCTCAGTGGAATGATTTAGGTAAGATTTACCTTCTTTTTTCAGAGATTCAATCTTACTCCCTTCTAATGATACTTGAAATTTTGCTGTGAGACTCGATTTCTCATTTTCTAAAACTTCAACTTTCTTAGCAGTTTCATCTAACTCTTCTTTTAATCTGATTGCCTCCTTCTTTAATTTATCATATTCAATGTTTATTTTGGCATGATCAGATTTCAGTTTAGAGTATTTTACTTTGACATTTCCAAACTCTAACTGAATTTCCTTAATAGTGGATACTAATAGGTCATCATCACTATAGTAATCACTGTCACTGAAATGAGTATGGTTGGACGGTTTTACCTCGTTTGAGTTATGTCCTTCTGATGGCTTTTCAACATCAATAGCCATGTAGCTTTCTTCTCTTGTTTCCTCTCCATCCTCATCTTCTTCTTCGCTGCAGCTCCATGTTGCAGCCATGGCTCGTTCTTTTCTTGCTAGAGGGCATTCAACCTTGATATGCCCATTTTTCCCACATCTAAAGCATCCGGTAGTGTTTTGAGTCTTAACCGGCTGAACCTGATCAATCTTGTTTTTGTGGAATGGTCTCGATTGAGGGTATTTTGGTGTACCGCCCTCTTTCTCAACTTCTCTATTCTTGTTAAAGAAGTTTCCTCTTCGTTTTTCTCTTCTCACTCGAAGTAGTCTACTAATTTGTTTGCTTAGTAGAGCCAATTCCTCATCCTCCATATCATCGAGATCTTCTGTGTCTTCATTGTAAGTGGTAGCCTTGAATGCTATCCCCTTTTTCCCTTTATCATGATTGCCCTTGTTGAGCTTGTCCTCATGGGTTGCTAATGACCCGATGAGTTCATCTATAGCTAACTTCTCTAGATCTTTAGCTTCCTCTATTGCGGTTACCTTTGGAGTCCATTGCTCTGGGAGACTCCATAGAATTTTTCGAACAAGATCTCCACTTTCATATGATTTCCCAAGATTCTCCAGACTGTTCACAATGTTTGTGAAACGCTCGTACATTTGCCGGATCGTTTCTCCTTCTTCCATTTTGAACAACTCGAATTGCTGTTTTAAGGAATTAATTCGAGATGTTTTGACTTGAGAGGTACCTTCATAAGTAACTTGGAGTTTATCCCAAATTTCCTTAGCAGTCTTGCAACCGGCAACTTTGTGATATTCTTCTGGACCGAGAGCGCAGTACATGAGATTAGTTGCCTTGCAGTTTTGCTGAAATTTCTCGAAGTCCTCGTCAGTCCATTTTTCTTGATCCTCTTTGAGCTCATACGGACCCTTGATGACTCTAGCCCAGAGTTTTGGATCTGTAGATCCAACAAATAGTTCCATGCGATTTTTCCAATATCCGTAATTAACTCCTTCAAACCTGGGAGGTCGATTCTGAGAAAATCCGTCAGCCAAATAGAGTGGAGCATTATTCTTGGAACCCGACGCCATTTCGATTAGCACCGGAGGTTGTTGAACCTTGTTCTACGGTGACCGTGCTCTGATACCACGTGTTGGTTGCGTCGAGCGCGAGACTTTATACCTGTCTTTTGATCACTTTTGGATATAACTAACAAATATTGGTTAATCAAATTCTAACACCCTGATAATGTATAAATAATATCACCTTGACTGAAGATGCACGGAATACACCTAGTGTTTGCTAAGAAGAATTAAGACTCAATCAAAATAAATAACTAAACAACCCAAATCCCAAGCCTAGCACGTTACCTTCGGCTACTTTGATTGGGTTTCAAATCACCTTAATAGTCTACTCAAGTGGGTCACACTCGACAGACCAAGCAGAGAAATTGAAGCCCAATTGTTTAATCTATCAACCCGGCCCAACTGCTCAACTAACTAAAACGATCGAGTTTTAACTTCAAACTCTAAAGACTTCCCCTTTCCCTTGTATTCGATCAACAACAGCACTGTAACTGAATTTAAACACACAAAATAATGAACACCAAGAACAAATAACAGAACCCAGCTGTTCTGCCCAGAACCTTGGAATCGAACTGTACCAAACCAGGAAAGGTAAGCTGACGATTAGTACTACGGTCAGGACTTACTTTCCCTTCAGTTCTAATTGAGATCCCTGCAATCACAGACTGTACAGAAATAAACACAGAAGCATTCACAGAACAAAAGCAGAAAAAACAGAGCAAGAACACAGCCCACGATTTTTACGTGGTTTCCAGTATTGGGAGAATGAGGATCCCAATACTGACTACTCCACGGTCAGAGAATCACGATTGTGTGATCTCCGACGATTCACTATGATTTTGCGTTGAAGTTCTTCGTTACAAGCTATCTACCCAAGAGCCCTTTGATCAATCTCTACCCGATTGATCTAACACTCTTTTCTCAAACCCGAATTGCTTCCCCAGCAACTCGAAACCAGTGTTTCCCCAACACTAACCCTCAAAGCAATTCTCCCCGAACTCTTTGAGAAAATCCCCTTTCCCTATCAACCTTGCTACTCTCACAAAATCCCCTTTTGTCTTAGCTAGCTATGTTGATCTCTTGAAAGGTTGATTTTGCTCTTCTTTCTAATCGCCTTTTATAGGCCACAATGTAGCTGTTGAGAATTTGAATTCCCTTGGAATCATCAACTATGGCAAGTTCTTATTCTTTCTTATTTTGACCCGAAAACTTGCCTCAATTGATTTTGGACAGCTCCCTCAATTCCAGCTGTGATTTGATTCTTTGTCTTGGCCTTCAAGCTGCTCTTGTCAACACAAAACATATATTTTGCATATATTTTTCGTGTATGTATTGAAGATGTAAAATCATTTATTTAGTATAGTTCATTACAACAAGGAGCAGTCTGAGTGGTATGCCAATCTGTGTTTTAGTCTTCGGCACAATGCACAATTTGATAATCCACAGTAAGGTAGCCCTCCTGGTTACTTCCCTCTCTATTGTTGTGAAGTTCGTCAAAAATCCTTTTCCCCAAATTCAAATCCTTGTTGTTGCAATGATGGCCAGTCGGGAGCCTCACCGTTGTTCGAGTTCCAGTTTTGCGGCTTGTAACCTACATATAAATCACATGGTTGGTCGTATTTGTTTTAATCCTCCTTTTCATGTTTTGCAACCGTAAAAAAGTGGTCTCAAAACTACAACACAATAGTGCGCTAAAAGGTTCTATGCAAGATTATATTGTAAGGAAGTGGTTAAGATGCATACATGGACCTCTCGCAGCAACTCAAGTTATTGAGACCAGTTTGTTTATGTCATGGTATCAGAGCTAGTTTGTCGTTGAGATCACGTGTTTAAGTTCTCACGACCCACAATATTAACCATTATCTTAAGCACATGGTATGTCGGACCTCTACAAATTTCAAATCGATGAGTTGGTTTTCATTTGAGAGGGCATGTAAAGAAGTGTTTAAAGTCCATACATGGACCTCTCCCAACTACTCGAGTTATGGAGACACAGGAGCAGAGTTACAACGACCCTTGGAAGGTCCCGACCCCACGAGAATCTTGAAAGTGAAGCATAAATGATTCGGTATTATACAAATAAATTAAAACAATATATAAAATAAATTGTCAGGCAAACAATAAACATAAACCACTAGCTTTCGACCTTTAGGTCTCCGATTCAAATTACTAAAATAGTATTTAAACCGTAAAAATTAAACTTATATAAAAAAAACAATGAGCATGTAACTGTTAGCGGAATCAATTCCCCTAGATTTCTAATTTTTACCACTTTAATGGACTGCCGCATCTTTTACTACTTTAATTGCAATTTCTGCACGCATTTTATCTCATTTATATTGAACTTATGGTGAACCTTTCTTATGTGATTATATTACAATAAAAAATGGTATTGTATTAGTGATTTTCAGCCTTTTACTATAACATATAAAGAAAAAAGTGTGCTTCCGATTGTCAAATTTTGGGCGCTCCGCCCCTATTGAAATCAATTGGTTTATGACATTGTCGACGATTATATGACTCTGGATTTACCTTCAAGCATTGGCCACAAGATGCAACTGAAACATGGGTAGCTGCGTTGGATTCGCCTTGCTCCTGGCAAAACGGAGTCTGAACACCTTCTAGTTCCATCCCATGCAGTGAGATATTTGCAGTATGCGAAAGTACAAGTAATGCTCGCAGCTTTCAAATCTCATCCGTATCCATTAAGATTTTTACGGGGCTTTCTTTTAGGCTCGCAAATAATATATGTTGGCTTATTGTAGATGCTGGTACAATAATCCAAGATATTCCCGCAGTATGAAAAATCGCTACAGCAACGACCTTCGCCACATTTTGTTTGAAGCCCAGCTGATTAAACACTACATGTATATTTAACCATCATCTCGCTCAGAAAACTAGCAAACATGCACCTACGAACAGAAGCAATGCAACAAGAGATTTACCAGTTCCTATAAGAACGGACCAAGGCCATTTTCCAAACAGATCCTATAAGAACGGACCAAAGATTCAAAATCCAACATGTGAAGTCACCATACAAGTATCATTTACACATCCATTTAACCAAAACAAAAGGAAAAAGGAAGTAAATTATAGGACAAAAATGAGGGCAGGTAGGTAATAAGGAATTAAAAATACACGTGTTTGCTTGCTATTGTTTGCCTGTCAGTCCAAAACAAATGTAACCCTAAACCTAAGCGGCCAAACAGAGAGCATTGTCGATCGTTTACTTGCTTGCTACATTCTTCACTGAGCTTTTGGCTTCTGAACCTTCACATAAGGGAGACACCCCAGGGCATAGACAACTTTAGGGTTCCACCCTAGCTGCTCTGCACGACAAAACATCAAGAACGTGTTCGCAAAGTACGAATTGAAGCCCATCAGGGCGTGCCAAACTGCATGCCCTTGGGGATTGAACCGCCACTGTGAAACCTCGGCACAGAATACCCTATCGGAAAGCCAACAAAGCGTCGCCAGGAATATGGTGGCCACGTACCACTTTGCAAGCCGTTTTGCATCCACGTCCTTCGTGTAGATGTAGTACTTGTACATTCTAGGGATGCAGAGGAGACACAAGACTGCATAGTGCACCTTGAACGCGATCCCAAAGCGCATCAGCGCATGGATCACTGCAAACCCTGCCCCGTAGAAGAACAAGAATGTAGGCATTGTACTCCTGTAGTGCCAATCTGGAGAATAGAGGATGTAGAAGTACAGTAGCATTTCCCAAACCATTGGTGTTTCATCACCTTGCTGTTGCCTGCAGAATGTTTTTAGTAGCCTGAGTTTCAATTCAAGCAAGGCAATTCCAAGTGAAAATAACAGAATCAACTAACCTACTTTCAGATAGAAAAGCAAGTTCTACATCATTCTTACCGAGACTGATATCACACATGGGGGCATGACATTCTTTGTCGAGCAACTAAACAAGAAGGTAAAGCACCATTGTTTAAAAGCTGAAACAGACTAACAATTACACCCTAGCAGACATTGAGCAGCAGACACAACACACCACCACCACTACCATCAGTTACGACCATAAATCTATCCACTACCAACATGGGAACTAGCTTGCACTACTTCACTAACATTGTTGCAAGACAACAACAACAACAACAACAACAAAAAATACTGACAGCAAATCATACTATAGATCTTCAAGAACATTGACAGAAGGAAATAATACTTACACATGTCTCAATGTTGCATGATACATCATACTTCCAATAGCAAGTATAATGTTGGAAATATGCAGCACACTGAACCTCTTCTCAAACCGCTGTCCCAAGGCACTTACGAGGCCGATAAATGCCAAAACTATGCTTGGAAAATTTGATACAGTATTGAAGAATTCTGCAATATACGAGGAGTGGACATAGTTTTTCTCACACCAATCATTTGATGTTACAGGACCCCAAAAATTTGATACTGCTTCTGCCATTGACCAACTTCTTGGTCAAAGAAACTCCGTGGGAACTCTTATGATATATGTTTTGCTACTTATGTTGCATAGGCCATAACCTGCAGATTCGTTGCAGTACCAGATCAGGAGAAAATATGACATCGATAAAGAATGATCTATAACAATAGTCATTACCACCAAACCCATCTGGAAAGCATTGAACAAAAAAAGAACCATAACCTCGATCAGACAATCCTGCCATCTAATGACCACCAATGAGTGATAAAATGAAAATTATAGAACAGATTCAATCAATCTCTACGAATTGATTGACAATTCTCCAGCATTCATAGTGCTTCAATTGAATTCCAAATAAGAAGAAGAATGGGGGAGACATGTAAGACAAATTGAAGCCACAAGACCGTAGCGAATACGTCAACAGAATGCTGGATCTAAACTGAAGCAACGAGAATCCATGGAAGTGAAACCTCAAGCATCAAAGAAAAGCGAATTCCAGGATCTCCAACCCCAGATGATCGCAGACACTAAATTTGATTATCCGTCCTCATACGATCTATTCGTCTATGGAAAGCGGGAAGCCAAAAAAGCTAACACAACCCTATCACTTCCACTTAACGAGCAGTAATTCCCGAGACAACTATTGCTCTCTCTCCCGGTATTCTTCCGCAAACACCAACCCGCTCGGTTGCGGCAGTTCCCCAGACAGAGACCAAAAGGAAAATTTTGAAGATTTCAGGCCGGCGAGCAAGAGAAGTACCTGAAGCAGAGACGCCCAAGGCCTGCAGCCTCCTTGCACCAGTAAGGAACACCGGAGTCAGAGAGCGACGAGCTCTAGGGTTCTTGGGCTGAAGATTACCAGTACCAATTATCGAAACGAAGAAGAAGATCTAGGGTTCTAGAGCGGAAATTTTCTTCCTTTTTTTTTTTTTGAACTTGAAACGAAAATGTTTATGGCCCAGATTTAGTTGACATCAATATTTGTTATAGCAGCCGTTGGATCATGGATTCTTTTTGCTTTCCCCAGAAATTGATCATGGATTGGACATCACTGTCGGAAGTGGGAACAACACTTTAATGGGCCCTCCCACCCAAAAACTGAGCCGCGCAGCTGTAGCTTAAACATCAAGCCCATTAATCAGACTTCTAAGGGGCCCAAGGATTTATCAAAGCATGGGAGAGATTGGGACATGTATATGGATATCCATATTTAATGATGGTAATAAGAAGAGCGAGTACCTCAATATCTATAACTGTCCTACACAAAATGCGTGTCAGGTTGGATAATATCGTTTGGGTTCGTGGTTGGCAGGTTGATATGATTTGTTTGTAAAACTTTTGGTAATTTGTAGTTAATTTATAAAATTTATCATTGTCAAAAAATAAATTTTATTTCATATTTTTATTTTTGGCTAATTTGATAATGGTAAATAATAGAAATTAGAAAAATAATTTGAATTTGAATTTTTAATGATTTTTAGGCTTACGAGGCAATGACATGGCGTGTTGACTAACGGTCAATGGTGTTGACCGTCCAAATTGACGGTCAAACCATGTGTCGGGCAAATTGAGTCTATATGTTGCATAGTTAAGACAATGATGTTCTGAAACCACGGGTTAAAGTTGATTATACGATCATAGTTCGAGCCAAAATAAAGTATTAACCCCTTTTTGGAGTCCAACCACAATCACTCAAAATTGAAAGATTATCAATCTCAACAAAAAGTAGAGATGGTCTCTCCTAAGTATGGGTTTTGAGTTACCGCAAAGTGTTAGTGCACTTGGATTCAGCAACAACTATCAACCTTATCCTCTCCGAGAAAGAGTTGTTTCACTCTCTCGGAATGATTATTGCCGACTATCAGACTATGCTACAAAAGTTTTGGGAAATAGAACTGTCACACACTACGACAAGCCAACACGGTTGCTGATGCAATGGCAGAACTTGGCCATGATTGTTGGTCAGCAGAATGCCTTTGTGGATTTAGATAGAAGAGGGCACCAAACCTCTTGCTTAGTCTTAATGGATAAACAAACAAAACTTCAATCTTTCGATTCAGTTCATGAAAAAGGTTCAAACTTGAAATTACAACGAACTTATGAACAGCTCCCTGCATGTCATTGCCTCTCCATCTCTTCCGCAAGTTCTTGTTTCCACCTTCTCCGTTGCTCGGATGACGTACTTCCCGTGGTCGTCGTCGTCGGCGGCGAAGAGGTGTTCCTGCCGTGCGGATTTAGCCGCAGCACACGAAGCTCTTCCTCAAGCTCCTCCTTCCACCTCCTCTTCTGATCGCCGGTCGGCAGGTGAACTGTTTCCAGCCAAGGTACACCATCGTTGCTGCTGATTTTCCGAGGCATAATTCCAAGAATGCTTCTGAAATTCTCCAGCTCTTCATCAAGCTCTTGCTTCCACATCTCCCTTCTTTCTCGATCAAAGCTTGGAATCGATCGAAACTCTCGCGAAACTCGGACTCTATCGGCGGGATCTCCCATTTGGAAATGGAATGGCAGAACTGAAACCCTAATGCGGAGGCTTCTCTGACTTTCGAGTTTAAGGACCGATGAAGTAAGTTCCTTTATAATAGAAGAGGGGCAGTCAGTCGGTCCTTGGACAAAACGGAAAGGGAAAGCAAATTAAGAAAAGGAATGAAAAGATAGGATTGGAATTCGAATAATATTATAATCCCGATTAGGCGCGTAATCCTCCCCAAACACGGAAATCTCAAGTATCCTACAGACGCCGTTAGGTTGGGTAGTTGACGCCGTCTAGAGAGAACTACTCATCGCTGCTTGCTTGCCTCAGTAGCACCGCATTTTGCAGCCATGGCTGCCCAGTTGGTCTGTAGTCGTTGTCAGACGCTACTTCAGGCGCCATTGCTGCTCTCTTGACACCGGCAAGACCAAATTCCAAGCCTGCAATCTCGGTGAAGTCTCCTTCTCTGCTTTGGTCGACTGGACAACTGCATTTGGCATTTGGGTTGGTTGATGATGAAGGGTTGGTTTGTTTTGCTGCAGTGCACTGTATTTGATCAGTTGATAACAGAGGCTACTGAAGCGGAAGCTTAAGGAGAGATCAGCTGCTGCAAATACATATCCTGAAACACTTTCTGCCTTCACTGCTTTTGTTCTTGGTGCTGGTGCCAAGTGTACTGCCACCACCTTCACTTACCCTGCAATTAGGTAGGCAAAATGCTCAAAGCTTCTCGGTGATAGTATTTGTGGCAGATGCAAAGTGATGCTTCAAGCTGCAGAACCAGATGAGAATGGAACTGCAGAGGTTCTGCTGAAAAAAAAGAGGACTATCTCGGGTGCCACAAGTGCCATCTGGAAACAAGAAGGTTTGTCGGGTTTCTTCAAAGGATTGTTAGCACAGCACGTGAAGACGATACTTAGTTCTGCATTGCTGCTGATGGATCCTTATACTGGCTCTCAGGATGTACCTGTTCATCCAACACACCAGCATGAAGAAGGCTTGATTGCAGTTAGTTTGGCACTTTACATGAGAACGTATTTTGGCAGCCATCTTACAGTTTGTTATCGATGACTTCAGTCATTTGTGGCAAATTACTATGTGTTTGATTAGTCTCGTTCAGAACTTACAAAAGATGCAACATATGAAAAATGTACTATTTCCTTTCTGCTCTAAATTGGACCATGGCTTTTCCTGCATGCAACTTATATGAAAGATAAAGATACAAAATCTGAAACGGGCCTCGGTTTATCCTTCATGAGAGAAATTGTATAAATTTCTATCTGTTGAATCTAACATGGCATTCTTCATGATACCTTCCGTTGCACAAACATGCTAGAAAAGAAAATCTCAATTTCCCTGAAAGGGAACAGTGTAACTCAGTGGAATTTATATAAGTAGTAAGTAGAGAAACATCCCGGCAAGGCAACCTCGCTTACAACAAAAGCAAGCACGCCAACAGTAGAAGCAGCAACGGAGAAACCAGAGTGGCAGCAGTCGTGAAACCAGCCGACACACTGTCAGAAGAAGCTTTCACAAAGCTTCCCTCAGGAGTGCTTGTGGTAAGAACAACAACAATCCAGTTACCTTCAGACCCAATGCCGACTCCTGTGTACTTGGTATCATTGAGATTATCGGAGTACTGACTCAATGTGAAGTTGCTAAGCACGAGAGTTGGGTCCAAGTTGGGAACACAAGCAGGCATTACAGCTCCATCCCTGGTGTTAGAGACATTCAGATGGCACTTGTCCAGAAGCCTTGGGTAATTGGGGAGCTGAGGCTCGGTTCCTGGCACAGTGTTGGACCCCGAGGTGTTTGTGCAAGGTTGACCTTCAAATTGATCGGCTATTTCCCCCGCAAGGCAATCTGCATTGTCGTTCTTTGTTAAGGCGGTGAGATTCAAGGACCTTCTGTAGTCATTGATGCTCTGAAGAAGCTTATCCTCCTCATCTGAAGGTTAAGTAAAGAACAAGTTTATCAGAAACCTCCTTATGAACTGCATAGTGAGCATTGAAGTCAGTTAAAGGAGCCGAATTATATCAAACAAACAACTTGGGATCGTGAATGAGGCGGAAAGCAAACTGGAACTTCCATGATTCGACGATTGGATCAAGTATGTATCAAATCAAGCTCACATTTCCATTCAGAATGCCCAAAATTTTGAGACTATCTGGATTCCATTGGTCAGCCAAACTGAAGGCAAAGCAAAAGTAGTAGCCAGCTAGATTACTTGTCATTGAAGGAGTAGGTTAGCATCAGAAGTACCCACTAGAAATGGATAGCTTACCCTAGACAGGTAATTCTACTCAAACCACAAATTATTCAAATAAGAAAATTTTCCGACCATAAGAGAGCTGGATTTAAGCTTTAACACTAAGAGATGCCTATTCAAGGTTTTGGTTATTCATTAGAGGAATCTATAATCTAGTTCAGCAAAATCCAAGCTAAGTGTCAATCATAGGTCAACCCACTAAAAACCAATGGAAACCCAGATCAATCAATCACACGATTAGAACCCAGATCTCGTCCACCGTCACTAACATCAACAAAAGAACCAGCAGAACAAGCCAGAGAAGGGAGTGGAAAAAAAGATCTCTCCTTTTAAAGCTGAAACTTCAACTCTCAAGAACATAGTTCAAAAAAGAAAGCAAAATGCTTACCACATTGAGCTGGGCGAATGAAGAGAAGAGCAGAGAGAGCAACGAGGAGGAAAAGGGGAAGCTTTGAAGACGATGGCATTGTCTGCGGCGAGTAGCGGCGGCGGTGGAGGCTGCTACTTGATGAGCTGAAAGCAAGTGAAAAGAAAAAAGAAGTAGAAGAAGGAAGAGGAAACAAGCGGTAGTTAATGGGTTAACTAAAGGGCAGGAAAGGGGTTGCTTTCTGATGCTTACTGCTTTACTTTCTGGTGCGGAGGCTTGCTGTTGCGGTGCATCTAACCTGACTGACTATTACCCTCCATTTCTTTATTCCGAAGCAATCTTCCACATCCAGATTGGTCAGTCGACACGAAGATGAAAGGGAGACACGATGTCGTTTTCAATTTGATCTGGTCCTTACCTTATCCTACCACTCTTCTTCTGAAAAGCGGAAACGATGGCCGTCGCATGGTGCTGCCAAGTCACAACTCACAAGAGAAATTAAGAGGCCTGACTTTATGTTCCCTGCAAAAATGGAGTTATGTGATTCCGGTTGTGTGGTCAAAATCTTTATCATTCATCTGTACACTGAGATGTCTAAGAGCCCAAAAAATCTTTAATAGCAGGCAACTATTAGCATATTCGTATTCCTCTCTTGGGCTTTTAGCTTACTCTCCTCTCTGCTGACTAAAAATGATCAATTACGTACTCTTTTTGTTCAAAATTTCAGCTCTTGGCTGCTACCCAAATACAAACAAACAATACCAACGAAAAAAAAAACTGTTGGATGCAATTGAATTTGGATATGACACCAATCATCCAATGGCATGCAACCCACGTCAGTAAACTAAACTCTCCTTCTCCGTCAGTAGACAAAATCATAGCATAGCATTCCCATTCCAATGCAAGGAAAGAGGGGGAAATTTCCCCTTCACTTCACCATGGCACTGTCTGCCGACGGCTGGTTCCCCCTACACGGCAACAGCAATGGACCTGTCAATTGTCATGCCGTCGAAGAGCTCTTCTTCTTCTTCTTCTTCTTCTTCTTCTTCTTCTTCTTCTTCGAGGGTCGTTAAGTTTGGGAATGGGGAGTTAATGGGATATGGGAAGCAAGCTCAAAACGACACCATCATCAGTTTCTTCTCATAGGAGTTCCAGTAACAAAGTTGCTAAACAACCTGTAATCACGCCGGTAGTAGCTGATTTGTTTGGGTCTAATGTCGGTCTGGCTAGCTCTTGATCACCATTAATGGCGGGAATGTGGGTTTGGTTTTTGTTTGTTTCTTGATTTCGAGGCTGGTTAATGTTGAAAAACTTTGGCTACCATAGTTGAGGGACCTTGAGATGGAGAGAAGGGATCCGAGGACTGTTGTTGCAGTTTTTTTTTTTATTAGTGTGATGGATTTTATTAAAGCAGACAAGGATCAAGAGAATTGATCCCCAAAAACATAGTTCCAGCGAGCAAAACAATAGTAAAAGAAAACCCAGCCCAGAAGAAAGGCAAAGCCTGCAAGGCGGACCAGACCGCCCCTGCAGGAAGGAAGACGAGAGACAGAAGACGCCGAAAAGGCCTCAACCCGGTAGAATGGATGAACAGCCAGCAACAACACAAGGGAACCAGAAAAAAGGAAACGAACCAAGTACAGTGAGCTCAAAGTCAGCCCGAAACAGTAGACTGTGAAACAATCCTCAAGCTTTGGAGAGGGCAAACGTACTGCATCAATGACAACCATTCCTCACGATGAACCTCATTCAGAGTGCCAGTTACCAAAACCCAGTTGAGGAGAGACCTGCAAATCTTATGGAAAATAACTTGCCATTGCACAGACTTGTCTTGAAAGATCCTGGAGTTCCTCTCCTTCCAAATTTCCCATGTGTATGCATGTAGGAGCCCCCGAACGAACCCACTCTTCCAAGGTAGCTGACTTCCAACATTCCAGCCAGCGATGACAGCATCCACATGAGCAGGAAAAGGCCCAACGATCTCTACCATCTGCTGAATAGTATTCCATATTTTATTGCTGAAGGGACAAAGCCAGAAGAGATGATTGATGTTTTCCTCGGCCTCTTTGCACATAATACACATGCTCGCAAGGCTCAATCCTCTTTTTTTCAGATTTTCGTGGGTGAGAACTCGACCATGCTTAAGAAGCCAAAGGAATGCTTTAACCTTCGTTGGAGCAAAGGAATCCCACACCACTTTGTGAGGGAAGTCAACGATACCAGGAAGTCTATCATGACTGAGTACAGTGTACATAGATTTCACCGAGAAGTCTCCGCTCATACTTGGTTTCCATATAAGCTTTGCAGGACCTGCAGAGATCAAATCAGGGGGTAAAAGTAACAATTTCTGAATCAAATCAAGCCTCTCTCTCTCAGCCCCACCCCTCAAGGACAAGGATAGATGCAAATCCCACCCCACACTCTCATTTTCAAAGGATATTAAATCTGACACCCAAGCTTCTGGGACCGACGAGGCAGCAACAACTCTGGGGTAAGCATCCTTCAAGATCAATCCCGGCAACCAGCAGTCTTTCCAGAATGAAACCCAAGCTCCGCCCCCGGGAGTGACATACGCGAAGTTCCAAAATAAGGCTTCCTCCTTCATAATTTGCTTCCAAAATAAGTTCCAGAATAACTGTTGTTGCAGTTATTCTAGGAGGAGGAGCTGGTACTCGCCTCTTCCCTCTCACTAAACGCCGTGCCAAACCTGCTGTAAGATCTTGCTCATTATCCCCCCGATCTCCCCTTTGACTGGCATTCTTTAGTAATCAATGTACTAAACATGGCAGGTCCCGATCGGAGGTGCATATCGGCTGTATCAACAGCGGGATCAACAAGGTCTACATTCTCACTCAGTACAACTCAGCTTTGCTAAACAGGCATCTTGGACGAGCTTACAACTTTGGTAGTGGAACCAACTTTGGAGATGGCTACGTCGAGGTACATACTCATTAATCAGCGAAATGAGAGTTTGAGAGATCAGAAACTCTCACTAGGAAAGAACTAAACTTCAGGATCTTGACAGGCTCTGGCTGCAACTCAAACACCAGGGGAGACAGGAAAGAAGTGGTTTCAAGGCACTGCAGATGCTGTTCGGCAGTTCCATTGGTTGTTCGAGGTAAGTTCAACTGAGCAATAGCACAATGAAGCTCAACGAGCTTCTGCCTTCAATTTCCAGCACAACTGAAACCCAAAATGTTGATTTTTGTTGTTGTTGTTGTTGATGGAATAGGACGCACGGAGTAAGGAGATTGAGGATGTGCTCATACTGTCAGTGTTAGGAGATCATCTGTGTCGTATGGACTACATGGACTTTGTTCAGGTACCCCCCATCAAGCTACATTTCAGAAGCAGAAGTCCCTGCAAAGAGTTTAAGGGTGTTTTCAGTTCCCCCTAGTGGATGATTGATCTTCATGATTATAAGGGTGTTTGTAAAAAAACATAAGAGGGAACAAAAGGAGTGATCTTTACTGGACTATCGTCTCTCTTCTCTATATAAAAAAATTGCAGGCCTACCTGTTCAATGATTACTGGGAAGACATTGGAACTGTTAGATCATTCTTCGAGGCAAATCTCGCTCTTACAGAGCATGTAAGAGTGAATTTTCATTTCTTGTAGTTACTTTTCTTCTCATCTCCTGAAAAGGAGAATTTTCTCATACGTTCTCACGCTTGCAGCCACCAAGGTTTAGTTTCTATGATGCTGCCAAACCCATTTACACATCAAGGAGAAACCTGCCACCGAGCAAGATCGACAGCAGCAAGGTTAAAAAAAATAGAACTTTCTATCTGAATTTGATAATGAGTGCTATGTACTTACTCACAATTGCTTGTGTGGCAGATCGTCGATTCAATCATCTCCCATGGAAGCTTCTTGACAGACTGCCACATTGAACACAGTGTTGTCGGCATCCGATCTCGAATCAATGCTAATGTCCATCTAAAGGTTGTGTCTTTCAAATTTTGTGTTTCCTCCTTACATAGCCTTTTGAGAGTTGAGAGAAAGACATTACAAAAAATGGTTTAAATTTGCAAGACACAGTTATGCTAGGAGCTGACTTCTATGAAACTGAAGGTGAAGTAGCTTCACTAGTAGCAGAAGGAAGAGTCCCTGTTGGGATAGGAGAAAACACAAAAATCAGGTTAGTTTGGCAAGCAGTTACACTGCAGTTGTTCTTTCTTCCCTATTATTAAGTAGCATTCTCCTCTTTCTCCTTGACTCATGTTAAGTTTTGCTACCCCCAGTGCAGAGAATGCATTATTAACAAAAATGCCCGGATCGGGAAGAATGTTACCATTGCTAACTCGGAGGTATTCAAACTTGAGAACTCAAAAACTTCAATTCTACATCAAATGTATTATTGAGGACTGCTCTGATTCTGCTTTGCCTATGGTTTCTTCTTCTTTTGTACAGGGAATACAAGAGGCTGACAGAGCTTCTGAAGGCTTCTACATTCGATCTGGGGTTACAGTTATATTTAAAAACGCAGTCATAGAAGATGGATTTGTAATATAAAAATCACTTCCTTCACCGTTGTAATTCTTTTGTTGATGTTTGAGACGTGAGATAGCAGAAGACACTGATAAGGCCAAGTTCCGAACAGGAAAAATATGCAACATGACTTGTTTCATAAATTTCAATACAACGTGTTAAGTTCTTTCCCATATACTAAACCAACTGAAGATCAAATCTTTTTCTCGACAAGAAAAAGATGAAGCAGAGATTGGCACTTGTACGCAACAATTTGATTCCAGAATAAAAAAGAACCAACACTTGAATTAAATGATTACTTCTTCGCAGTTAAACATCAGTTCATTCTCGTATCTCTGCAAAACGAATCGCTCCTCAAGCGTAATAATGCTGGTAACATTACATTTCTCATCTGAAAAGGGTTTCCTACCGGTTCTTCCAGCTCGATGAAGGTAGTCAACTGCAGTTCTTGGTAGATCAAAGTTGTAGATATGAGTTGTTTCAGGCAAATCCACTCCTCTTGCAGCTATATCTGTTGCTACAAGAAGATAACCTTCCCCTTCCCTCAATTCCTGCATCCCAGGGGAGAGTAGTGTAAGCTTTTTAAGCAAACATGGTTTACGCTCGTCAATCGTACATTAAGGTTGCACTCGCAATCATTCAGAATGCAGATAATTACCGAAAGTGAAGCTGCCCGAGAATTGAAATTCATGTCCTCCTCCAAAAGCAGGACATCTGAGCTACCTCTATAAGAAGTTTTCAAGAAATCAACTAGAAGTACAGTTGATGGACCATTCCCAGCCTTTTTTGACTTCTCAGACTGCATCAGGAACAAAGAAAATCAACTAACTCATGCTTAAGAGTATCAAGAAATGCTTGCATCCAGTAGACAGATAGACTGTATACACAAACCTGTTCACCAACAAAAACAATTGCGGACTTGGGAGCATCAGAATGTAACAAGGATAGCAGAACCACATGTTTCTGCTTTTTAGTGCATACCTTTGGAAGTGACGCAGCATTAGGAAAGACCCAAAGATTTCATTCAAACAAGCCCATTGATGACATTCAAAAGATTTCTACATACCACGAATTTGTGTTGCAAGCAGGATGGCAACGGCTTAATCGCATTGACATGCACATGGACTACATCTCTCTGTATGTAAGCAGCAGAGTAGCAGAACATCAGTGAACTTACTATGGGCAACCGGATACTTTCTTGGCAAGTAGAGGCTTTTCAAACATAATTATGACCAAAATCAACCTTGGTCCACTTCTGTTGGATGCAGTCATAAACAAATCGTTTGTGCTGCGGGATGGATGCACTAGCAAAAACAGTTTGGCGTTTGCTGCTCGATGAATATGAGGTCAGAATCTTTTTAAGGGAACTGACTTGCTTCGAAGAGTTAAACAAGAAATCTACCTAGGCCAAAGAAAACAAATGTAGAGATTAGCCCTAAGGAGTCAACTCTGTGAACTCAAACCGTAAGATTTATTAGTTTGAAAGTACAAACAGCCTACTTCATCTATAACCAGAGCCTCCAGCGCATCGAGCTTAAATATCTGCTTGTCAAGCATTTGACACAAACTCGCTATTGTTGCTACCACAACAGAAGGTGGTTCCGCCTGGAAAAAGAAAACCAGACACTCTACTCAGCAAATGATGTAAAGATTCCATACAGTCACACAAACAAGAGTAATCGGCATCACCTTTAACCAACTCTTATGTCTTCTCAGCATCCCTCCGTCTAAAAGAGCCATGACAGTGCACGACGACTTCTCCTCCAGGTCATTATCCACAGCCTTTGAAGCCAACATTCGAGCCACTTTCGTAACCTTTGCTCATACACGAACCAAAAACGCAAGGTATCGGTATTCTCATTCAGCAGAACCCAAGGTTCCACACTCCAACTACAACTACAAATTTTACCAAAATGATCATCAAGATTCTTACTTGCATTCCTAGCTCCCGAGTAGGCACCACAATCAGTGCCTGCACAGCGGATCTCTGAGCTTTCACAACTGAGAATACCAACAGCAAGTACGCCAGTGTCTTCCCAGAACCTGTCTGTGATGCCAAAAGCCAAAAAGCACTACATTAACCTCATCAATTTTCATGCCAAACAAACACAAAGTATCCTTAAAAGCAGTTTTCTCTCTATAAACACATAACCCAAACCTGAGCATGAATAACACAGTCCCGCCCACTAAGCAAAACAGGCAGAGCTTGCCTCTGTACATCCGTCGGCATAACATATCCAATCCCTTCCGCCCTAAACAAAAAAAATCCCCAAAACCCTCATCAGAATTCAGCCCATAGGTCAAATACCAAATGAAAAGATTGAAGCTTTCCTCATTTTCACCTGCTCAGCACGTGGTCCGGCACGTGTCCTCGGCAGAGCTCCCGGAGAGTCGCCGCACCGCCGCCTGATTCTCCTTCCTCTCGAAGAACAAGAGAAGTCTGCAGCGCCGCTCGCAAAGGCGGCTTGAACCACCGGCTATTCGAACTCCGACCAACTAATTGAACCGAGGAAGGAGCTGGACACTGCCTCGGAACGACAGCCGAGCTAGAAATGTGGAGAAGCCGGAGATTCGTGGCGGCGGGAGCGACAGACATAACTCCGGCAGTCGTTTAGCTAAAAATCTCCGTTTCTCTTCTCCGCCGGAGCAATTGATAGTCCAGAGAATTTCCGCGGGAGGGTAGTCCGGGGATTACGGGAATAGCTGCCGCCGTGGATAAAACAGTGGGACCCAATAACGCTAATTAGTAATTAGTAATTAAATTAGGGAGGAGGAGGAAATGAAAATCTTATTAAATTTGGACGTGATCTTCAGGTTCGGAGAAGGATTCGTTAGACTAACACGGAGCGTTGCCGTCGGACAAACGGCGGAATGATCGAGTCGCCAGCCACAGACAAACGGGCGACGAAACACGAAAACGGAACAACAGATTACATATATTCCCATCTTTCATCCACATCAAGCATTTTTAATTATTTATTTATTAATTTATCTTGAATTTGTAGATTTTGGCCCCTAAATTATAACGAATTCACAATGATTTTACTTTCCCGATCCAACAATTATTAAACAATTTCGTCCTCAGTGTGAAAGGGCTAAAACAAGAAGATAAATTAAAAAATAGTATTTTTTTCTCCTTTTTTCTTTCACACCAATGAAAAAGGTGAAAAAGGAGAAGATATGGGGATGAAAGGTTAGGTGAGGTGATTCCCTAACTTTGAAGTAATTTCAAACTTGAATCATAAACTATGATCAAAAGAGTATAAAAGCTTTCCACTTCTTGCATCATTGGCATCAATACCCTACTTGTTTATGTGTGATATAATCCATTGAAAAGCTTTGGAATTAAGTTTTTTTTTATGAATTTGGAATTAATTATAAATTTTCTTGAATGAATTAATACCTAAGCAATAGCCATTCTTTTTTATTTCAACAATATATTTGTCCTTTCACAGGCACTATATGGGGTGATTGATGTTCGGATTTTTTTTGGCCTCTTAATTACAATAAATATTGTGTGATCGAGTTGTCTTATTGACCTCTTCTTGTCTCGTAATTGAAGTAATTTCTCTATTTTTGTGTTAATATGGTGCAATTCAATACCATGCAAGTTTAGTGCTGTAAAAGGGGGAAAAAAAGCAAATATGATAAGAGATATGTACATGTTAATAGTTAATGACAAATGATTAATGATGCATATACGTGGACAACCAAATGTAAAGTAAATAAGGAGGATGGAAAAGTTAATAGAGAAAGAAAATGTTCAACTTGTTAATAACGAATTAACTAGAACAAGAAAAAATTTCATCCTAAACCATGATAATCATCCTCAAATGGGAAAATGAAGATTTAGCCAAGAAGTGAAAAAACAAAAGGAAAAAGATAAAGCAACGGCTCAAAGTGTTTTGCTATTTGATTAAAACAAAGAGATGAAGGAAAGAAGGGTGGAAATTCCAAAGTGAAGGTGGAAAACCAACCCAAAACACTTTGATTCCGACAAAGCAAACTCATAGGTCCATCTCCCTGCAATTTTTTCTTTGACTCCCTCCATAAAACGCCCTTCCCTTTTCCCCCTTTCCCTTTCTCTAAACCAAACCCATCTCGCGCTCCTTCCTTCATTACAATCCCATCTCTCTTTACCAATTTTAGGGTTCCCCCACATTCCCAAAATCCCCCCAATCCCCTCTTTCTCCACTCTCCCTTCATCTCTAACCTCTCCAATGGCTGCCTGTGACCTCCCAATCATTTCAACTGCTGGGTCTTCCACAGCTTCTGCAGTTATCGACGACAGTTATGAAGAAGCCTGCAGCATCTGCCTCGAGCCTTTCACTGTCCAAGACCCTGCCACTGTAAATTCATCAACTCTTTCACTCCATTATTGGCGTGGTCTTGTTTAGGGATGATTGGGTTTTTTTTCTTTCTAACGACAATGTGTGGTTCGAAAAGTGTTCGGGTGATGTAAAGTTGTGATCTTTATGTTCCCTTTGTCCTATTTGGAGCTGATCGATTACTGGGTTTGTTTCAGTTTTGATGATCACTCTTTTTCCCACCTTAATCTTTTGATCGGTTTGTCTGTTTGACTCAGGTGACCAACTGCAAGCATGAGTACCATCTGCAGTGCATTCTCGATTGGTAGGCTGTTTGTTAAAATATTGCATTGAATTTGCCGGCCAGATGCATCTGCTTATGTATTGATTGAGGTTGTCCTTTTGTTTTTAAACTCTCGTTAGGTGTCAGAGAAGCAAAGAATGCCCAATTTGTTGGCAGCTCCTTTCCCTGAAGGATGAATCCAGGTACCTGTTCAATTCCTTGTGTTTTGATCGAGACACAGCAGGAAAATTGGTTAATTCTGTTTGATGAATGGGTTCCTGATTGCCTTTGTGCAGTCAAGAGCTTTTTGCTGCTGTTGCGGCCGAGAGGCATTCGAGGTTAACGATCCGATCCCGTCCTAGATCCACCACCAGACCTTCTCTCTTTGACAATTTTGATGTAGACCAGGTGATTTGATCACTGAATGCTCATAGTGAGAGGGCAAACCCTCAAAATGATTCCAATCATGTTGCATGCTTGGCTTGTATAAACCTCTTAATTCCCCCACGGTTGTTCCATTGCAGGACTCTTACTCAGATGATTCGGACTTCGATGAACGCATAGGGCAGCATCTTGCTGCTGCTGTGTATAGAGCTCGGCAGTTCCAGAGAAGGGACAATAGGTCCCCACCTCGACTCGGTACCTCCAGGGTGTTCGTCTTTGCCTCCCATGCAGGTGGTTTGAGGAATGATCAACAAAGTTCACCTGGTGGCCGCAGCTTGAGCCCTGCCTCGTCTGGAACTGGTTCACCAACTTCTCCCATGCGCACACTTCACAGCCTCAGGAACTCCGACGACATGATCTCCAATGACAGCCACGGTCACTTGTTCAGCAACAGGTATGGAGACCATGACTCGAGCTCGCGTCATTCTATGTTCTATCTTGTTGAATCAGGATTCACATTGGTTCCCGCTAACCGTGCGACTGCTTCCTCATAACTTTCTGGGGTTTATGATGATCAGGATTCTCTTCGGACAATCACAAACTGATAGCAACGACGAGCCAGGTTCTTCGAGGATGGTCTCATTGTCGGACTCCATTAAATCGAAATGGGTTGCTGCTTCAGCCAAATACAAGGAATCGATCTCTAAGGGCACTCAAGGTATAAAGGAAAAGTTGCTTGCACGTAACAACTCGGTTAAAGAGCTGAGCAAAGGAGTCCAGCGGGAAATGAGCGCTGGAATTGCAGGCGTTGCAAGAATGATGGAAAAATTAGAGCTTTCCTCCTCGAAACGCAGCAGCCCTGTCGGTTCTGGGGAAACCGGCTCAAGTTTCTGCTTCAAGGGAAAGAATGTGGAGGAGGACAAGGACAACTCTCTTGCTAGAGCTCTCCAGGAAGACGAGGCAATGGAGGATATTAGCCTCGGTGGCCACCGCCCTTCCACACCTGTCCCCTGCCGTCCTGAAGTTTCTCATCTCCAGGTTTGTAACAACACTTCCAGTACAGTGAACTTTCTTCATCATCACTATCAGGGATTCTTCCTTGGTAACCTGTTTTCCCCATTTCCTTGTTTCAGATGGGCCATTGATCGTTGCAGTTAACTGCAATCCGCCAACTTTCAAGTGTCTTTCAGCAACTGTGTGCTTTCTTTCTGAACAAGTGAGATGCCATAAGAGCAAATAACGCAAGCGACGGCTTTTCGAAGATTGAAGAAAACCAATTCCCTTGATTGGTCTTTGCGTCCTGCATTTTTTGCCACAACTCTTACAAACTAATTCGAGCCTCTCGACCGATCATTTCCGAGCCTTCCACTGTTCTGCAAGTCTCCCCAACTACCTGGAGGTGATCAGTTTCGAACATCGGACGAACAATCCCTATAAACAAGCCGCCGAGGCTAATTTAATTCAATGATAATTCCAGTGTGTCAACCTTGTAATGGATTCTGAGTATTGATTAATGTAGTGCCATGTATGCTTAAAGAAAGGAGAAGAAATCAAAAGGAAAGCTTCTTTATACGTTCCTATCGATATAGAAGATTTGGTGTGTCGTTACAAAGGCTTTTATTTACCATCCATAGCCTTACTTATGAAACAAGTAACCCAAATCCATCAACTCATTGTAATGCCATATACTGCAATTACAATGTACAGCTTGCCAGGATCTACCAGCCATCAGGTGTTAACAATCATTCCACCTGAAACCCACCAATTCAGAAACAAAGACCATGAGCAAGAAACCAACACAAGGTGACGGTTCGTAACGTGTGGTGATCGACGAGACATTCTTACCGTTGGGGTGCAGAACTTGGCCGGTGAAGTACGAGGAGCACTCGTTGCAGGCCAAGAACACGTAACAAGGGGCGATCTCGTGAGGCTGCGCAGCCCTGCCCATGGGGACCGACGAACCGAGGCCCTTCATGCTTTCGGCAGGCATGGAAGCTGGTTGCAGCGGGGTCCAGACCGGTCCTGGAGCCACGGCGTTGACCCGGATCCCCTTGCTGGCAAGCTGCAGCGCCAGTCCCCTTGTGAAGGCCACAATGGCTCCTTTTGTTGCTGTGTAATCAAGGACCTCGGAACCTCCGCAGTAGGCATTTACTGATGTCGAGTTGATGATCGCGCTCCCTTCGCGCATATACTTCAAAGCGTGCCTAATCACAAATTTAAGAATTTAATCAGGAATGACAAAAATATTCACAATCATGAATATCTTATCGACCATGACTCAATGAGTTGGGCAAAAACTAGAACTTGGCTATAACAAACGCAAACCTGAATGTTGTGTATGAGTATGAATATGGCGAATTAGAGTAGGACAACTGAGGTTCACCTATTTGTCCCTAGTAATTATTATCATCCGATTCATTGCCTTCCCTGGTAAATCAGAAACTAAATTGAAAAAACTAAGATTTTGTTCCAAGTTAGAACAAGAACAGAAACAAAGCTTCTGGATTAGAACTTGATTACTTGATTGGTTTCTCTATGTTTGTTAATCAATAAAAATCAATCTTAAAATCGTCAACAAATCCGTTGTAGTCTAGTTGGTCAGGATATTCGGCTCTCACCCGAAAGACCCGGGTTCAAGTCCCGGCAACGGAAAATTATCATTTTTTTCTTCTTTCTTTTCCTACCAACCATAAAAAGAGTCCAAACGAAAAAATCTTTCTACCTGGTCAAGAAGAACTGAGAAAAGATGTTGGTCCTGAACACCCTCTCGAGCCTGGACTCGGTGATATCGTCCATCGAATGCGACAGGTGCTGCTCCGCGGCGTTATTGACCAGAACATCGATCCGGCCATACTCCTTCGCCACGAGATCCACCAGCTTCCTGCAGTTCTCGTCGAACCCAATATCCGCAGCTATGGCCAGGGGATCTTTAGCTCCGGCAGTTTTGGCTTCCAACAACATCACCAACGTGTCATCTTTGTCCTTGTCCTCCACTCCCTTCACGTAAGTGAAGGCCACCGTCGCGCCCTCGAGCGCGAACTGCAAGCACACGGCCCTGCCTATGCCCGAATCGCCTCCGGTCACCAGAGCCACTTTCCCCTGCATAACAAAAAACACATGATAAACCATATTGGGGGAGTAATCATAATACGATTTTGCTCGCGAATCGAAAGATTCGCGATACATGGAGCTTGTTGGAAGGTTTGTAGTTCGGGTCGAGCGGCTTGGGGAGCGGGCGCATGACATGTTCTTGCCCTGGTTGCTGCTCTTGGCTCTGCGCTGGGAACTGCTCTTTGCCATCACTAGCCATTATTATTAGTACTTACTACTGTTTTTTTTTCTTCTTCCTGTGCCTTTTGTGTTTGGCAATGCAGAAAACGGGAAAGGAAATCGGAAGCTTGAGATCATGTATTGCATAAGTAGCCAGGTGGCGGTGTTGCTGAGCTGTCAAAATGGTGTCAGTGCCAGTGGAGGCCAAGTGTCATTATGGATTAACATATTGATTAGCTCCATTCGGTGGGAGTTGTTTTGCTGAAATGCTACATATGCATTTTGGGGGTGGAATCTGCCACGTATGCCCTATGTGGCATGTTTCAGTTCTTTTGACAATCAGAGATTTTGGATTCGTTTGATTTAACGATTTGAAAAATAATGGTTTTGGTTTTATAAAAATTAAGAATTTGTGATGGAACTGGTCCATTATGAACTTGACCAAAATCTTGTTTGTTTGTTAGATTTCATAATAGATTTTGCTTAAATATATTCGTGGGTAGAAATATCATTGACCTTATTGTTCTTGTTTAAAATTATTTGTATGTTATTGTTTCCATACAAACAAAGTAGTTTAGAATTACTTCGTACCTCTCCAAAATTTCAAGGTCTGAAGAGAATCATTTAGGCAAACAAACATAAAATCAATAAAAAATTTGAAATATTGAACCAGTCTGCTTTATATCATCACATACATCTAAGCAATAGTCTATAAACTGAAGGTTGAAAAGTTGACTACATATAGTAGACAAGTCTTCAAAATTCCATAAGCATTTGCAGGTCCATATATCCCAACAAATCGCAGACATAGCCATCTCTCCTTCATCCTGAACAGAAAGCAAAGACACTTCCAATTCAATGTTGAGCTGCTTTCTCTCATTAAAATGAACGGATTATCAAATATTAAACAAACAAGTTCATATACATTTACTGTTAGGAGTTTGAGTTTTAAACAAAGTAGTGCTTCAATCATTGTTAGTTTGTTACCCAATACCCACTTACTCCATATACAACCTCCGTGGAGGCGCACATTTTCAAGTTGAGCTTACCACACATCATTAAACTAGTTGATGTACCCTACAATTATAGAATTCTCGTCTTTCTTATCCTCACAAATATATTGATGCTTGTTAAGTCCAACCACATCCACCATATTCGTTATGTTTTTCCTTCTCGTCTTTCCACTCCTTTCCGGATCTCTCGTTATCTCTAGTCTAAAGGCTTAGCAAATATAAAGAGGACAAATTTGTCATTAATAAAATGAGTGGGGATAAAAGAGTAAATAACCATCACGGACTTCCCACCCTCAGCCAAATCCCACTATGAAATTTGCAAGTCCATGGGGCCATTGAATTGGACCATTAAGTCTGTGGACCCACAGATTTATCTCCATTAAAACCTTGAAACAAACAATGGATTTTGTTCCAAGTCTTTGAAATTTGGGTTTTGTGCACCAAATCCATGATGAAAAATTGAAAACCCTGAAGCAAACGAGGCCAAATTTGTTATGGAGATGTAGGTTGATTTCCTCATCAGTAAATTGTCTACCGATGATCTCAACAATCTTGCTGTGGAGTTTAGTGGGTCTCTTGCGTTAACATTGAAATCTGATCTGCCTTTGTTTTCCCAAGGTTATTGCTGCCAACACTTTGCCATAAATGGAGCTATAGGTTTATAGTCCCTCTAACTTCAAGCTACCTCGTCCATTTACCACGGTGAGAAACAAACTGTTTTTATGACCATGCATGTGATGTGCAGTTGTGCACAGACTTTATTCTTCTTTCCTTCTATAAATGGCGATGCAAGTCACTATTATTTATGGGAGACACACGATTCCTATTAATGTTCCAACGGTAAAAAGTAAAACCAACCAACCACAAGTCCACAACGGTAAAAAGTACACTATATAACTGCAACAGCTACGACCGGTTGGCCACGTGCCATCAAACGCAACGTCGTCGTTCAAGCATTAACGATCAAACCCCCTGCCAACAACAATTGAAAAACAAAACGAACGTCAACCTCTACGGTCAAAAAGTTAACTAACTAACTAACAAACATGTTACTTTACGTATTTGCATTACCGTTGGGATGCAGGACTTGGCCAGTGAAGTAAGAAGAGCAACCCTCCGAAGCCAAAAACACATACGACGGCGCGATCTCATAAGCCGCCGCCGCCCTCTTCATCGGCACCTCGCACCCCAACGTGGTCGTCCTCTCCGGCGGCATCACGGCGACCTGCAACGGCGTCCAAACGGGGCCCGGTGCCACCGCATTGACCCGGATCCCTCTCTCCACGAGCATCGAGCTCAGGCTCCTCGTAAAACTCACGATCGCGCCCTTCGTCGCGCTGTAATCCACCAGCTCGCTGTTCCCCGTGTAGGCCGCGACGGAGGTCGTGTTGATTACGCACCCGCCTCGTTTCATGTGATTCAGTGAGAACCTCGCCATGAGGAAGTAGGCGAAAATGTTCGTCCTGAACACGTTCTCCAGCCTGGATTCTGTTATGTCGTCCATCGAGTTCGTGTAGTACTGGACCGCCGCGTTGTTGACGAGGATGTCGATGGTCTCGTACTCTCTGACGAATTCGTCCACAACCCTCTGGCACTCCGATTCGTACCCCAGGTCGGCCTGTATGGCGATCGGATCTTTCGAAGAAGGGGTTTTCAGTTGTTTGATGAGTTTGACGGTTTCGTCCTTGTCCACGTCTTCGATGCCCTTGACGTACGTGAACCCGACTGTAGCACCTTCCATGGCGAAGTGTAGGCAAACGGATCTCCCGATTCCCGAGTCTCCTCCTGTCACCAGAGCTACCTTCCCCTGCATGATCAACACAGTATGTACTTACATATACGTTCACGTAAACATTTCGAAATGAAGGTGTGAATTGAAGGGTTTTGGATGCGAAAAATCAAAGGGATTTACGAGGAGTTTGTTGGTGGGTTTGTAGGGTTTAGGGGTTGAGGGAGAGGGTTCATCAAGTATTCCTTTGCCGGCTGAGTTGGCTGGCTCTCTGGTGGGAACTTGGACTCGCAGTCGCAGCTGCTTCCTGATGCCATTTTTCTTGTTTGCTTCAGAGAACTTGGTCGACAAAAACAAAGTTCTTTGCTCTTGGCCTTTGATTTGGGTGATGATATGAAGAGGGAACAGGAGAAGCAGTTTATTGTATATAGCGATTTGGTAGTTGAGAAGTTGAGATCCGATAAGCAATAATAATGTGGGGGGAGATCAGTAGGTGTTTTGGATAAGGTCTATATGGCGGGAAATGATTTGTTTGTCAATTGAAGGCAAGGAACCAAAGGGACAGACAGACTTACGTGCGAGTTAGGTTTTCTTCATAAATGAGAACGTGCTCGTTTTTGTTTACCTTTGCTTATCGTTAAATCGCCAGGAATTAGTAACGTGTTAGAATTGTTTGGTTAGAATTAGAATGGAAGAAGAAAGTTCTGAGATGAGCTTATATATAACATGTTTAATCATTGGTGGTGATGTGGCAAACGGAATTTATTTGCTAGATGACATAGGCTCTTGTGCGGGGCAAAGTAGCGCCTAAATTTGTGATTCGATGTAAGTTCAGTGAAATTAATATCCAAATAACTAAAATTCATATACAAATATTGAAAAAATTCGACCCTAGGACAACCACATTTTAAAAGGACATACGGAGAACGTTAACCACCGTGGAGTAAAGTCTCTCTAAGAGGCCAAACCACGTTAAATCTCGTGTTCTTGTCTTTGCTCTTTTGATATGCTGATTTGATTGTTTAACAATTAGCCCATTCAGACTTTGTCCAACCTAACTTGGCATCCCCACAAAATATCCACCAAATGCCACCCTCCATTCGAACACAATAGCACAATGTAACAGTAGGATTCCATCAGTAAAGTCCATATTTCGTTGCAGTTGAACTTTTGCGATTTCATTAATTAAGTTGTCGCGTACCATTCCAAATATGAGCATGATGAATAGTTTTTTTTTTTGTGATAAGAAAATATTATTTGTGATGATAGGAGGTCGTTCCTTTAGTTAACGAATCGTAGGTGAAGGTTTTCCTACATTAACGAATCTGATAATTCCATGCCTCATTTTTTACAACAATTTGCTATATTCTTGACAGACCTAGGTCGTCGTGGGTACAGTTTGACCAATTATGATTGTTTTACTAATTTTTTTTACAATTAATTGTATTTTGAATTTATGAAATCAAATAAATTAAAACAGATAAAATCATGTCTTTTATTCGTCAAATACGAAGTTAATTATAGCTCACACTTTTTTTTTTCTTCACTACATGGTAAATTACATATGTTGATATTATATCCTTAAGAACATACAGTTGTGTATTAAAGGTCTATACATTGAGAAAGAGGAGGAGGGAAAGACAAAACCATTACTCAATCACCAACACGGAAGCTCACGCTGCTCTGCGGAAATTGATTCCGAAAGCAAATTAATGAGGATTATTAATTTTGTGGAGGTGTTCAGAAAGATAAATAACTGTACCACAAAATTACTTTAGAAAAGGATAAATTTAATAGCTTGAGTACTTGACTGAATAAAAACTTGGTTTATCAGCAATGATAGTGATGGAAAAGAAAATTCGTCAGAACTTATGGAGAATGGAATGCTAAAACCCGACATTCTACCAAAGAACGAAACAAAGTTCAAGATCACCAGTAGTTGCCAACATTACAACATTCACAAATAGAAGGTATTGGAGGTAAACTAGTTGTCACAACAATAACCATGTTTTCTTAGGTATCAAAATGTATGTCCTATATTGCATACCCATATGCTAACCTTGTAAAGTACATTCCAAAGTCTCCAAACCAAAATCCTTCAAATAGGAATTGCTTAGTCTTTCCTAATGCACACCCAACTCAATCCCTCCAATTACAAAAGCAGGTAAACCGTGTTCCAGTTCAACCTGCTTTGATCGGGTTGATTGTTTTATTTTTAGGGTGTAGGTTCGATGGAAAGCAGAACGAGTTATTTTAACAAAACCACGTGTAACCCAACCTACCAATTAAAAAATGGGTCAAAGTCGCTCCCACACAAAACTCGTCAACACCGGGTTCGACTCGTTTAGATAGGATCAAATTAGTTCGGATACCCGTCCGTGAAATGACATTATTTTTGTTGAAGGTTGGATGGAAAGAGGTATACCATTTTAAACAAAAATCCACACCTTACTCAACGCTAACTACAAAAGCGGGTAAAATACGCTTCTGACACAAAACTCGTCAGCACCATATTTAACTGCTTTGACCGTGTCCATTGTGGTTGTTTGTTATATGCAAATCAATGGAAAGTGAGAGCGAATTTTTAACATAATACACAACTGACCCAACCCGACAATTACAAAAGCTGGTGAAACTCGCTCCCGACCCAAATATTTTTAAAAGAGGTAGGAAAATTAAAAAGAGGTCTCCCTCTTGATGTGGGATGTAGAAAAAGTGGAAGAAATTAAGACATAAAAGTAATTAAGAAAGAAAGTTAAAACCATTAAAATCGTAAAGGTCATGAAGTTTTTATCAATTCCAAAAAATTGAAAGAGGGTCTAGTTTTAACAAAAATCCACACCTGCCCAATTCGCCAATTTCAAAAGTGGGTAAAACACACTTCTGACCGAAAACTCGTCAACATCATGTTCAACCTAGATTGACCGTATTGATTGTTTTGTTATTTTTTGTGTATATCGGATGAAAAGAGCGGTCGGGTTTTTAGCAAAATCCACACCCAGACCAACCCGCTAATTACAAAAACAGGGGCAAGAATTACAAAATCCAGCCCAAAACTCGTTAACACTGTGTTCAGCCCGAATATTAACCGGATATTTTTTTGGATGTGGGTTGGATGGAAAACGTGGCGAGTTTTTAACAAAATCAACACCCTTTTCAACTCGCCAATAACAAAAGCGGGTAAAACTCGCTCTCGACCCAATACTCGTCGGGTTTAATTCGCTTTGGACATATCTGATTAGGTTGGATTCATTTATGTGTAGACTATAATGGAAATAAAGGAATAAAGCTAAAACTATTAAAATGATAAACTCTCAAAGTTCTCACTAATTACAAAAATAACCTAATGATGTGACTCTAAAAAATAGTGTAAAACACAACCCACTTTTAATATCTCAAACAACGGGGATTCTATGGTGTCGTGCTGGCACTAGTGTCGCCTACCCTTTAGTTGTTGGATTAGCAGTCTTTAATGCGGACCATTGATTTTAACCACCACTTAACCAAGCTAGGTTGAACCTGGTTGAACCTATTTTATATTAAAAATAAAATTATTTATTAAAGTAATATGTTACTGAAACGGAACAGAGAAACCAGTATGGATGGCAATGAGTCGGTCAGGGGTGGATAGTGCATATCTGTTACCTTACCCAAAGTAGTTCGGGTTTTACCCATACCCACATGTGAAACGGGTAGAATATCAAAACCATGCCCATACCCGTTTGGGGTTCAGTTATCCACGGTTATCCATGGGTAGTAATTTCTCTTCATAACTCCAACCAATATGTTTACATTCACACGTATTCTCACATTACATAAGAGGAAACTTACGAAAATAATTCACTAGAATGAAGAAAATTAATTAAAATAACACAATTTCATGAAAATATTATATTTATATGCTAAATATAAAATATGTTAGAGAAAAATAATGATTATTTCTAGACAAAATACATATGCATGTGTATAATCGGGGGGGGGGGGGGGGGGGGGGGGGGGGGGTGGGGGGGGGGCACCCGATTAGGACGGATTCGGGCGGATATCCACGGTTACATATATTTTTGCCATCCCTAAAAACTGGTTTATTAATCTTAAAAAATATTTATTTATTTTGTTGCTTCGTTCCCCAGAAAATCCCTCCCTTGATTTATCGAAGGAAAAAACATTTTGCCCCTGTCGTCGATTGCCACGGTAGGGACGATGTTGAGAATGACCAGGCAACGAGGATGGTGCGGGATGAAGGTGGTTCGGGATTTGAGTGCGTAATGACCAATCAGATGGTGGATATTGAAATCGATGGGGAAATTGACTCGGCGGTGTTAGAATATAGAAGTTTGTGTACTATTATGTAAATAGCCTTTATTTACTATTGTTAGCTATGCGGGAGAGCTAGGGTTTGGTTATGCCTAGTAGTCGGCCATATATATTGGTGTCGGGTGGTTTACGAGACTGTACACTGATTTTGGAGAATAAGAGAACAAAACGCCTTGTGCCGTTGAGGAAACCACGTAAATCTCGTGTTCTTATTCGTTTCCTTGGTTCGATTTATTGAAGTTTAACATGGTATCAGAGCCTCTTCTCTAGTGTTCTTGGCTTCTTTGGCTTCTCGGCTGATTGGTATGTGTTTCTAGCCGATCTCGGTTGGTTCTTGGCTGTTCTTTATACACGCTTGGCTGCTACTCCAATTATTTGTTTTCGGTTGTTCTTGGGACTCTCGGCTGCTGCTTTGCCTTGGTTGTGTACGTGGCTGTTTCTTCGTTCTAGCTTGGTGGAGTTGTTTGATTCTTGTTAGGTCCCTGCTTTGGTATCTCGTCGCGGCTTGGTGCGACGTTTATTGTTTGGTTTGGTTGATTCATTGTTGGCCGGTGGAGCTCTTCCAGGTTCTGGTTTTCTTGCTATTTTGTGTGCTGCAGCTAAGGGAATTCTCTCCCAATCTCGTCTTTGCTGTTTACTTCCATGGAGGGTTCTAAACTTGATTGTGTCTCGGTCAAATTCAATGGAAAGAACTTCCCATTATGGGAGCTGCACTTCAGGGTCTTCGTTCATGGGAGGGGGCTTCTGCCCATTCTTGATGGCTCGTTGCCGGAGCCGGATGTGACTGCTACGGCCAAGGCACGTGCTGATTGGGCTATTCAAAATGCCCAAGTCACTTCTTGGTTGTTGTCTTCGATGGAGCCAGGTATCTCGCTGAGCCTCCGTGCCTTTACTACCGCACATGCTATGTGGCAACACCTCCTTGCCCTTCATTCTCAAACTGACATCTCCTGGAAGTTTGAAATTGAATTCGATCTTGCTGCTCTCCAACAAGGAGACATGGATGTGCGTTCTTACTACCAAAAGGCCCTAGATCTCTGGACAGAGCAAGATATGTTGACTACCTCCTTAGTGTCAGCTGCTGCCTCTGAGGAAGTTCTTAAGGACCGTGCCAGTTCTCGCCTTGTGACTTTTATGATGAAACTTCATCCGGCTTTTGAAGGGGTTCGGGCTTCTCTACAGCATCGCAATGTCTCGAAAATTGAGGATGTGGTTGCTGAGTTGATACGCGAGGAGACTCGTCTCCGCAGTAAGGCCAAGCTCGATGGCCAGACTAGTGACTTTGGTTCTGTGTTTGCTGTTCAGTCCAGTCGCCCTCAATTCGGTCGCACTCCCTCCGGTGAGATTATTTGCTACCACTGTAAAGAGTCGGGTCACATTCAGATTCGTTGTCCCAAGAAGCAGGTGTGTAATTATTGCAAGGCTGCCGGCCATCTCATTGGCGATTGCCCCATCCTCGCGCGTCGCAACCGCCAGAAGGGGAGTGGAGGTCCACATGCTTCGTCCTCTGCCCGTCGTGGTCCAGAAGCTCCAGCCTATGCCACCACGTTGGCCTCTTCCGCTGGTCCTACCGCTGCTGGCTCTGTTCCCAGCTCGGGTTCGGGTATCTCCCAAGAGGAGATAAGACGTCTGGTCCGTGACGCTATCCAGGAATCTCTTCCTACCGCACTCACTGCTGCTTTCTCTACGGGTATGATTCCTCATTCTCTTTCACAGTGGCATCTCGATTCCGCAGCGGTTAACCATATGACTAGTGTTCGGTCAGTTTTTGAGAATTTACAGCCGAGTTCGGGTATTAGCTTGCAGGTTGCGGATGGGTCTAGTATTTCTGTGGCAAGAGTTGGGTCTGTGAAAACTCGTCGGTTATCTCTTCCTCAGGCTTATTATGTTCCCAAGTTAACTCCTAACTTGGTCTCGGTTGGGCAGTTGGCTGATGATGGTTGTCGTATTACGTTTGATGGTCGTGGTTGTACTGTGCAGGACATGAGGACGGGGGCGGAGATAAGGCGAGGGAGTAAGAGAGGTCGCATTTACATGCTTGAGAGCTATTCCCGCGAGGAATTTGATCGGGGTGGGACGCGTCGATGTGTTGAGCCTGGGGACACTTCTGCTGTGGGAGCCTTCACGCATGCTGCTGGAGGTGTTATAGAGGCTTCTCGATATGATTCTCCTATTTCTACTTTGTGTGACTCTTATTCTGGATATTCAGTACAGTTTTCGGATTGGGATTTGTGGCATTTTCGATTGGGCCACCCGAATAAATCTAGACTGTTTGAGATGTTTAAGAATAATTGGCTTTCTGGTCGTGTTCGTTCTATTCCTGATCATGAATGTGTCCACTGTGTGGAAGCTAAGATCTCTCAACGCTCTTTTAGCTCCAATTCTACGGTGTACTCCGAGCCTTTTGACTTAGTCCACACAGATCTCTGGGGCCCCTCTCTAGTGATTGCTCGCATGGGATATCGATATTTTGCACTCTTCATCGACCATGTCACGAGGTTTACCTGGGTTTACTTCTTAAACAAAAGTCTGAACTGTTGACGATTGCACATGATTTCATTCAGATGGTTTCTACTCAGTTTGGTAAGGGGATCAAGATTTTCCGGTCAGACCCTGGTGGGGAGTTCTAATCTAATCCACTGCAAGCCCTGTTTCGCCAAAAAGGCATTCTCCCTCAACAATCTTGCCCCGGTGTTTCCCAGCAGAATGGGTTGGTTGAAAGGAAGCATCGTCATGTGTTGGAACTCACCCGCGCATTATTGTTTCATTCTTGAGTTCCACCTAACTTTTGGGTTGAAGCGGTTCATACGATCGTCTACTTGATTAACCGTCATATTACTCATGTACTTAGTCGTCGAAGCCCATATGAAGCTCTCTATTCTCGTATTACGAACTACAAATGGTTGAAGGTCTTCGGATGTGTGTGCTATGTTCTTCTTCCTCATCGAGAGCGGAACAAGCTCTCGCCTAAGGCTTCCAAGTGCATGTTTGTGGGCTACAGTGAAAAACATAAGGGATATATGTGTTACGATGTTATTAATCAGCGTCTCCGGGCCTCATGTCATGTAGTCTTTCTTGAGACTACTCCCTACTATGCTGCAGCGGAGTCTTCGTCGAGCACACAACTTTATTTCTTGGTGCCAATCCCTAATTTCCCAGCGTTTCCCCCTGTCCCTGTCGAGGATGATGCTCCCCCGTCCCCACCACCTAGCGCAATCTCATCCTCGGTCGCGTCCTCCCAGTCCATTAGCCCATTCTCCTCTTCCTTGGAGCCTCCCGCACAATCCTCCTCGCAGCAGTCTTCCTCTAGCTCGTCCTCACTAAATAATGACGAGGGTTTGGGTTTGGATGAGGACGTTGGTCCTCAGCTTCGTCGATCAACTCGGAGTACACGGGGTCAAGCTCCGGCTCGTTATTCCAATTTTGTGGCATTTTCCACAACGGCTCCTCCCATCTTTGTCCCTGCTACCTATAAGCAGGCTCGTGATCTGTAACACCTTAGGCTAATCCCACATCGACAATGCACGGGAGAGATCCATGGTTCATAAGTAGGAAACCGGCCTTAACTGACAAGACGCGTTTTGGGGTGTAATGGAGGAGTTCTTGTGAGAACTCCGAAGTTAAACGTGCTCAGTGTGGAGTATAACAAGGATGGGTGACCTTATGGGAAGTCACCTTGAATTGCACCCCAAGTCGAAATCTGTGCGGGTGTAGAGGCCCAAAGCGGACAGTATCTTGTCGGGAAAAGGTTCGGGATGTTACAAGTGGTATCAGAGCCTCTCCGCGTCCCTCTTGAACGATGGTGGGGCAAACCTCAACGAGGGCGTTGAGTCCCAAGGGGGGGTGTATGTAACACCTTAGGCTAATCCCACATCGACAATGCACGGGAGAGATCCATGGTTCATAAGTAGGAAACCGGCCTTAACTGACAAGACGCGTTTTGGGGTGTAATGGAGGAGTTCTTGTGAGAACTCCGAAGTTAAACATGCTCAGTGTGGAGTATAACAAGGATGGGTGACCTTATGGGAAGTCACCTTGAATTGCACCCCAAGTCGAAATCCGTGCGGGTGTAGAGGCCCAAAGCGGACAGTATCTTGTCGGGAAAAGGTCCGAGATGTTACATGGTCTGCCTCAGTGGGACGCAGCTATGACTGCCGAAACAGACGCCTTAGAAGCTAACCACACCTGGGAGCTTGTGAAGCGTCGTCCGAAATATCCGGTCATTGGAAGCAAATGGGTATATAATGTCAAGCTTCTTCCGGATGGCTTTCTTGAACGCTTCAAGGCTCGTGTTGTTGCTCAAGGCTTCAGGCAACAATATGGGGTGGACTATGACGAGACCTTTGCGCCAGTTGCTAAAATGCAAACGGTCCGCAGTTTACTAGCCGCGGCTGCCATGAAGGGTTGGCGTTTACTGCAACTTGACGTAAAAAATGCATTTCTGCATGGTGACTTGAAAGAAACTATCTACATGGAGCGTCCTCCGGGGTATACCAAAGGTGATAGTTCTATGGTATGTCTTTTGAGGCGATCGCTATATGGTCTGAAACAGGCGCCGCGTGCGTGGTTTGAGAAATTTCAGACGAATATTCTTCAGGCGGGATTTGTTCAGAGTGAGAATGATCCCTTTCTCTTCTTGCGTACTACTGATCGCGGTCTGACTGCACTCTTAATTTATGTGGATGATATAATAATTAGCGGTGATGATCAAGATAGTATTCAGTCTTTGACACCTGTGTTACGCTTATCGTTTAATCTCAAAGAGTTGGGATCGTTATCATATTTTTTGGGATTGGAAGTTGATCGTTCGCACTCTGGGATTCATGTGAGTCAAAGGAAATATATTGTTGATCTTCTCGAAGAAGCTCAGATGGACACCTGTGAGCCTTGCGGTACACCTATGGAACAGAATCTCAAGCTCCGTCAGTCGGATGGGGAGCCCCTGGCCGATGGCACCACCTATCGCAGTGTGGTTGGGAGTTTGATTTATCTCACTTATTTCCGTCCGGATATCGCCTATGCTGTTCAGGTAGTTAGTCAATACATGTCGTCACCTCGCACAAGTCACTGGGTGGCTGTTCAGCGCATTCTACGGTATCTTAAGGGGACGCCTAATGTAGGGATGTTCTTTCCCTCTGGTGGGGATTCTACTTTGGAAGCGTATGCTGATGCTGACTATGCTGGCTGCTTAGATACGAGGCGTTCTACTTCGGGGTGGTGTGTGAAGCTTGGCCACTCTTTCATATCGTGGCGCTGCAAAAAGCAGGATCGGGTCTCAAAGTCGTCTACTGAGGCTGAGTACCGCTCTATGAGTGAGGTAACGTCTGAAATTGTCTGGCTGCAATGTCTCTTGGCTGATCTTGGGGTTGTATGCCAGGTCCCTGTCCGACTCTATGCGGATAATACTAGCGCTATCAGGATTGCCACTAACCCTGTACTGCATGATCGTACTAAACATATTGAGGTGCACGTGCACTATATCCGCCAGTTAGTGACCGATGGTGTCATTGAGCTCTCCTACATCACTTCTGAGGATCAGACTGCTGACTTGTTGACTAAGGCTGTGGCGTCGGCCTGTCATTGGTTTTTAGCACACAAATTGATGCTACGTCAGCACCATCAATTTGAGGGAGGGTGTTAGAATATAGAAGTTTGTGTACTATTATGTAAATAGCCTTTATTTACTATTGTTAGCTATGCGGAAGAGCTAGGGTTTGGTTATGCCTAGTAGTCGGCCATATATATTGGTGTCGGGTGGTTTACGAGACTGTACACTGATTTTGGAGAATAAGAGAACAAAACGCCTTGTGCCGTGGACTAGTCTCAACGTTCAAACGTTGAGGAAACCACATAAATCTCGTGTTCTTATTCGTTTCCTTGGTTCGATTTATTGGAGTTTAACAGGCGGCGGTTTAAACGAGGGGGAGGAGTCTTGATGATGATGGTGGTTTCGAGGGTGTCGGGATGTGGTTGGTGATGGCCGACCTGCGACAACAACGATGATGGTGGTTGATTGGCACAACAAAGACGATGATGGGATAACCGGGCGGTGGCAATTGCGTTTATGACGGTGGTGAAATCGACTGCCGAGGATTCGGGATTTGGGTGGTGTTGGCCAATCGGCGGCAACGATGATTGTGGATTGCCGTGACAGAAACGATGTTGGCGATGACCAGAAGGCGGCTGCGGGTTGATGACAATGGTGATTTTGACCGACGATGGATTCGAAATTTTGGTGGTAATGGTTGATCACGGCAACAAGCCAACAACGCCAATGGTGGTGGATTTCTGTGACGGAGGGCGTTGGCTTTGCTTTACAATGGAAGGGCAAAGAAGTGAAAGGGAAAGGAATGATGGCTTTTTGTTTTTGTTTTTTTTATCTTTTATTTCCTTATATTTTATTAATTAAATAGTTGAACTAGACTCACTCAATATATCGAAAATTCAAGCTCTTAATCGATCACAAAAATGTGGCGGCATTGGTGTCGGCACGACACACAAAATTCCATAAAAAGTGAAAAAGCACACTACGTTCGCTGCTCTCGCCTTTCGGTCATCTCCCGTCTCCTTATAGTAAAGGTGGCAATTCTCAATCCAATCCACCAATTCATTAAAAATATCCACCTAATCCAATCCATTTCAATCTAGTCCATTTGATCCAAATCCAAGTGGATTGGTGGATTTATGGATTGATCCATAGATCCAAATGGCAAATTATGATTTGGTACCTATACTTTTTATATTTTACATTTTGGTAGCTAGAATTTGATTTTTTATACGAAAAATATCATTAGAAAATTACATTTTGGTACCTAATATTTTTTATTATGACATTTTAGTACCTAAACTTTTCACATATTGGTCCTTGGTTGAGGATGTCATTTGGATTCATGGATAATCCACTAATCCACTAGATCCAATCCATGAATCCACCAATCCATTGAATCCGATCCATTTGATCCATGGATCCACCAATCCATGAATCGAATCCATTTGCCACCTCTACCTGATAGGGAGCTCATCCAGTCATCCACAAACCATCCATAATATCATCCCTTTAATGGTGGTGATGCATGTTTCTGATAGTTTAAAATCCCATAAACGATTTCTTTTTACATAGGTTTCGTTTTGGTAATTAAAGTATTACTTAAGAAATTTGAACACGAGACCTCCAGACTCTAAACTAGTGATATTACCACTGGGCCAATCTCTTGTTACTATTACAGATTAAACGATTAAACACCTCGCGCCTCTCCCTTCCCCTCTCCCTCTCCTACCATTCTTCAATTCCCACACAGTTACTATTACAGATTTTACATATGCCTGTACATAATTTTGCTTTATCAATAATAGAATTAGAAATGCCATTATAAAATCTGACGCTCGTTAGTATGTTTCGAAAGGTTTCTGCTAACACATTTCTAATAACTATACACGCAATAACAACGTTACTCGTCCACTTCCATTATCAAAAAAAAAAAACGTTACTCGTCCACTTCATGCTTAACAGTTAACAATCCAGATCGAATGAACCATAAACAACAATTCACACAATCAGATTACATAATAGTTTGATTCCGTTATTTTATTCATCAAGATTACATCATAATCCATACATGATCAGTGTTACATCGAGCATACCCAAATCTTGAATTTATTCTCACAAATCTCAGCCAGCACCATAATACACCGAAAGAAACTTCATCGACTCACACAGCAAACACCGTTCAAGCATTAACAATCATCCCGCCTGCAATTGCCAACAACCGACATCACACACATGCAGCCATGCAGGTAAAATCATATCGAAGGTTGTATAAAAAAAAAGTCAACATCAAGCTATTTTACGTTGAAATCGTAGTTTTATCGTATTATTTCAACGGTTCTATACCGTAAAAAATCACCTACCAGTTTAGACCCTGATAGAACTTAGAAGGTCATTCTCACGACCATGCGATTTTACTAGGGGTGACAAAAATATCCGTAACCGTGGATATCCGCCCGAATCCGACCTAATTGGGTAGGTTAAAACCCGAACCCGAAGAACTTTTAGTGGGTACGGGTAAAACCCGAACCCGAATATTGTGGGTAATGGGTGTGTATGGTTTTCTCACTATCTCGCCCGAACTCGCCCAATTACACTCATGCATATGTATTTGGTCTAGAAATAATCATTATTTTTCTCAAACATATTTTATATTTAGCATATAAATATAACATTTTCATCAAATTATGTTGTTTTAATGAATTTTCTTCATTCTAGTGAAATATTGTCATATTTTTCCTCTTATATAATGTGAGAATACGTGTGAATATTAACATATTGGTTGGAGTTATAAAGAGAAATTAGTATCATGGATAACCGTGGATACTCGAAATCCGAATGGGTATGGGTATGATTTTGATTTTCTACTCGTTTCTCATGTGGATATGGGTAAAACCCAAATTACTTTAGATAGGATAACGGATATACACTATCCGCTCCCGAGCCGACCCGTTGCCATCCTAGATTTTACAAACATTGGCAAAACCCACATTGTGTTAGGAAAAAGGGACCGAGTCCTATAAATTTGTACTACATATAGATATATACGTACCATTGGGATGCAGGACCTGGCCAGTAAAGTAAGAAGAGCACTCATTGCTCGCCAGAAACACAACCGCCGGCGCAACCTCAAACGGCTGCCCGGCCCTCTGCATCGGCACCTCACACCCCAGCGTCGCCACCCTCTCCGCCGGCAGCGACGCCACCTGCAGCGGCGTCCAAATCGGCCCCGGCGCAACCCCGTTCACCCGAATCCCCTGACCCACAACCTTCAGCGCCAAGCTCCTCGTAAACGTCAGGATCGCCCCTTTCGTCGCGCTGTAATCCACCAGCTCGCTGCTCCCCGCATAAGCCAAAACAGAGGTGAGGTTCACAATCGAGCTCCCCTGTTTCATGTGCTTCAGCGAGATCCTCGCCATGTAGATGTAAGCGAAGATGTTGATCCTGAACGTCCGCTCCACTCTGTCCTCGGTCAGCTCGTCGATCGAATTGGTGTAGTACTGGACCGCGGCGTCGTTGACGAGGACGTCGATGGTTTTGTAGTGCCTAACGAACTCGTTTACGATCCTCTGGCATTCGGATTCGCAGCCGCGGGAGAAGTCGGCTGCTATGGCGATGGGGTCTTTGGAAGAAGGGGATTTGAATTTTTTGATGAGTTTGATGGTCTCGTTCTTGTCGGTGTCTTCCACGCCTTTGACGAAGGTGAACCCGACGGTGGCGCCTTCCATTGCGAAGTGGATGCAGACGGATCGGCCGATTCCTGAATCCCCTCCTGTCACCAGAGCTACCTTCCCCTGCATCATCCATTTTTCAAACGTGTTGATCATCATACGGGATTGGTTTGCGTCGTAGATTTGAAAAAATGAGAAGTTTTGGTAAGATTTGGCATTTATGATGAATTGTGGGTTTGAAACTGAGTATATTGTTTGCTTCTTTAACTTTGGTATGGATTTTTATTTCATATTTTGGCAATGATAGATTAAATTTCATGTCTAACTCGAACCTATCATGGGCCTGTGCCGTTACGTCCAATGGCACAGGGCTCACTGATATTGGGACCTCGATCAGATTATATCGAACTGCGTGGCTCGTTTTTGGCTTATGCAAAAATTGAGTTTAGGAACTTCACAAAATTTGGGGCCTCAGCCCATAACACTAGTGAACTAATAGGTCTAGTTATGGCCTTCTAAACAAAACAAAACAAAATTATAAATTTAAATTTGCATGGGCCTCGGACATTCCAAGGGCCGTATGTATCTAGTAGGTGGAACTGGACCTCCGAAAATTCAAGGTTGATCCTACATCTAACCATGAGATTTGCAAGTCCGTGAGATATACGGATTTATCCTTAAAATCTATATACCTCACGGATTTTACTCCTCTAAAACCAACTAGCAAAACATTGGACTTTGAGACCAAATCCATAACATATTGGATTTTGAATCCAAATCCACGAAACAAACGAAAATATAGAGATAAAAAAAAAACAAAGGTACTGAATGATGGGTTGTTTACAAGGAGTTTGGCGGAGGGCTTGTAGTTAGGGTTGATGGGCTGCGGGAGCGGGTTCATGAGGTACTCTTTCCCCGGCTGCTGCGGCTGATGCTGCGGTGGAAACTTCGGCCCACAGTCGGCTGGAGGTGTGAACGCCATCTTTCTGCTCTGAAAAAAAATTGATTTTGCGTTACCTAGAATGTGTTCCATGGGAGGAAAATCAGGGACTAGCTAGGGTTCTAGTCCTTTTATAATAATGGCTGTACTCTTTCGTGGATCTTCTTCTTCTTGCTTGTAGTGGTGAATTTCGTGACGACTACGTACTAGATCTTAATTGACAGATCGACGAAGACTACTCGTGCGTGTATTATGTACATTGAATTATGGCCACGGTGAGCTAGGGGTGGATTCGGTTCGGTTCGGTTATAACCGATAATCGATTGGTCCGCTACCGGTTAACCGAACCACCATCTCCCCCTACCGAACACCGACCGACGCCATTGCCTCGGTTAACCAATAACCGACCGGTCGGTTATCGGTTAGTTGGTCGGTTAACCGAGATAACCGAAAAAATGATGGTGGTTCGGTTTTAACTGGGTAAAATTATTAGAATTGCCTAAAATGAAAGGTTCTAACTTACATTTCTACATCTAAATCACCAAATTAATGTATCAAATTCAACAACATAAAGTTATAAACTTCATAACCGGGTATTTTCACGTCGTTTTGGTGAGGGGGGTGGTCGGTCGGTTATTTTCGGTTATTGTCGGTTAACTGGATAACCGGTTTTCGGTTACTCGGTTAACCGAATTACCTATTAGGAGCTCCGACCACCGACCGAAGCATATAATTTTCGATTATCGGTTAACCGGTAACCGCCGGTTATCAGTTTAACCGGCAACCGATAACCGAACCTCCAGCCCTACGGTGTAGGGGTGGGCATTAGGTTCGGTTTTACCGAACCGAACCGAATTAAAACCGACTGAAACCGAGATACATAAATTTAGGTTCGAAATTCGGAAATGGATGTGCTGTATTTCGGAAACCAGACACCTTTGAACCGAACCGAAATACCGAAATAACCGACCGAATTCCGAAATCACAAACCAGGCAACCAGCCCAACGCCCCAACGGCCCAGCACCTCCCCAGCCCAATACTCGGCCCACGCCCCACGCCCATCCCCCAGCCCAATACTCGACCCACCTCCCCTGCCGGCCTGCCATTCCAGACCCAGTCGAGTGTCGACCGATTTCTAACCCTAGAGATTCACTCCTCACTCCTGTGTCTGTCTCCTCGTCTCCTCCTCGCCCCTCGGATCGGAATTGCGATTCGCGAAGCAGCTGCAGCTCTGCTCGGAACTCAGAACTGGGAGTGGGAAGGAAAGGAAGAAGGCTGAAGGCAGCAGTGGCAACAGCGACTCCTCCTCCCCTCCTCCTCGACAGGCGGCGACTCGCCGACTCCTCCTCCTCGGCAGGCGGCAGCTCGGGGCTCGACTTCTCCTCCGACCTCCAGTCCAGACCTCCGACTCCTCCTCGGAGCACACTTTCCAGAAGTGAACTGGCAGCAGTGAAATGGCAGTCAGCACAGCAGCCAGCCCATTTCCACTTTCCAGAAGGCAGCAGACAAAATGGCGGGCAGCAGGCCAAAACGGTGGGCAACATGTTTTTCGGTTTTGACCATTCGAACCGAATCGAACCGAGTTATAATTAGGTTCGATTGAACCGAACCGAATTACAGCTCGGTTCAAATTCGGTCGGGGTCTTGGGCAGCTCGGAAATTCAGCATGTTCTGATTCGGTTCGGTTCAAATCGAACCGAGCGAACGCCCACCCCTACTACGGTGAGCCATGGGAATGGGGAACTTTGATGGAGCCATGTCATGCATTTGGTCAAAACTGTGACGAAATGAGTGAAAAAGCTTTCCATTTACTGACCAGACAAAGGAGTTGCGTTAGTGTAGAAATTTGGTTTAAAACTTGGGGAGTTCGTCTTCCTTTCTTTTGCGCAACTAAGGGGAATAAATGAAGAAGAAGAAGAAGAAACGTGAGGAGTCTTAACTCTAATTCAGTTTCAACTTTCATCACAGCGTATGGTTGTTAAAAGTTGTGGATCAGATGTATATAGTAAGTTGTGGATCATACATGAATCTCTTTCAATATGCTATGTACTTTTAAGACAATTGTTAATATTGGGTTGTGAGGAGTTGAACACACATGATGTTAAAGACAAACCATCTCTAATACTATTAGATTAGGGCCCGGCCTCTTGGCCGGAAGAGTTTGATTTTCATGTATATGTGTAGTAAATATTTATGTATATTTTTTTTATGGTTCATGTTGTTGGGGATTGAAGTAACTATTTAATTTGATAAGTTCTCCATGAATAATATAGGAAAGTATTTAATGTATTTGACTAATGAAGTTTAAAAAATGACAAACAACGTCCAACTACACTAACATAAATACATATTCGCAAACAAAATCATATCTATATAAAAATGTCTAAGAAGAACAATGATAAGAGTTATCATACATCATACATGCATAATCAATCTTCAGTATACGATAATTTTTTTTTTATGCATTTTTCATTGACTATAGTGTTTTCAATGATATAAGAAACAAAGTATATATTTAGAGTGTCCTTAGAAAGAAACAAACTAACTCATATAGTCATGGTTTCATTGACTTTAGTGTATTCAATGATATAATGAAACAAAGCATGCAGATCTCCAGCAGGCAAGTTCAACTAATAGAGCAACACATAAAAAGCTAAATCAAACCGAAAAGAAGGCAAAAACTAAAAGCAGCATACCTAACATTTTAGGGGAAATCCACAACAATAAAAGTCATTGTAGCTCTTGCTCAAGTTAGAAAGACTTTGATTTAATGACAAGTAAACAATGATATGTAGTGCTTAAGAGGGAAGATAAGACCTTACATTGTTTATTAATATGCATCTTAGTTTCATAAATTTTATATCATTAAAAATTTATGTGTTGGATAAAAACCCATCCAAGTTTGGAGCCATTGTAAAATGTAAGTTATGAGGCAAATGAGAAGTCTCAAGCATCCACATGCTTGAAAAAATAAATCTATATGATCAAACATAAAATCATATCTTCCATCAGAAAAAGAACAAAAAAATAGTAATTCGATAATGAATATAAGAATCAATATGGACACAATATCTAACCAAGAGAAGAGAAAGCGAAAAACATAAATTGTTGTGTATTGCTTCTGCTCACGATATTCAAAGTCAAAAATATTATAAAAATTATTAACCAATAAAAGGGAACGGTAAAGGGGAAAATGCATCAATTTGAACCTAAAGTGAGAGGAATTAATATCCTACACCATCATATATAATGATATATTATATCCCGGAACATCATAAAAAATCTATCTAAACGAAAAAGTATACTAAATTGAATCCAATATAAAAGTAACAATGAAGATAGATATTATATCCACCTAAGAAATAATAAAGTAAGCCATGTTTCTTAGAGACGTCTCTCGATAGAATCACTCTATTATAAAACCCATTTCGTCAAACAATTGTATCATATAGAGTTTTAACTTAAATTTGAAGTGCTTATAATTAGTTATTTCAGCTCATGAATGATTTAATTATATCATTTGGTAAAATAAATAATTTATAAACTTGAGAGTTATTTCGTTTGTTGTTAAATCATTTGAACTAAAGTATGCAAGTGCTTCAGAACTGTTATTTTATTCATTATTATTAAAAATTGCTATTTTTATTATAATGTCTAAGCATGTCAAGGCGAGCTAGGAGATAGAAAAAATGGCCAATGATCGTCGTACGCCTAACGTGTTGTTGAACCTCAATAATTATAGCAAACTTTGAGACCATCTTATAATTTTGGTCACTTTTATTTTGGCATAATTGATTACATCATGAAAGCTATCAATCAAAGAGTCTTTCTTTACGATTTTGATAAGATGTCCCCTACTACACAATTATTATGCCTAAATTGTAATAAGATAATCATATATTGAATTTTGAATCAATAGTGCAAAAGATTGAACTAACTCAAGTAGGGTTTTAGCTACTCAGTACTTCATATTCGCATGCATGTAGATAGCTACTTCAAAGAGTTCGAATATTGATTGAGTTTGTTGAATTTTACCTAACGAAACTATGATATCAATTGCAAGATATGATGCTTTTTGGTAGACCTGGCAAATGAGGACCCGACCCGTTGACCCGAACCCGTCCGAAAAATAGAGAATGGGTTGATGTTTTTATAACCCGAAACCCAAATGACCCGAATTCGATTAACCCGTAGTTTTTGGGTCCGGTTGGGCTGGTTTGTGGGTCGACCTGCTAGACCCGTTTCATTGAATACGTCACTCTAAAAAAATGATAAAGTCACTCATACATTATTGAAATACGGGGTCGTATGGAAGTCTTGATTGTTTTTTTGAGATTGTTAAAAATAAATACATTTTTCATAATACAATACACATGTTTTTGTTTTTGTTCATACACAATCGTGAATTATTTGCTTGAATTGACTAAACTATCACTCAAATTGAATGATTAAACAATTTTGAATTTTAGTATAGACTGTCAAGATAATTGGTATCGGTGTTTGTCATGTTTATTTTTCTTGAAATGTAAGGTACTAGTGTTCTTATGTCGTCATTCAACACTTCAATTCAATGCGTAACATTCCAACCAATGGTATTTGTGTTGAGATTTTAAGAATATCCTTCATTTATAAGTTAGAAAAAATCTAATTAATTATTAAAATATGAAAATAGAATTATCAAACACCGCAAAATACTTATAGGAGACTTAGCCGGCTAACTAACCATGATAGAAAAATACTCTGTTTTTCATAATTTTAACTTCATCAATGTTTTGTATTAATTAAGTACAACAAATGTGTCTAGTCTAATTGGTTGTAATTTTTGTCTTTGATGGAAGATACCACGGTTCAAATCCTAGCATTGATATTTTTTTTATATGAAATAAAAAATTGATTGTGTAGACGAAAATACCCTTCCTACTTTCACTCTTGTAGCAGGAAATTTGAAATGAAGCAAATCAAACTCTTTAAAATGTATTATAAGTAGTCTAAAGATGTCATAAACCAACTGGTCTCAATAACTCGAGACGGTCCAATTTGATCGGATTAAACTGTTTTCCACCTCTAATTATATTCCTGCACATCAAAATAACAAGAGAAATTCTCCAAACATGATTCATTCATTTCAATTGTTGTTTCATTGCAAATACCCCAAACAAAAAGACACATCCAGATGAGTTAACACACAACCCCTAAATCGTTCATCTACTAGTTGCCTATCGAATCGATCATTTCACTGCTTACTTAGTATTTACGTAGCTTTATCCGCTGCCTTTTTTGATCCTCGGCTATCTACAAAACCAAAAGGAAAAGATCAAACATAAGAGGTTCACCAGAACTACAAATGACGAGGTTCAGAGTTTCACTGCCCACAACCCCTTGTCGGCACGCACAAGGGCAGTTCAGGTGAGGACAACAATGAAACAAAGAAACAAAACTTGCTTGCCGGGAAATGCTGATTTGATTATTATAAAAATGATAATCAGATCATTAGGCTCTATAAGTAGACATGCACTAGCCTTACAAATGACCAAATTAATCATAAAAAAAACATAATCAAAACATGTTCGTCACTAATAATAATAAGGCAGTAGTAACGGCAATCATGCTATTGATAGTTTCTCCCACGGCGATGAATGGCACCAGACCAGTTCACTATCCGCCTCTCGTTGCTCCGTCGCCGCCGGTGACATCGACCTGCAGCCCGGCGGCGGCTTTCAACGCTTCATCGTCAGCCGCCAACTTTAATATTGCACAACCACAGGGTACAACTTTTAGTTAAAACCCTTCTCCTTTTTTTTTATAAATTGCATACCTACTCTTCTTCCATTGACGATTTTGTATCTATTTTGTATCAGAGATAAGCTGGCAAGGGTGCAAGTTATGCTGCTGCCTACTTACCCTCATGCTCGGGAGCTGTTGTGGCGATGATTAAGAGTGAATCTGTAAATAATTTTACTTGAGGTGGATTCCTGTGTGATCTGTTGATTTGTTTCTTTTCCCTGCTTATTTTCCTTCTCCATAGAGGCAAACTCTTACAGAAATTAAACCTAGATATCAAACCCATCATTCACAAACATTAAACACCGGTATTTGGTCAGCAAGCAAGTTGAGTTTGGGATATTCACTGCATCAGTGTGCAGCTTTCAAGCAAAAAAAAATTGGTATCCTTGAAGGGATGAAGAAAGAACCACTAGGTTGATTCTCAAAAGTATTGCTTAAACTACCCAGAAACCGAGTTGCCTAACATATTTCAGGAATGAAACAAAACATCCATTCTCAGAAACACCAAAATTATCCATCCAAACTGCGCACAGGTTCAACATCATTCATCAGCAGCAGCTGAGCGTGTTATTCCAACCCTTCTTAGTTCTTATGAGTTATGATGTTCATAAACCCACAACCATTCATATCTGTTCTAGAATAACCTCTCCACCAGAGACCTTGAAGTCCGACGGCGCTTCTTCGACATTAAGGACCTTAACTTTTCCATCTTCAACAAATGCCGACCACCTAACACAAAACAAAAACAAAAATCCAAACAAAATGGTCATGGAGAGGACTGCAAGCTCAAGGCAACTCAAATTTGTTCCTTTAACATGACTTGTTCTCTATCAAGGGCAGAGGTATGATATGTACCTTTCGGATCGAGGTCCAAGCAAAGCACCAGATAGATCCTTCTCTAACTCCAAACTCTTGTGAAATTTCCCATCAAAATCTCCATAGAACTCGATCTATATGGGGAGGAAAGGGAACGAAGAACACATGTAACTAAGTCATACATGAGTCATTGAGGAAGCAAAATATTTGATAACTTTACACTTACAGCATCTTTAGCTTCAAGTTTCTCTGCCCATCCATTCATTGTATAAGGATCATTAACGGCCACACAAATGACTGAATCGATCCCTTTAGCCTTGAACTTATCGATGTTCTTTTTGTAACTCGGGACATGCTGCTGGGAGCAAACTCCTGTGTATGCACCCTATAGATAACGAAATGCCACACAGAAATCACAAATCCATTTGGACCGGTTAACCCCACTGCTTCCTTCCTTCACAGAATTTGGTAACATTAATCAGCTTCACAAAACTGTGTGGAGCAGTGGAGCTCGAATGCCAATTTAATCAGACTGCGAGATTCAGGAGCTGGAACCCATTTAATTGGAACAGAAATGCATACGTTTCTCTTGTTCTTAACTTCTGGGTAGAATCATTCAGTTCGTTTGGATAAAAATTAACCCATCGGAAAACAAAATCAAGCAATTGGGTTCAATTGAATTAACTTCATACGCAAATGAAGCTCAATCATAAGCAAAGAGTAAACGAAACCAATTTCGAGTTTCAGCAGGAGCTAGGACTTACTGGGAGGCCAAAGATGACAACTTTCTTGCCCTGGAACAATAAAGGAAAGCAATCAGCCCAAAAATTAGAAAACCCAGTAGCTATGAACACACAAGGGAAAACCAAAAGGGAGTGAATTTACTGAGGAACCTTGAAAATGTCTTTGAGAGGGGTAGTTGAGAATTTGGAAGAGACGCCCTCGTCCCAGCTGCGAGCCTTCTGGAGGGCCACATCGGGTGCTGCCGAGACCAAATCGGCACCAACGGCGACCTTGGCGTAGGACCTCGAAGATCCTGCGATTCGGAGGCCTGCGTCGACCGCGGACTTGAAAGCCGACGGCTTTGCTCGTCTAACTACTGCGGAAGCCATGGATTTACTTTAACACAGGGCAGGACGACTGCTTGATTCTCTGAGTGATAATTGTTCTCTGAAATTCTGAGGTTTTCTTTCGGCAGTGAGAAGAGGGCCAACGTGTCGCAAGTGGGAAGTGAGTGAGGCCGCCAGAGAATTGGACGAGGAGCCTGCATCTAAACGGGCTTTTACCTTACCGATACCTGATATTTGGGCTTCGAATGGGCCCAAAAAACTTGATTTTACAAAGAGGCTTTTCTCGTCGGGTAGACAGCTATAAAATTTCCTTCTCCAAAAGCAACACATGAGACTGTAAATTCGCTAGACAGCTACAGAGGTGAAAAGGATCCACTAGTGTAATGAAATGAGAATACTAAAATAGTATCTTCATTAGGTGGAAGGAATTTGTCTCCACTAACTATCATTGTGAGGAAGCACAAGATAAACAGGATTGTCGGACAAAAAAAAAAATCCTTCATCTTTCACTCAAGACAAAGCTAATACAACCATTAAATTTCATACTAATTCAACCAGTCGGTACAGCGGGAGATACCACCTACTGAAACTCAATCCGGTAGATAATTCTACATGTATAAAATGATTGAATCATGGTTTAAACACAAAATATTATATCACTGACTTTCGATGAAACCTTATATAATTTTACAATGCTTGATTCCAACGGGAGATACCACCTACTGAAACTCAATATGGTAAATAATTCTACCGGTATAAAATAATCGAATCATAGTTTAAAAAGTATCGCTGGTAAAATTATCTTGGGGGAATTATCTTCGAGTCGAAGCGATCCAGTCATCATTAGAAGGAGGCTGCCATTAGGTTACCCAATTCGTTGGGTTGGGCATTGCGCTCCCGCTCTAGAGCGCTAAAAGCGCGGATTTCCCAAAATTCATAGACAGTTCGCGAATTATTAATTCTCAGAGCGCGATTTTAAATTTCCGGAGCGCGATTTTTCCCATATGCAAAATAAGTAGAACGGCCAATTGGAAGATGGGAGATCAAGTGGTATCAGATTCTTTGGGGTTCACGGGGATCGTGGCTATAATTTTTGGAGGCTCCTGTTTTTGGCGATGGCCTCGTCGAGGTTCAAGGAACGGATAACCATGGCGGCCGATGAAGTTCGAGACGCCGTACAAGTTGGCGGAGATTTTGAACAGAATATATCGACGAAGTTGGGGATCAGCTAGCATGAAATTGGATGGGGGTTGATGATTTGGTCAGCCAATTCGTTTGGTTGGGCCTTGCGTTTGATCACGAATTAGTGAACTTGGAAAGTGAAATCAAAGGAAGGAAATGAAAAGAGAAAGCGAGTAGAATTGACAGAGAAATTGGGTGGTGGTGAAATGTAGATGATGATTGAAGGGAAAGTTAAAGAGAACAGAGGAAGGGAAGATGATGAGGTGTGGGGGTGTGGGCACTTGTGGCACATCACAACACACGTGGCCATAATAATTATAATAAATAAAATTAATTTTTTCTCCAATCGTAAGCATTAACTAATATAAAATAATTGAAGTAAATTATGGTCTTAATTATAATAGGAAAATATCCTTCATATTCTTGAAACTTCTTAAAACAACTTCTTAAAACAAGTTTGAATAATTCAATTGAGTGTAGTTCAATTGATTTTATTGATATAGTTGGCCAAATTTTATTACTAGTAATTGATAATATTGTTATAATCATGACGCTTTTTACACGCTCTTAATATCAATTCTTTACAAAATAGACGCTTTCTCGCTCCCGCTCCACGATCTGGTTACCTAAGGCTGCCATCTCTAATAAGCTAACTTTTTCTCTAATTTTTTTTTTTTTTTTTACGGAGCCATCTCTAATAAGCTGAATGACTACTCATTGGCTAAAGACTAAAAAGTCTATCACTAATTCTGCTTATATACGTGATTTAGATTCCAATAAGATACCTACAATTATCCTATATAAAAAAATACCTACAATTATTGAATGGTTAAAGTTCGTCCTAAAAATTAGTAACCATCGTCCTAACTTAATATGTAATTTATCGAATTGCCCATTTTGAATTTCAAAATCAAACACACCCCCCTCCATAAATCTTTAAAAAAAAACAAACATCCAACAAATTATCTTATGGACCGAACCATAAATCATAGTGAAAGATTATTAATATAAACCAAACAAATCCAAAAAAATTCCAAAATCCTTCAACATAAGCCAATTTTTGGTTGTACCATGGCTCAACCGAAGCCAATTTTCGGTTGTACCATGGTGCAACCGAAGGTGATTTTCGGTTGGTCCATGGTACAACCGAAAATTGCCTTAGGTTGAGCCATGGTACAACCGAAAATTGGCTTCGGTTGAAGGGTATTGGGTTTTTTTGGAGAAAAAAAAAATCGGATCGTTACCTCATCGGAGTTGCTACTCTTGATTCGGACGTATTCCCAACGATTACGACTTGAGAATGTCAACGATGAATTCGAAAGTGTGGGAAGAGTGTTTTTCATATTTTTTTTAGTCAAAGTGATGTTTGTTTGCTAAAGATGCTAAAGGATTAAAAGTGTAATTTTGTTATTTTTTAGGACGATCAATAGTAATTTTAAGGACGAATTTTATTGATTCCCACTAATTATCTGCGATTATAATCCCAAAAGAGAAGAATATAAATCAATTCGAGTTGGATACGATGACTACTTAATAAGTTAACCATAAATAGTTAAATACTTTCTCCCACCTAAAAAAAAGGTTACACGTTTGTTTTTCATAGAATCTTTCACTGAGATTGCGCCAAATAGAATAGAATCCTGGTAAGAACACTGATAAAACCAAACCCCCGAACTATAAACCCCCCGATACTCGGATCACAAAGTGCTCATATCACAATTCTTTCCACAAAATCCCACTCCCAAATTTCCCCTTCTGAAAATCATCACCACCGCCCTGTTTTCCCGGCCACCACCGCCGCCGCCGCCATGGCCGACGTGGAACAACCTATCGTCGGCGCCGAACCGAGCCCCTTGAAACCCAAGAAGCTAATCACCCTAGTCCCCCTCATCTTCCTAATCTACTTCGAAGTCGCCGGCGGGCCGTACGGCGAGGAGCCGGCAGTTCAGGCGGCCGGCCCGTTCTACGCTCTCTTGGGCTTCCTCATCTTCCCTTTCATCTGGTCCATCCCCGAGGCCCTAATCACCGCCGAGCTCTCAACCACCTTCACGGGCAACGGCGGGTTCGTCCTCTGGGCCCAACGGGCTTTCGGCCCATTCTTCGGATCCCTAATGGGCTCGTGGAAATTCCTCAGCGGCGTCATCAACGTCGCCGCCTACCCGGTCCTCTGCATCGGCTACGTCGAGAAGATGTTCCCCGTCCTGCAGTCCGGCTGGCCGCGGATCGTCGCCATCGTCGCCGCGATCCTCGTCCTCGCCTTCGTCAACTACTTGGGCCTCAACATCGTCGGGTACGCGGCCGTGATCTTGGGCCTGATCTCGCTTTCCCCCTTTATTTTAATGTGCCTGATCGCAATCCCTAAGATCCGGCCCAAGAGATGGCTCTCATTGGGCCAGCCCGGAGTGAAGAAAAACTGGAACCTCTTCTTCAATACTCTGTTCTGGAATTTGAATTTCTGGGACAACATCAGCACGCTCGCCGGAGAAGTCAACAAACCGGGGAAAGCTTTCCCCGTGGCTCTGCCGGTAGCGGTAACAATCACCTGTTTATCATACTTGCTCCCTCTGTTCGCCGTCACGGGAGCCGTCGACGTGCCGCAAGCGGAGTGGGGATCTGGGTTCCACGCCACGGCGGCTGAACTCATCGCCGGGAAATGGCTCAAGATCTGGCTCGAAATTGGGGCCGCGCTGTCCGCAATCGGGCTGTACGAGGCCCAATTGAGCAGCTGCTCGTTCCAGATCCTGGGTATGGCTGAATTGGGGATTCTGCCCAAATTCTTCGCCACGAGATCGAAGTGGTTCCACACGCCGTGGGTCGGGATCATTGTGCCGACGGCGCTGACGATTGGGGTGTCGTTCTTGCAGTTCACAGATATAATCTCATCGGCGAATTTCATCTACAGCTTGAGCATGTTGTTGGAGTTCTCGTCGTTCTTGCGGCTGAGGTACAAGATGCCGGAGCTTGAGAGGCCGTACAGGATCCCGATGAGGCTGCCGTTGCTCTGCGTTTTCTGCTTGATCCCGTGCGTGTTCTTGGTCTTGCTGATGGTGATCGCCACCAAGACGGTGTACATGGTGAGTGGGCTGATGACGGCCGGAGCGATTTTGTGGTTTCTGATGATGTGGCAGTTGAGGAAGCACAACTGCTGCGTCTTCGTCGTTGATCAAGGGCACCAGGCTAGTACGAATCAGCCTAATTCCTGATTTTTTCCCCAGTCGTTCTGGGGTTTCGAAGCATTTCTTAATAATTAGATCGTCGGTGGTGTTGGTTTTTTGCACTTCTCTTGAAAAGAAAAGAAAAAAAAAAGGTGAATATATGATCGATGTTGCTGTTCATGCAGTTTAGTTGCAGTACTGGTAGTATGTAAATTATGTGAATTCTTTTTCTACATTTTACATTGTATACTTGCTGTTCATCAGGAATAGCAGTATTTCTGTTTCTATCTATATGCACGTCAAAGCTCATTGCCTTGCGTGTTCGAATGTTTTTACATATCTCATACTGTTAATATTCTCTTCACTCGTAACTGAGCTGCAATCTATGATGAACAACTGAATTAGAAAATTCTGCACCGGCTCAGTCAATTTACCAGCAATTGGTGAAAGCCAAGTTTGGAGAAGCTGCCGATTTCCCATTTCGAGTGGTTTGGCAGCAAAAACATTTCTACCCATATCTGTACTTTCTTGTGGATAGTACATCAAAGAAGATTTTCACCCTAGCCTATGTGTTTTTGTGCCCCGGCAGTGTGTAAAATGCGAACCATATTTTCATAACCTGCAGAGAATCATCTGTAAGCTTGCTGTGTATAGGGGTCTGTCCCAACTGACAACGCAACAGCGATAAGGGAATGGCCGCAGCACGAGCCAACCGAGCCAAAAGAGTGGTGCAACAAGTCTCTGCTTCGTGATTTTTGCTGGTGCGTAAGGAACAGATGTATATTCGAAGAGAAGAACTCCAGTCCCAAGATTACTGCACGCAGAATTGGAGGGATGATTGCTAAATGGTTGATAGTAGCTAACAAAGTGAACGGGGAAACAGGGGAAGAGTGGCTAGCTATGCTGAGGGCAAATCTTATCCCACTAGCAGATAACAGTGCGTCTCCTACGTCGTAGGTGAAATCTTACATAAACCATGAAGCAATCCTCAGTGCAATAGATTTGGAGCATAACAAACAGAGTTAATGACACTTGCGTTTTGTGGCTTGGGATACATGCAATAGTCTCTATAAAGCTCGCCTGGACTTGCGACATGAGAGTTCACAATTTACAGAGAACACTAAGTAAATTAAGTAGAACTCATAGTTCTTCTCTTCTGTGGTTAAACCTAACCAAACTCGCCAGAAAAATGGTCTATTATTCCCGAAATCAGAAGAAACATTAATCTACCATAGCAACCCTAGCTCAAACTGAATATCCCCCGTACACAAACCCTAAACAAAACTGATTAGTTCTGGGTCTGTCCTGGACAGAAAAAAGGGATCAATAGTCTCCCAAAACAACAGAGAAACAACAGCAATGCTCCGACGGATAGTGTCCATCTCCAAATGTTGAGGCTCAAGCCTGAAAGCTTGCCCAACAGAACCTCCAATAAGCCTGACAAGGCACCAAAGTTCCAAACTTCCTTTCCCCTGGCATTTTTCAGAACCCAAATACGATTATGATGATGTGAAAATGGATTACCAGCAGAAGAAAACAAGTCAACTAAAGGGCTAGCTGCGGAGTTACAATTTTGAGACTTACTGTATCACTTGTTTTTGCTAGCATACTTTGCAATGCTCCCGTACCAATTCCACTGGAAAAACAGAGCTACGAGTCGCATTAGACCCATGAGAGTCACCTCGACAAATGCCATAAACGAGGATCTCTGCGGGGCTAACCCAGCCGTTGCAATGGCCAGCATCGCCCCCTCGAAGTTGCAAGGCACGAAGAAGTTTCCCACCTTGATCCCGTCGAAGCATTTCCTAGCAACTTCCTCTGCTTTCATTGCACCAGACGATGCTGCGATGATGCTTGTCAACGGCGGCCTCTTCTTGCTTTCTGCAATCACAAGCACTCAGGCTGTCACTACTGCAATTGCCCCAAATCCTACAGCTAGGGTTTTATTTATACACTCAATATACTCCAACAGATCCGATCACTGAAAAACAACTCTCAAATTGGCGATTTAGCAAGTTCCTACTTCATAAACCAATCCCTATTTACGTCATAATATGAAACAAGCAAACTGCAAGTCTGCAACTTTAGGTATATGCTGCATTCTATTGCAGACAACCTGTTCGAGGAGATGCCCAAATGGAAAATACCTAAACAGGGGTAGCTAGTGCCTAGTAGTGTTAAGACTCTAGAGGCTAGATCGATGGAATTCCGTACCTTCAGCCAGACCAGGTGTTTCAGTGTCCGGAGGGAATATAAGAGAGACGTGGATATCATCGGCGATGACTTCATGCTGAAGCGCTTCCGCCATGCCCCGGAGCCCGAATTTGCTAGCGGAATAAGCTGTGTATCCATAAACTCCCACCTGAAAAAATTCAGCACCTCAGCGAACAAAGCAACCCAATCGAGTATCTCGGATTTATATAAACCGCCGCCAATTACCTGGCCGGCCTGCGACGACATTAGAGCGATGGAGACCGGCCTCCGGTCGGACCGACTCTTCATCCCCGGCAAAGCAGCTTTCACAACATTGAAGCTCCCCATCAAATTGACGTCAATCATGAACCGGACCTCGCTCAAATCCTGATTCTCCAGCTCACCGGGGACGAAAATCCCTTGGTTCACGATCAGGACGTCGATCGGGCCGGCGGCGTCCACCGCCTTCTTCACGGCGTCGAAATCCCTAACATCCGCCGCGTAGATCGCGGCCTCGATCCCTGTGGCGAGGCGGATGGAGTTCCTCGCCTCCTCCAGCTTGTCGAGGGATCGGGCCAGGATGGAGACCCGGGCACCTTCCGCCGCCGCCGCCATGTGGGCGAGTGCGAGCCCGATCCCGCTCGACCCGCCGGTGATGAATACATGGCGGTTCTTCAACGGGATCTTGACGGGACGCGGGCGGACGATCAGAGCCAAGAGCGCGAGGAGGGCGAGCGGGAAGAGGACTAGAAGAGCGACGAAAGCGAGCTTCGCGTCCGCCATTTTTTGAAACACTATCGAAGCTCCGCTCTCACTCCCAAGTCTCACCCAGAAAAAAGTATCAGTCATCAAACGGACGGCGCTGATTAGATCACTGATCATCGCCGATTAATTTTCTTTTTAAAGAAGGGGAAAACATTGGGGCCGTCGATCGTGCCACGTCAGACACGGGAAACAACGGAAAGACTTTGTTGTTTTTACGTTTGATCCATTGCAGGGAGTTCGGCGTCGGCAAGATTCTCCGGCCGGCTAGCGGGGAAATCGAAGTGAACAAAAGGACAAAGAAGATCGAGATCATCGAGGGACATTTTCTATTTTGGTCATCGCTCTTCGGTCTGTTAACCAACTGGTCACTGAATTTTCTATAGTGTCTCAAAGGTATCTATACTTCTGCCGTGGGGGAATGTTTATCCAGCTTTCAGCTGAATCTAATCAGAATGCAATATAATCGAGTCAGCCAAGTCAGATCTGTGATTGGTCTGTTGATTTGGCTCCTTTCCTTCTTCCTTTCTTTCTTTCCCATCAATCATAAAGTTGATTTGGACATGGTGACACAAATCACCGGCCGCAACATGTTGGTTTGCTGCCTAGAATCTCATCTCATGTATCAACAAAAAGATTTCAACAATAAGGATGATCGATATTGCATTGTTAATACTATTATTATTTCATGTAACGGTTGGAAGTATAAATATGACGATTTATATTTGTGATCTCAACAGAAGCTATATTCAAACTCGAACAACTAGAATTATTTGAGGTCCAAAGAAAGCTCAAAACAAGAATCCATGTGTAAATTGTGTTCGTTCGTCTAAGTTAAAGGGTTCTAACATGCGCACACGAGTCACGACTTTCTCTTTAAACTCTATCGGTACATTTATATGTTACATATTTTTCACTAAATAATTTTGTTGGGCATGTGACTCGGATTCCGCCGCGCCAAAGAAACACCGACATCAGAAGAGTTGGCCGTGATACGGGAGCGAGCGAACACACCGTCGAGCGCCAATACCAAGAGACGGGCGCACCAGCACTTGCGCGAGCAAGCACACCGGCGAGCGCCAATACCAAGAGACGGGCGCGCCAGCACCGGCGCGAGTGAACACACTGGCGAGCGCCAATACCTAGAGACGGGCGCATCAGCACCGGCGCGTCCAAGGGCAGCTCGAGTCCAGCGTTGACTAGATTAGCGAGTATGGGAAAACGACGCCGCGTCCCACCTACCGAGTGGTCACATCGCAGTCCTAGTCCTAGGTATAATGAAAGGCTAAATGTACTTGTCCTAGGTAGAGGTATGGTCTAGTCTTCTGACATGTCAGTAGTCATGTCACCATGTAACTCACCCACCACCATGTAGCTTATAAATAAGGCATTTACTCCGGTGGGTGAGGGGATTAGATTTTTCAGACTCTATCTCTAGACAAAAGAACAGACTTCTCTCACTAAAAGAGAACTCTCTCGGTTTCATTCTTCCCTTTCTTTGTTCTTGAATCCACGGCTGATTCTCATTGCTTATTCTCCTCGACCCATTTTCCCGAACCTCACTCCTACACTCAGTTAGGTTCAAACAATTGGCGCCCACCGTGGGGCCGAGTAGAAAAAGTAACAGAAATCCAACCAATGGCAGAACCCAACTCCAACTTTCCCGACGAGGTGACACCCATCAAGGCTATGACAACCCCGAGGGCATTCGCCGAAGGGAGCAACCTCAACGCGGTGCTCGTTGAGGAAGAAGAGCCCGAGCTGACAGCCAAGGAAATGAGGCAGCTAGTGGCAAAGCAAAACAGCGTCATAGCTGACATGCAAAAGCAGATGAGCCAAGTCCTCGCGCTCATGATGAGCATGGAAGCCGCGACAGCACCGGGTGCAGCGCCTGTCTCACTACAACAAGGAGAAGCGTCAGGCGCAGCAGCGCCACCACAACAGGCGGAGGGCGCGTTGTCCGCGTCTGAAGCGCAACGAATCGAACCACCAGGGAGGGCAGACCTCAGCTTCTTGGAGCAACATCTGACTCCGCAATTCCGTCCTAACCCACCCAGAAGAATCCTACATTAACCGCTGAGCGCGGAAATAATGGCGGAGCACCTAAGCGGAACGCCACCCACCCTCCCAACTTACAATGGAACGACTGATCCAGAGGATCACGTCAGCACCTTCTGCCTGAGGATGCAACTCCAGACTAACTCCAACGCGGCGCTATGCAGAACCTTCCCGTCAACATTCTCCGGAATATGCCTCGATTGGTACAACCGCCTCCCAAATGGAATCATTCGCTCGTTCGAGGAGTTCATACTCCTGTTCACCACAAAGTTCGCATCCTAGAAAAGAAGGCCGCTTCACCTCAAAGCGCTGATAGATATCAGGCAGAAGGACGGAGAAAGCTTACGAGCATTCTACGCCAGGTGGTCCAGGGTGGCAATGGCCGTGAGAGACCTCACCCCAGAAACTGCCACCCATCACCTCATGGACGCCACCACCAACGTGGAGCTCAAACGAGCGCTAGTAAAAAGATCTGTCACGCTGACGATAGAGCTGGAGGTCAAGATCGAGAAAGCCATCACGCTAGAGGAGACACTCGGCGCGGGTTCCGTCAGGCGCTTCAAACCCGCAAAGGCGCCCAAAGAGGAACAAGCGCGAAAACAACTACAGTGCCGCGAGACCAGTTGATGCAATTGCACAGCGGCCCCAGACGCCCACCACCTGCGCCAGAACAAGTCTAACGAGGGCGATCACCGGAGAGGCCCAACTATACACCCCTCAATGAAAAACGTGTTCCACGTTCTGCGCGAGAAGAGTTACAGAATCAACTAGCCCGCGCCTCTGAGGTCGTTATCACACATGCGCGATCCGAAGAAGCGCTGCGAATTCCACAGAGAAACTGGTCACTGGACAGAGGATTGTAGAGAGTTGCGTCACGAGATCGAGGGCCTCATACGAAGAGGGCTATTAACTGCGTTCATCCGCGGAGCAGAAGAACAAACGGAACAACCGATACAACCCCTGCCACCCCCACAAGCGGACTATAACGACGCTACAGGCTCGTATGTTGTGCGAAAGGAAATCGGGGTGGTAACAGTAGAAGGAGACCGCCCCATGAAGAAAACCAAACGCGAGCGCGGCATAGAGTGCGCAGCGGCCGAAGTATCGACGAAGTGCAATCTGAGCTTCGATGATGCGGAATTCCCAAAAGGAGTCCCATCAGAAGATCCTCTTACCATCACCGCGCTTGTCGTCGCCTGCAAAATCCACCGTCTACTGATAGACGGAGGCAGCGCGGCAGACATCCTTTTCAAGAGCACTGTCGATCAGATGGACATCGACCCGCGCCTAATCAAGCGCGCTCAGGGGAACTTGGTCTGCTTCTCCGGAACGAGAGTTCCAGTCATTGGCGTGGTCACCCTCCTGGTCGTCCTTGGAGACCAAGAGCCGCGCATCTCAAAACAGGTCGAGTTCACGATAGTCGACTGCAACTCGGCCCATAACGACATTTTGGCAGGCCCTTCTTAGCCAAATTCACCAAGGCAGGGACCGGTGAAGCGCGCGGGACGCCATGGGAAGCCCCGAAGCCGGGAGAGTCCCGCCAGACCAACATCGTGGACACGAGGGCAGAGGAGCCACGTCCGGAGTCGATGGACTCCGATTTTGAAGTCGCGCTAGATCCAGCCGAACCAACGCGGAAGATACGCATTTCGACCCACGTCAGCGGTGACGCGATTGAGCCATTGATAGCGCTGCTGAAGGAGTATAAGGAACTGTTTGCCTGGTGCATTGAGGACATGCCGGGAGTCCCGAGGGAAGTCGCCCAGCATAACCTCGCAGTTCCAGTCAACGCGGAACCAAGGCAACAAGCGCGACGAAACTTCACATGCGACAAACTGAAGGCCATTGAAGAAGAGGTTGCCCGGCTATTAGCGTCGGGTCTAATTCGCCCAGTAAAATACCCGAAGTGGCTGGCAAACGTGGTGTTGGTAAAAAAATCTTCAGGGTCCTGACGGATGTGCGTCGACTATACAACGATCAACAAGGTGTGCCCGGGAGACCCTTACCCACTCCCGCGCATCGACCAGCTGATCGACGCCACCGCCGATCATGAGACGCTGTCTTTCCTGGACATGTTCTCAGGGTATCACCAGATCCCGATGTCTCACGAAGATGAAGAAAAAATGGCTTTTATGACGCCGTTCGGAAACTTTTGTTTCGTGGGGGATGCCCTTCGGGTTGAAGAACGCTGGCGCGACCTACCAAAGGATGATCGACGCGGTGTTCTCGCAACAGATAGGGTGGAACATCGAGGCTTACGTGGATGACCTCATAGTCAAAACTAAGGCGGGCAAGTCACATCTGGAAGACTTGCGCGAGACATTTGAAGCACTCCGCAAATACAGTCTCTGGCTCAACCCGCTAAAATGCGTGTTCGGAGCAGAAGCCGGAAAATTCTTGGGATTCATGATCACCAAGCGCGGCATCGAGGTTGATCCGAAACAAATCACTGCAGTCCAACAGCTGCGCGCGCCAAGGAACACATTGGAGATCCAGTCCCTGAACGGCTAAATAGCGGCGCTGGGAAGGTTCATACCGAGATCAGCTGACAAGTGCGCCCCATTCTTCAAGGCACTAATAAACGGCGCGCGATTCACATGGACCAAAGAATGTGAAGCGGCATTCCAGGAGCTCAAGGCTTATCTTGTCTCCCCCCTGTATTGACCGCCCCAAAACTTAATGAAAAGCTTTTTCTGTATCTTGCCGTGTCAACAAGAGCCGTGAGCGCAGTACTAATATCCAAAAGAGACGGACAAAACGAGCACCCAGTGTACTACACATCGCGGACCCTTGTCAGCGCAGAAACAAGATACTCCATGATAGACCAATAATTACACATATTTCACCCCTATTCTTGCGCCGTTTGAGAGGTTGACTCACGGGTTTTAAGCCGATTTCACGCGAGGTTGTGTGTTTATGTCATATTTCAGGACCCGGCGTTGGAATCGAGGCGAAGGAACGAGATTCGGATCGAAAGGAGCAAGTGAGGATTGAAGTGGGCTGGAGGAAGAAAATACCCGGCCATGACCACAAATACCCGGCCGGATATTATTCTGAGGAGACCGGGGATTTTCCCTTTTGGCGTCTGAGAAACAGGGGGGGTCCCGGTCTGGAAGGCAGAAATCCCCGACCGGGGATTATTGGATGAGACCGGGTATTTTTCCCCTGGCCAAAACGTGCGTTTTAACTATACCCGGTCGTGACCCAAAATACCCGACCGGGTATTTCGACCGGGTATCGCGACAGGCAGCTGTTTTAAAGGAAAAGAAGGCCATAGATCAAGGGGATTCGAGTTTTAGAGAGAGAGATCGATTCCTAGAGTGAGAAAGTGACGAACAAGAGTCTCCAAGTGCCCTAGCTTGATCTTCATCACCATTGGAGGCCAGTTTGAGCTTGGAGAAGTGCCGATCAACGTCCAGGAGCAGGAATCCATCCTTCATAGTATGAATTCCGCGTCTGATTCTGCTTTTGCCTCTTTCTCCATGGAGTAGTTCTCCCATTCATCTGGGTATGGAGAACCCTAGATTTGTATGTTAGGTTTGATTGTATGAACCCAAGTACTGATTCTATGATTTGATTATATTCAATTGAGGTTTGAATGGTTGAATTGCATGAATCCTGATCAAATTCCTGTTGTTTCTGCTTTAACCTAGAATGAGAATATCTGCCTAGGTTGATAGAGCATCCTTGATTGAAGGTAGGGAGTTGGTGACTTTAGTCGAGGAGCCAACTCACTATTCTGTACCGAATTCACTTCGGTGGTGGAGGTTTTGTTTGTTAAGGCCTCAATCTGTTTACTCTGGTGGAGGTTAGTCGCCCGCTAGAGACTCAGATTGAGAGGGTCTAGAGACCTTTAGTCGAGACTTCAGGCTGTTTAAGAACCTTCCGCAGTATAACTATCATAGAAACTGAACTTGGTAATTACAATTCGGCTTAACTGCAGTCTAGGGGGAACCATATCCGGGTGACCTCTCTTAACCTGAATACAACCGTTTACTTGCTTTGTTAGTTTAAACTTGCATTAAAGTTTCATTGCTAGATAACAAGAATTCACCGAGTAGTCATCAAATCTAGGACCCGGGTTGACATTTAAACCCAAACCCGCTATACTACGCTTTAGGAAGTGGTTTCACTTGGCCAATTCCTGGAGTGACAGTAGAAGTGAGTCACTCCCCAATAGAAAAAGCCGCTTTGGCGCTAGTGAGCGCGGCGCAGAAGTTACGCCCATACTTCCAAGCGCACCAAATCACTGTCTTGACCAACCTCCCGCTAAAAAAGATCCTAACTTCAATGGAAGTATCTGGGCGGATGGTCAAATGGACGGTCGAGCTATCCGAATACGACATCCGGTACGCTCCGAGACCTGCGATAAAGGCGCAGATCCTGACGGAGTTTATCGCGGAAGGGGTTACCCTCGAAACAACACCAGAAGGAGTGTCGGAGGTTTACGTGGATGGCGCGGCAAGCAAACATGGAGCCGGCGCGGGAGTCGTCGTCCGCACCCCCACGGGTGTTGTGCACGAGATAGCAATCCGGTTCAGAGATCTGAAGACGAATAATGCAGCCGAATACGAAGCCATCCTAGCAGGGATGACAGCCGCCGACGACTTGGGCGCTAGAACAATCAGAGTGCTCTCCGATTCATCACTGGAAGTTAACCAACCGAACGGAACTTTCGACACCAAAGAGGACGCTATCGCACATTACATGGAGCGCGTCAAACAACGGGCAACTACCTTCGAGGCGGTGACATACGTGCAAATGCCCAGGGAAGAAAATATGCACGCCGATGCGCTGTCAAAGTTAGCCACGGCCACCGACTTCGAGTCAACGTGCCTGGTGTCGGTGCAGAAAGAAGAGGAAAAGACCCGCCAAGACGCTGCAGTCAACACCACTCAGACAGCACAGGTCGATGACTGGCGAACATCGATCATAAGGTACTTGCAAGACGGCGCGGTGCCATAAGATGTCAAGGAAGCATGGACGTTAAGGCAAAAGGCGGCTCGATGCACCCTAATTGGAGCGGAATTGTACCGACGGTCATACTTACCTAAAATGCATCGGCAAAGAAGAGGCGCGCACCATGATCCACAACCTACACGAAGGACTTTGCGCAATGCACGCCGGTGCGCGCAGTATGGAGCGGACAATACTACTGCACGGATACTATTGGCCGCGAGTGAAAAAGGACACAAAGAAGTACGTTGACCAATGTCACAAGTGTCAACTACACGCGCGCCAACACCACCTCTCGTCCACTGAGTTCCAAGGCAATTTAAGCTCGTGGCCTTTCGCGCAATGGGGAGTGGACCTCCTGGGCCCCTTTCCAACGGCCAAGGGAAAGCGCAAGTACATAATTATGGCGGTCGATTACTTCACCAAGTGGATCGAGGCAGAAGCATTGGCCTCGATAACGGCGCATCAGGTAACACGCTTCTTAAGAAGCAACATTCTGGCCCGATTTGGAATCCCCAATGCATT